GAGACTAATTGTTACTATTGGAGGGAACCAATAGGGGGAGACTAATTGTTACTACTGGAAAATAATTATTTGGGGGGACCCCTTCAGTGCATGGGACCTGGATGTGCTGATCTCTTTGATATTTTACCCCATCACTGCCACTGAAGATGGGTGCGGGTCAAACTGCAACACAAAAACTGCATTGACATTTTTAAAATGTGCAGTGACTTTTTTAGGAAACCACAGATGGAATGTTAAACAAACCCCTGAAAAGCCTAAGATTTGATATCCAGACTCAGCAATTCACAGCCCAGTGATATACTGGAAATTATTTAGAGAACAGGCCAACCCAAAGCTCTGAATGGAATTGTTCAAAGTAAAGCTGAACAAAGTGGTGAGAGGAGCATGAACTGATACTTGCTAGGTGTGTACTTGCACATTGCTGACAAAAAGGAAGTGGGTTCTAGCTGCAGCTATTGGTCTTTGATTCACCTTTCATTTACACTGCTGTAAAGCAGTAGCAACTCTACTGAAGCCACTGGAATTATACTGGTGCAATAAAGGAGTAAGTAACAGGAACATCAAGCCCATTTTGTCTAGTGCTCCCAAAACCTCTCTTTTTTTCTGTAGGGTTGCCAGGTGTCCAGTTTTTGACCGGAACGCCCAGTCGAAAAGGGACCCAGGTGGCTTCAGTCAACACTGCTGACCGGGCCATTAAAAGCCCAGTCGGTGGTGCAGCAGGCCTAAGGCAGGCTCCTTGCCTGCCATGGCTCTGCGCAGCTCCCAGAAGCAGCAGCATGTTCCTCCTCTGGCTCCTACACGTAGGGGAAGCCAAGGGCTGCTCCTACTGGCTGGGAACCACGGCCAATAGGAGCTGTGGGGGTGGCACCTGTGGACGGGGCAACAAGCAGAGCCACCACATAGGAGCCGGAGCGGGGACATGCTGCTGCTTCCAGGAGCTCTTGAGGTAAGTGCCGCCTGGAGCCTGCACCCCTGACCCCCTCCACTCCCCAACCCCCTGCCCCAGCCTTGATCCCCCTCCCATCCTCCAAACTCCTTGATCCCAGCCTGGAGCACCATCCTGCATCCCAAACCCCTCATTCCCAGGCACATCCCAGAGTCTGCACCCCCAGCCAGAGCCCTCACATCCCCTGTACCTCAACCCTGGCCCCACACCAGAGCCCACACCCCCAGCCGGAGCCCTCACCCCCTTCCACACCCCAACCCCCTGCCTCAGCACGGAGCCCCCTCGTGCACCCCAACACCCTGAGCCAGCCTGGTGAAAATGAGCAAGTGAATGAGGGTGGGGAGAGTGAGTGACAGAGAAGGGGGGGGATGGAGTGAACAGGGGGCTGGGCCTTGAAGAAGGGGTAAGGTGGGGGTGGCGCCTTGGAGGAGGGGCAGGGTAGGGGGTGGGGTTCGGTTTTGTGCGAGTAGAAAGTTGGCAACCCTATTTCACTGTCATGATTTAGTGGCTTCCAAGAGCGCTGGTAACTGTTTCAAGGTCCCTGATGCCTCAAACAACAGCTTCCTTCCCCATAAATTTATCAGCTGAAAAACAGCCTGAGAAATAATAAATGAATATCATACTCCTCTGAGCACATGCATTAACTTTCAATTGCCATGTAAAGCAATGTTACAGATGTACGTTTTGTTTTCTTTTCTTTTAGATAAAAAAAAATTCTTACTTGTGACAAATCCATGCCATGCAACAAAGAAGAACGCATTCAGAAAACAGGAAAGGGGCAGACAAAAAGCAGACAGTTGTGAATTTACTTAGGCGTTTGTCAATGCCTGCTGTTTAAGTACAGCCACCATTTTTAGAAAGGGTTGGACTGATTCATCTTGGTTGTTTCTTGGTATGAGGTTAGCAAAAGAATTCCTCTCTAATGCTGTAACAACCCTACAAGGACTCAGTTAGAGGGTTACTACTAGGACAGGGATTTATTTTAACTTTTGTACTTGCTGACCTTTTTGTGTCTGATCCAATTATAAGACTAGAATTGGGTATCAGTTTGTGTTCAGATAACTGCTGCCCATACCAGCCACGCTCCACAACCTTGTAACAGGTAGCTGGATTTGATATCAAAGTTTTTATGAAAAAATAGTGCTATACAATTGTCAGTTCAGTTCTTATGCTACACCGTTTCAGACAAAGTGCTTTTAACCCAGGGCAATTGCAGTTCTGTTTATATTGTAGCTCCATTTGGCAACAAAGAGGAATCTGTTGCCTAAGATAACAAATTGGGATCCCTCTGGATACGAAACATACTGTATAGCGGGACTTTTTTAACTTGCAGTTTGTCAAACCTCCTTATACTGCATAGATATGAGATTCTTTTTATGTAAGACTGATACATACAGTACTGCAGGTACATTGGAGGTAGGGAATATATAGCACAATTGTGAAAGAGACCTGCAGTATTGCATTAAGCAGCTTGACTTCAGTGCCTGTGTTTAGTTTAATTGATGGAGTACTCTTTGTTCATCTCCACTGTGATTTTTTTGACACTATTAGCTTCCCTTCTATCCCCCAAGAATTCTGGATGGCAAACTTTACTCCTAGTGTTTCACCTTTCAGATATGGCCTACAAAAGGTGCACAAGTTTTAGGAATTACACATCATCCCTTTCTTTCCAGTACATAATACACACAGTGGGCAAAATTCAACCGAGGCATAAATGGATTTATTTCAGTGGGAATTGCAATTATGTCGTGACTGAATTTGGTCTGTTGTGTACAACATGAAATGCACGTTGGAATGGAGTTTCTATGTTATTAAAAAGAAAAGGAGGACTTGTGGCACCTAAGAGACTAACAAGTTTATTTGAGCATAAGCTTTCATGAGCTACAGCTCATTTCATCGGATGCATTCAGTGGATGCATCGGATGAAGTGAGCTGTAGCTCACGAAAGCTTACACTCAAATAAATTTGTTAGTCTCTAAGGTGCCACAAGTACTCATTTTCTTTTTGCCAATACAGACTAACACGGCTGCTACTCTGAAATCTATGTTATTAGAATCACAGTTTGTCTTTTGCGTAATTATATCAAATTGAGATTTATGGTTTAGCAATCTCTTTCAAGTGGTCTTTACATATGGAGGTCAGTTGCTACACTAGTGTGGCACCCATTGTGTTCTTTTAGAATCATAGAATAGCACGGTTGGAAGGGACCTCAGGAGGTCATTTAGTCCAACCCCCTGCTCAAAGCAGGACCAACCCCCAACTAAATCATCTCAGCCAGGGCTTTGTCAAGCCTGACCTTAAAAACCTCAAAGGAAGGAGATTCCACCACCTCCCTAGGTAATGCATTCCAGTGCTTCACCACCCTCCTAGTGAAAACGTTTTTCCTAATATCCAATCTAAACCACTCCCATTGCAACTTGAGACCATTACTCCTTGTTCTGTCATCTGCTATCATTGAGAACAGTCTAGATCCATCCTCTCTGGAACCCCCTTTCAGGTAGTTGAAAGGAGCTATCAAATCCCCCCTCATTCTTCTCTTCCGCAGACTAAACAATCCCAGTTCCCTCAGCCTCTCCTCATAAACCATGTGTTCCAGTCCCCTAATCATTTTTGTTGCCCTCCGCTGGAACGCTTTCCAATTTTTTCACATCCTTCTTGTAGTGTGCGGCCCAAACTGGACACAGTACTCCAGATGAGGCCTCACCAATGTTGAATAGAGGGGAACGATCACGTCCCTCGATCTGTTGGCAATGCCCGTACTTATACAGCCCAAAATGCCATTGGCCTTCTTGGCAACAAGGGCATACTGTTGACTCATATCCAGCTTCTCGTCCACTGTAACCCCTAGGTCCTTTTCTGCAGAACTGCTGCCTAGCCATTTCGTCCCTAGTCTGTAGCGGTGCATGGGAGTCTTCCATCCTAAGTGCAGGACTCTGCACTTGTCCTTGTTGAACCTCATCAGATTTCTTTTGGCCCAATCCTCTAATTTGTCTAGGTCCCTCTGTATCCTATCCCTACCCTCCAGCATATCTATCTCTCCTCCCAGTTTAGTGTCATCTGCAAACTTGCTGAGGGTGCAATCCATGCCATCCTCCGGATCATTAATAAAGATATTGAACAAAACCGGCCCCAGGACCAACCCTTGGGGCACTCTGCTTGATACCGGCTGCCAGCTAGACATGGAGCCATTGATCACTACCCATTGAGCCCGACGATCTAGCCAGCTTTCTATCCACCTTATACTCCATTCATCCAGTCCATACTTCTTAACTTTACTGCTTCTGTAACATACACTGTGATGTTCTTTTTAACCTACTAACATAGTTTTATCTGAGTAGGCACCTTGGAATTGAGACATTAATATAGGTAAGCCAAGAAGAGTATTTAAGATATGCATATGCAAATTAAGATTATTTTCTTCTGCAAATTTGCATGTAACCCTATGATTGACACTAAATGTGTATTCGTATGTACACTAAGTATTCATATAGGTCTCTATTCATCAAGGCATTCAAGTGGCTACTTAACGTTAAGAACGTACATAGTCCCATTGACTTTAATGGGACTATTTGTGCTTAAAATTAGACAGGTGTTTGAGTACCTTGCTGAACTGGTACCATAATCACAAATGCCGGTCGTTCATGTGGCTAACTGGTAATGTGAGACATGTCATCTTAACTAGTTACAAGAGTTTAAGACAGATTCTGTATGGGTGGATGTGTTTTGCTGCCTAACCATCCTCACTGATGAATGGGCACCTTTGTTAAAATAGCACCAGTAGTGTCCTCTAGTGGTGGTTTGGTTGCACTAGGATATGGCAAACTAAGTAAGAAAGCCCTTATGCTCTATATTGATGTAATAAGTAAAAGATAGAAGTCCCTCATTTTAATAGCACTGCTGGCTGCCCCAGGCTTTCTCCAGCAACACCATAGTTTATTCACAAAAAGATAACATTGCTATATTTCATTTTAATAATAAAATCCATAACACTTCAAATATTCTTTAATTTTCCTGATTTGGCAAGGGAAATGACCTTCAGATTTATATAGGGCAGTTCCTTTTGGCACCTGAATGCAATAATTTATTAAGTTCCAATACTCATCAAGTGTGCACAAATATCATGCAAATATTACAGCTGGACTCCGTAACAATATAAGCATAATATAGACACAGAATTATATAAAGTATTGACAAACAGAAAAAGGGAAATTTAGTATTTTCTGTACAAAATATATGCAGCTTTTGATAATTTGTAAAATGTATAACTTCTTGGCATTTCAGAAAAGAACATTGTATAAAAATAAATATTCTATGTACAAAACACACACAGGCCAGTCCATGGTTAGAACCATCACTGCAAAAGAAAACATAAACCTCTGTTAGTTTCACAATTCAAATAGCTGCAAGGATTTCTTAATGGAGGGAAACACAGCTAGGGGGACCTTGTTATGCGAGCATGCTCCAGGACACACAACAGCAGAGGAAGCAATCAAGAACCTCAGGAATGACCATTTTCATTTGTCTGGTTAGGAAGGAGGGGATACAATGTTGGATGACTCTCCACCCTCCTCAGCCCCACCACGCCTAGTGAAATTGCTGTTTGTGCAGCTGTTTTCTGCACTAATGCAAACAACAGGTAATACTAATAATAATGATCCAGAACCTGAAGAGTGGCACTGATGGATACGTAAGCCTCAAATGGCTATAGGGCATCAAGAACTCGTATGCAGCTGAACTGCAGAAAAAAGAAGGGACCTGAATAGGTTTCTATGCTGTCTTTCTTTAAAGAAAACATGTTATTACAATGTTTGTGTAAGTGGATGTCTGTGAATATATCATTGATTGGAATCTTCAGGTCAGGAGGCCCCTATATTTCCATCTGATATTTCCATTTCAAAGATTTCAATTTCTGCTTGGATAGCTGTCAGCCAGCTTGGGGAGCAGGCGGTGGTGGTGTCATCCCTATTCCTCTTGGACATCAGATGTACTGCATGGTCTCAGTGCCTCCTTTGATGTCCTCCTCAAGGACTTGGTTGGGGGGAGCATCCCTGGGATGGAGTAGGTTTTGGGCAGCCTTGTAAGGGCTCTGAATTGCCTCAGGTAGTGTGTCCTTTCAGAATTAGCACAAACTGTCATGACTGCAAAGCTCAGGCAGACGACAGAGTTTGAGTGCTCTGCATCCTGGATATACTTGGGCCAGGATTTGGCAAAGTAATTCTATTTTGCACTTAAACAGCAACCTTTATCCAAAGATCTCAAAGAACTTTACAAATCAGTTAATTAATTGATCTTCAAAGTGCCCTGTGAGGTAGATAATACACCCCTTTTTGAAGATGAACACACTGAGGTTAAGACCTAAATGATCAAAAAAGGACTTCTAGTTCAGAGTCCTTCAATTGTGGATGTCTTAATTTAGAAACCGAGGGCCTAATTTTTAGTGGTGCTGAACACCTACAATTCCCAGTGAAATGCATGAGAGCTGCAGGTGCTCACAAGCTCTGAAAAATCAGGCCTGAGATGTCTAAAGTTGGGCACCCAATGTTAGAGGCAGGTTTTGAAACTTTGGTCCCATGTGACTTGTCCAAGGCTACAGAGTATTTCAGTGGAACATAGATCCATAGATTCCAAGGCTAGAAGGGACATTGTGATCATCTGGTCTGACCTCCTTTATAGCACACGCCATAGAACTTCCCCAACATAATTCCTAGAGCAGATATTTGAGAAAAACATCCAATCTTGATTTAAAAAATGTCAGTGATGGTGAATCCACCACACACACCCCCGGTAAATTGTTCCAATGGTTAATTACTCTCACCATTAAAAATGTATGCCTTGTTTCCAGTCTGAATTTGTCTAGCTTCAACTTCCAGCCACTGAATCATGTTACATCTTATACAGCCAGGACTAAAATGTGAAATTCCCAGTCAATATTATAAACAGCATTAGAGCTGATCACAGCACTAGATCTTGAATTATCAGTAGATCTTTAGATTGGAATTTCCAAAGGGGACTAAGGGAGTTAAGTACCCAATTCCTACTGACAGTCAATGGGAGTTACATGCCTGACTCCGTTAGGCTCTGTGAAAATCCCAGCTGTAATGTTCCCTTCAGAGCTTTTAAAACCTCCTCAGTTGTATAACATAAAGTATGCTAATTATAACCCAGGCAGAGTCAGAAGGAAATGTGGAGCTTTAGTTTATTTGTTTTGTCTTTTATCTTAGCATGCTGGATTGGCTGTAATAACAGTTTAAAACAACAACCTAACCACATATAAGATATTTCTGTTGCAAACTCTTATCTCATTTACACCAGTAACTCCAGATTAACTCAGTTTAAGTCTACTTGATCTGCAGGTGTTTAGAACCTCTGAAAATCAGATCAATTACCTTTATTTGGGTGCCTAAAATGGATTCAGGTGCTTAATATTAGGCACTCCACTTTGAAAATTTTGGCTTTTTATGTGTCTCGGTTTCCCCAAAATGAGGATAACAGTGCTTACCCATCTTTGCAAAGTGCTTTGAGATCTATGGATGAAAACATGATTTGCTAATAATATATTGATATGTAGGAATATAACACAGCTAATGAGTTCTGATTCTGTGCAACTATAAGATATTTTTTAAGCCTGAAATATCCAGGGTTGCCAATACAATTCTATAATTTTTAACCTATTTTATTTGTGTATTATTGGATAAAACAAATGGACCGTTTTGATCCTGCTTGTCACGAGCACTGGCACTGAAAATCCACTGCATGCTTTACACATCCGTTTTGTCATTAGAAAGACTCACAGAAAATCATCTGCAAAATGCATCAACACCTTTAATTCAGCACAGTCATAGAAGTTCCAAGATTATTTTACCTTATTCCAGCAGCCCTGAACTGGCAAGCCATCTTCCCCCTACAACAAAGAAGGAAACAAACACAGTTTAGGATCAGGAGACGGAGCCAAAAGGAAGGAAGGAAAGGGTTAACTAATATAGCTGCAACAAACATTTTAAGTCTGAGTTGGGCTGCGATAAATGTTCTAATATATATAATTTCCCCCCTTCTGTTTTGGATGATCCATTTTTCTGGCTGAAAGACATGGTTAGGGTTCAATCCGAAACCAGAGATTCAAGAGGGAAATTTGTCGGTGTTGTGCAGGGAACACGCACAGGCTTCCTGTTGATGGGTATTAGGCTGCAGGGTTATGCATATATGCTCTAGTTCTGCTCAGAAAATGTGTTTGGCCCTGCTTTTCTTGAAGAGGGAAACATAAAAGCTCCAATTCAGGAGTAAAACATATCAGGATGTTGGCAGTGGGAGACATGAACTGGCTGGTTACGTTGTCATGCGTGACTCCGTGTCATAATTTGGAGGTGACATGCCATTCCTGACAACATACAGCAAAGTGGATCCCAAACACTGCATGAACATTTGGACTTGCAGGAATGTCTAGAAAATATTTTCATTTCATTTATCTGGGCTGGGTTTAGCATTGAGTGAGGAATGGTCACTTTGTCCACTTAAGCAAAATTCACTGGGAGTTACGCTTTCTTATGTCTTGGCTGTACGGTCCTTATTTCTAAATGTCAAGAAATCCCTTGTGTCAAATCTGCTGAGACATCAGAAATCTCTGTGTTGTACTGCTTTACACTTTTATTCTATTTGTAGATATTCTTCAATAGCAAGAAAGGAGATACCAATGGGGCACTGGCAAACCCTGTACAGCATATGGGGCACAAAGAAAAAGGTGTGGCAATCTGAGATTTGTTTGAACACCAGTTCAGGATATGATTTGGAACTTTAAACAGTTTTGAAAATTCTAGATTGTAAGGTGTTCATAGTGGGGACTGCCTCTTTATGGGGGCATACTAGGGTGGGGTGTTTGGGCACTACCATAATATAAATATTTATTAACCATAGTAACAGGACAGATACAGATAATCTTGGCCCAATCGGCGCATTTTTAAAGTGTTTGCTCTGTGCTTTTTGTGGGGAGTGAAGTGTGGGATTGAGGCCTTTCAGTGCTGTTTTGAAATGAGGATGGATGCAAAGTGTTTTTTCTGGTGCGGCTGGCTAATCCCTTAGTGTTGGGGTGAGGCCCAGAATCAATGCCATCCAGATGGAGGCTCTGAGAATATATTAAAAGAAATTACTGCCTCCATTTTGCTCAATTACTATAGTGGTGGCATGAGTCACTGATTTGGGAGAATGGATTATAAAACCGATTTCACCCTGCTTTGAATGCTTATTTCACTGTCACAATAGGAACTTAACTGTTTAATAATGAAGCAAAATATTTCACATCTCAACGCAAAAGTTTGTTTTTAATGTTAACTATAACATTTATAAATCTGATTGAAAATTTATTTGGTCTCTGACATCAGGCTCCCTTACTTCTGCTGTCACTTTTCATCAAGGTGGTTGCTGCCATGCCCAACCTAATTAAGAATCTAATTATTTTAAATGCTTACTACCAGGTGGTAGTTAGAGCCCTGTACTGAGGAAAATGGGTGCAGTTTTCTTTAAAAGGGCTGCTTTCCACTATCTTTCTTTCTTAGCTACCCCTAATCCTGGGTACAGCCAGGGCCAATTCAACCCCTGGGATAACCTAGAGCAGCCTCAGGGGTGCTCTTAATTGTGCTGGCTGGCAATAACTTACTTGGGGCCCCTATGTTTGTAGGGATTACTGCAACGTGGACTGCTCCAGTCATGCTCCTCCTACCCCAACATGTTCCTACACTGAGAGAGTCTGGGAGGTGGAGGAGGAGAGTTAGCTCCACACCAGATAAGGATTCCTCTACTGTGAAGGAATCTTTAGCAGCCCCTTTAAGACAGCTTTACGACCCCTTTGTTGCATCCTGAATAGCTGGCCAAATAGGCATTTTGCCTCAACAAAATGGATGGGATTAGGCCTGTATTCTCACAGGGCCCAAACCTTCAAGCCTTTCTTGTGCAGAATTCCCTTTGAATTTGGCAGGATCCTGCACTAAAGGATTGCAGGATCAGACATCCCTATACAGGTTTAGAGTAGTTTTATTCTGAAAAAGTTTTGTATCCTGTAAACAATTTGGATATTAAGAGTAAACAAACAGAGTTACCTTTGCCTTGGAAACTGGTAGATGAATTTTTGTGAAATGTTATTAATTCTACTCAGATCAGCACTAACCAGCCTTGTGAAACAGGTAATTGAGGATGGTGGGGAGAAATTACTGGGATAATAAACAGGTGAACAGCCTAGCCTAACAAGTTAGGCCATTGATAGTTAGACAGTTCAATCAAATCCTTACAGAAGATGCCTACAACTGCTTGAACAGTTCAAGCTATTGGGTCATATACACTCCTGATGTAACTCTACTGTAGTCAGTGAAATTATACAAAGGATGAATTGGACCCATTTTCTTCAGTCAAATTAGTTTATTCTTAGCTTCTTAATTATTGTAGGAGACATCTCCACAGCTTAACATCTCATTTTTAAAAAAGAAAGGAAAAACCAAAGAGAAGAAAATGAACAATGTTATAATGAGAGAGAAACTAGTTAACTTAAGTACATGGATAAGCAACTTTGATGGATCAGATATCATTGGGTGTTGACAGAAAGTCCTTTTCTCTTAATGTAGCCTCCCAGCAATGCTCCCGCCCCCAGGCTGCAGGACTGTGGAAATAAATGATTATGGATCCTTTACTGGGGAAGAAGTGGCATTCCCATTGGTAGGCTGGTGGTGGGGGGAATGAATTGTGTAGTGCATTGCAGGAGGAAATGAAAAGTTAGGTGTGTAAAGGAACAGGAATCTGGAAGGTTATGGTTTAAGGATCAAAGGAAGAACAGGATCACAAGGAAGTGTTTGTTGCAGGCTAGTTTGCAGAGGGAGGGAAGTGGGACATGCTTATTAGTAATGAGTCATTAGATTCCCATATTTCAGATTTGGATTAGTTCACAGACTCCATACATTTGTGCAGATCCAGCATGGAAGTAAGTTGTGTCAGCAGAATGCCAGGCAGAGGTAAGTGTTAACAGATTTGGGTCAACAAACATGCTTATTTAATGTCTCGAACTGGCTTCGATGCCAGAATACTGTATATTGTTGGCATTTTCATTTCATCAGATTTCCTGGTGTGTCTCCCATAACAAAAATAGACAGGAAATAGACATGCATTATGCTGCTGCCCTGCAGTGCAATTTGCAGTTGGAAGTAGTGCCAGAGAAGAAAAAACTAGTCTTCCAAGAGTAGTGGAAGAATCGTTTTATCTAGAGATACTCTCAGAGTGTTTTATACAATTTAGGAATGTTCAGTACAGAAGTGACTTGCGGTTGCAGGAGGTGAACTAGTTGACTGAACAGTTCTTTTGCATTTTTGGCTTCTGTGATCATATGTGACAATAAGGGCAGAATTTGTTTATTTACCCAGTATTCACAGAATAGGAGTTTCCATTAAAATCTTTACAGTTTGGCCTTTGAAGGTGGCTATTATTACAGAAGTATTCAATTATTCACTATGCAAAGAAAATTGAAGTGCAAACTGCAGGGAATAGTTGGATTGACAGTAACGTTAGCTACTTGCAAAGGCAAAACTGTAAAGATTTTAATGGCAACCACTGTATTTATCTACTCAGGAAAAACTCAGTTCAGATGCAGCAACTGTTTCTCAGTAAAGTCCACACTCCCCCCTTTTTTTTAAAACATAATTTTCCATTGGTTTGTCTATGGCCCCAAGAGGTCAAATGGGCAGGTTGTGTTCATACCTTTTGCAAATGTGATTGTGCATATGTATCATCGAGTAGGACTTGGCACTAACATTCTAAGAGTATTTCGACCCTGCAATTAAAGCATATGTAGCTGTGCTAGCTTTGGTCTAGCTAGCTGGAATAACAACAGCAGTAAAGCCAAGGCAACACCAGCTAGCTGCTCAAATCCATACCGTGGCTCCCAGGTGGCCTTGTACAACCCACGCTGTCACCGCTGTTCCCGGACTTACCAAATTAGAAATGGAAACTAGGAGGATCATGAGTTTTAATCCACTGACTGTCCTTTAGTAAATCCTTAGACCTCACAGACTCTCACTAGTTCTGCTTGAACTAGCAGGATAAAAATAGCAGTGTGGACATTGTGGCACAGGCAGTTGCTTGGGTGGCTTGGACTTAGGTGGCTAGCCTGAGCTGACAGCTGTGTGTCTACACTGCTATTTTCAGCACGCTAGCTCAGTTGGTGCTATCATAAGCCTGTTTACCCATGCTGAGAATCACACCTCCCAGACATACCCTAAGAAACAGATACTGCCTTTGAGCTGAGTTTTTTTGAGTAAATGAATAAACTGATGCTTTTTAGTGTGATGGCGAGAGCAGCTTTGTCATATTTGGGTTACATACAGTATTTGGGAAAGGGCATTAAAATGATAATATCCCTTTAAGAGTCAAGTAAAATGGATGTCAGGAAATGTACTAGGCAGCCCTCAAGTCAAGAGTAACCTTCTCTGAGACACTAAAGAACAACAGAAAGGAGAAACGTTGGGCCTGCTGCCAGAGCTGAGACCAGAAGAGGCGTTTGAGCTGGCACTCCTTTATCACAAGAGAGAAGGAGCTGCTGGCATGGGATTCTCCAGGAAGGTCCCTCAGTTCTGAAAGATTCTTCCATTAGAGCCCAAATTTGTTTTCATTCTTAATGCACTACAAAATCCATAATTTTCCTCCAGACATTTATGTTGCTCATGAGCGAATGAAAGATGACTTAGGGGAGGTCTTTTGTTAAGTTATGACATAAGAGTGGAGTGCTTCAGTCTTTTTGGGACACTCTTATAATTAGAAATTAATTATGGAAACTTGATGATTTGAAATACTGAACTGGTATGTTTCTCAGGGATTGTTTGAGAGTTATGTCTGCATTCTGATGTGTTGTATTGAAATGTGGGAGGTGCATAGGTGGTGTGGAGGAGAGTCAGACTTTACTTTCAAGTATTCACACTTGGCCCGCGGACTTAATGGAGGATTTAAGCATTTCAAATGATCAAATAGAGAGTTGAGGTATTTGAGGGTCTGCTTTTGAAGCATTGGTCCAGCAGGGGTTCTGAAGGAAATCTTAAAGGAAGAAATGAAGCAGTTATGAACAATACTCTGTTAATACTCTACAATGTGGTAGCACATCCAGACTACTGCTTCATTTCTCCCAGCACCACAAAGGGATGGCTGTAGCAACCGTGACTCATTGCAAAGGGTGTTATGGGTCATACTGTGAAGCAAGCCGCATGATGGGAGGTAGGATGGAGATTGGTAAGGATGGCACCATTGCTATAGGTTTACAGTTCATGCCACTATTTGGAGGTATCATAAAATAACAATCAAGAATGAAAAGCAAACAGAAGCATGCAGGAAAGGGAAGGTAACACCATACCAATGGGCAAGGGGCATCCAGCCCGTCCAGCCCAGGTAACCCCGGCTCACCCTTCTCGCCTTTAAAACCTCGGAGTCCCTGTTCATGAAATCAACCACTATAATTATTCCAGTCAATGCCATCCCCTCCATGCCATAGGAGGAGAGGCCCAGTCCCACACTGGTATAATCAAAGGGCACTCAAGCTACATACCCAGTACATAAATAATCAGTGTTTGAATCTCTAGTACATAACCGGTAGGAAAGGTTGCCTTGCTGGTTCTGTATTCTGTGTGAGTCAGAAGATGTTTTTCCGATTTTGTTAAATCTGTGAGGACTCTATTGGTGGGAGGAGTGGGAAGAGGATCTCTGTTTTTAGAAATCATCTTCAGTTGCTGTCCCCACTTTGAAACAAAAGAGAATAACTTCTGTGCAGGATCTGGCTGGGCACATACACTGCACTTATCACTGTTGTATGCAAGTGACTCTTCAGCTTGAGCAAATAATATACCTGGGAGGTGAACTAAAAAGATCAATGATAACATTTTAGACACACAGAGCTTCCTTAATAGCTAGGGTATGATTGATATATATAAAATAATCCTTGCTGCCATGTATCATTATGTTTTTCCATTAGTAATTTAGACAATAATTTGGATCATTCTTGCTACTTTTTAAATGTAAAGAGGCTTCCAATGAAGTGAGATAATGTCATGTTGAATGACATAGCCATCTTGATAATTTTTTGTACCTCCCATCAGATTTCACACCAATTTTTGTTTTCCCACTGGGTATCCTAACCTGGGTGCCCTGTGTCATTATCAAGGAGCGACTCCCTTACAAAACACATCAGATGGACACTGCTCAGAGCAAAAAAGAAGGCATTTTAGATTTCATCACTGCTTACGGGTGATGATATTAAGCATTGCCAAAGAACAACAACCCGTAAGTGGGGGCATGGGAGTTCCAAGGTTCTCCTTTCATAGCAAAACCCCTTTGCTCTCAGCCTCCTGCCATTTCACCCATTCCTTTTTGAGCTCCTGAAAAGAAAGGGCCAAAGCCAAAGTTACTCTATAGCCCCATTGCTCTTTAAGGGACTGTTCCTGCCTCACACTGAAGAAAACAGCTATGCCGTAGACTCCAGCTACAGCAGCGCAAGACCTTATTTAAGCAATGTGACTTTTGTTATAGCAGGGAGCTCTTTATGCCTGTCATTTACTTGAAGTTTTCCTTCTTTCTTCCTCATTGGCAAATCTTAAAATAAAACATTTTATAAAACAGAACATACCAATGGACAGGGTGCATCTAATCCAGGCGCTCCTTGGTCTCCCTTATCCCCTTTAGGCCCTCTAGAGCCTTTCTTGCCCCTCTCCCCCTGTAAATAATAGTTTAGTCCAAGAAAAAAAATACACAAAAGCTTTAGGATCATCCATTTCAAATAAATGTCAGAGATAGTTTAAAAAAAATAAATAAACAAATGTCTAGAAAAATATTGTAAAAAAGGAGATTCCTTCAGTTAAGTTGCCCTTATAGGAAAGCCTTTTGTGGATTTATTGATATTTTTAATTTACATGTATTACCCTTCAGCAATTGTCCTGATAAGGATTCTGATCCTATCATTGCATTAACTGAACTGTCAGCCCTCTGAACTTTGGAGATGGGATTGCACTGGGGACTCCTCCAGCCAGGAGAGTGACACCTAATACCACTCCGCAGACTGGCTAGGAGGAGATGTTTGGACACTGAATGATCCTAAGCCTGGCTCGGGAGCCCAAGTGTGTCACTTCTTTGACTCTCATGAGCTCCACTGACCCAAGGAACAAGATACTGGCCGCTTGATTCCAAGTCTGGCTCTCCTGCTTTGTCACATCCTTGGACCGGATTACCAATTCATTAGTTTTACACCTGTTTTCCTTTATACTTCTCCTTGTCCTCCCCCCCAAAGTATTTCTGGTTTATAGTAATATAACAAGTAATTTAAAATGCATTCTCTTAAATGATTTTTAAAATACTGTATGTTTTACGTAAGCATTTTCCACTGCTTTTTTTAAATGCTGTACTTTAAAAAAATAAAATGTCTCTCTTCCTTGATTAACAAAAGCAGATCTGTATCTGTCACAGCTTTAATTTTAGCAAATGAATGAGCCTGATATTGCCATTGTTTTGTGCAGAGAGGGTCTGAGTTTTCTCTGGTATAAAATTGGTTTAAGTCAGTATCACGCCATTGACTTCAGTGGAGTTACTCCTGATTTACATTGGGGTCCGTGAGAAAAGAATCACACCCAGAGAATGAAATTCATCCCTGTGCAGAGGGCCAGCATAAAGCCTGTCTAAAAACAGGGCATAAGTGGATCTTAAACAGTGAACAGGTCTCCCACTGCCTCTCTGCACAGGGTAAATTTCATCCTCAACTCAAACTGAATTAAATAGAAATTCTAAGCGCAGGTCAACATCAGGATAGGCCTTGATATTTACAAGAAAATATATATACAAAATATCTTCATATTAATTATATTTTTCAAAAGAGCAGAGCTTTTCGAAGCTGCTGAGGTTACAATGGAAGTGGCATGGCTGAAGAGGGAATTTTATTTAGTGTCGAGATGGTAAGGATTAGAAGGTTCAATAAAATCAGGCAGCAGAGGTATAGATTTTCTTTTTTTAAAGAAAAGTAAAAGGTTTTAGACAAAATAAATTAAAAGCTGACAAAAGAAATGGATGGGATAGGAGAGGTAACTAGGAGAAATCACCGAGGATCAAACACTGGAACAGAGAGAGGATAACCCGGGAGAAAAAGTGGAATGGGTTGTAGTGGAGGGAGGAGGAAGGACCCAGGAAAAAAGGCAGAAGAGGAGGAAGGGATAAAGGGGACAAAGGTGGACCTGTAGAAGCAAGGAATACACACGAACACACAGACTGGAGAAGAAAAAAAATAGATACTATAAAAAAACTGTGAAGAGTTTAGCTTTAATGCACACTTTCAGCATTTATACTTTTTCAGTTGGGTTATTCACAAGGCTGTCATGTTCCAGTAACATTTCAGTTGTTACATAGCACACTATTTTCATGACTGCACTGGATCTTGAAGGCTATTATTATACATCCTACAGTGACATAAGAACAAAGGGCTCTGCTCCACAGAAAAGATCCACAGCATAAAAAGGCACAGTTCTGTCTTTTGCAACTAGAAGGCCTGTGAAGGGGATTTTTTGCCAAATTACTGCAGGGAATGGGGTGGGCACTTCAGAACCTATTTTCAATGTGTTCATCACAATGTATGTGCATAAATCTTATTAATAGCCCATGGCTGTTACTAGTACCTACTATTAAAAAGATTTTAAAATAACACATTTTCTTGCTGGAAAAGAAGCTATCAAACACAAGGCAGGTGTTTGCATTCAGTTGTTAAAACTCTCTGTTCCAGGTCTCCTGTCAAAGGGAGTCCATCTCAGATGATCAAAATAAAAAGCATTCGTACCTGAAGAAGTCCATGTCATGTCATTACTGTGGTATGTCTCCCATAAATGGGTATGAAAGTACCATAGCCTATGCTCAACCCTGGGCTATGGGAAAGGAGAGCAAACTCTTGGTGACTAAACAGTTTGGCTAATGAGAGACACCATTTGGTGGCTTAACAATGCATTTGAGCACACAGAAGTCTCCAGATTTCTGCAGAATGGAGGTATTTGTAAGAATGTCAATTAGACTGGGGCATCGGACAAAGCCATTTGCTACGGCTTAAATTGAAGCTTAAATTTTTTAAAATAAAATTTACTCTAATTCCTCAGAGTTACTCTAATAAGTAGCCCTCTTAATAATTTGTTAAAAGGACTGTGGGCTGAGGAGGAGCCCTTAATTTAATTGTTAGTGATAAAATATATATTTGCTGGATCAGACCTGAAAAGCTACAGTATTTGCCCATTCACAAACTCAGTTTTCTCGAACATTTTTGTTTCAAAACATTTGTTGCATTTCAGCCAATATTTATTTCAAGGGGACCATGACACACCCCTCTTATCATCTATTGAAGTTGCTGTTGTTCCCACTCTTCAATTATTTTTATGTGAGGGAGAACCATGAAGCCACATTAACCCAAACTGATTCATACTGCAGCCAACAAAAGACCCATCTTCTAAATACATTACCCAGATTTAAAGCCAACTGAAAAAGTCTAAATAAAGATCCTGTTAAGCTTATGTCTTATTTAGAAAAAAAACCTTAATAAAATAAAGAGGAGGTTAGAAAGCAAAACCAGAAGTGGAATGATTAAAAGGTAGCAGCACCTTGGAGCTGCCATGAATTTCAAGCAATTTGGAATAGTCTCTCCTTGTTTAACATGCTGACTGGCAGTGCATTTTTCAAAACTGTTAATCTGTCCAACATAGAATCAGAGGAGCACTTCAGATGATAAGGAAGGAGAGACAGCACTTGTCAGATGTTATCAGCAAATATATTAATCTCATACAATTACTGCTTTGACACATATTCCATCACAGCTTTAGTCTATTTCCGAAATGCTTGCATATGGCATCAGAGCCTTATAAAGAGAATCTAGATCTATCAAGTGAATAAACTATTCTCAACTGTGTATCTCTTTATTGTTGTTATCAAAGGATTCAGATCACTAATAATCCTAATATAAAAAAAACATAAATATATACACTTGGGTATAGTTTATTTCTTTATAACACAGGCACATGATGTAAAAAAGATTGTCAGCAATTAACATAATCTATTGCTTTTCTTAGTACCTGGCTCTACAGTTCTTATGCCAATTCAAGTCAAAGCCAGAGTAAGGAGTCTAAGACTGCATGATCGGGTTCTTTAATATAGTCATATTTAATTGTTTCTTAAGATTTCCATGTTTGGTTGAAAAAAAGATGTAATTCTGGAAATTTTGGAAAACATTTTGCTGCAATAAAGTGGCTGACATTCTTTTTCAGCATTCAAGGGGAATTTGAGTACCATGTGACAAGATTTAACTATACCACCATTATTAACACTCATGGGAATTGTCTGGTTTATCCCTGCACATCTCACTAAGTATGTTAAGGTAGGATTTTCAAAAGCACTCAGTACTGGCCTCATTCAGTGAGAGCAGAGAGAGGCCACCACTGAGCACTTCAGAAAATACAGTGGGTATGCTTTTAGTGTTTGAATGATGATGTCTTTGGTTATGGTGCATTGTATAAACTACAGCCATCGCACTGTAAATTACACATCTGTAAGTTGCTTTATAAGGGTTTAACAGGTAGGAATTCATCTGTTTTTTTTCCAGGTAATTCAGAAATTAACCATTCCACCACTACATAAAGACATTAGTAACCAAATGCAGGAAGTTTGGTTCCTGACTTACCCGGTTTCCTTTGTCACCAGATGGGCCTTGTAAACCCTAAAATAGATCAGTAAGAAGAAATATATATATATATTTTAAATCAATGTCAGCCAAACTAGTCCCTTTGTTTACTCAGTCAAAATAATTCTTCAGACAAAAATTCAGCAAATAAACTAACGTCTTCATTTCTATTTTAAAACGAAGATAGTTTGTGATTTAAAGCTACAGCTCCAATGTTACACCCGCTATGTACATGAATAAACCCTGATCATGTGAGTAGTCCCATTGAAGGGCTACTTGTGTGCCTAGGGTTACAAAACTGGGCCCCAATTCTGTCTTGTCAGCCTTTGGAAGGCAGATGTTCAGTTCAGAACAGTAAACACTTGGAATGGATATGTTCAATAAAAGTACCTTAGTATAACATATGAATAGTCTAAGCATGGCTTACTTTTTATTCCAGTAATTTCAGGATCTACATTGTTACATATTTTATTCTCTATGCTTTAAAATATATTCTTCTGCTGGCTAGACTAATTATTTTTCTATTGTTTGTTTTAAAGTATTTAATTTTAAATTGAATTATTTAAATATCACTCAGGATGCTGGGACTGGGAGAAAAGTCTCTTGCTTTGAAAATGAAAACCAGGGTTTCAATTTACCATTATTTGTACAAATTCCTCAGCTTCACTTTGACATTTATATGGCAGTGAGAGAACATTTTCTCTCATTACAGCAGAGTATGCTGCTGTTGGAAGGTGAAAGCTTCATGGATGGCAGACAATTTAGATACATCAATACTTACAGGAAGCCCAGCTGGCCCCTTTGGTCCTGCATTTCCAGGGTCTCCTTTACTGCCCTAAAATAGAGACAAAAGAGAAGATTTTTTCTATTTTTGTACACAGTATGGGGTACAAATACACTTTGATCTGGAGGTCCAACTCACAAGAGTGTAGCTGAAGTGGTACGAGCAGCAGGAGGTCCTAGCTGCCCAAGTATGTATATAGCATCTTGGAAGGTAAATGTTTGGAGTGGCTAGCGCCTCCTGCCACTTGTGCCACCACGGCTACACTCTACGTTTAGTGGCTAGCTCGATCAGAGCTAGCATGGGTATGTCTCCCCATGCTGGAATTCATACTTCCATCTTGAAGTGTAGACATACCCGTTAACAGGCTGGGCACAGATGGATAAACAAACACTTCTGAAAATAATGCAAAGGGCACCTATTTCAGGGACGTTAGTTGCCTCGTAGAGAAGAAGCCAAAATATAAAATGTTTAAAAGTCACAAAGAGGCAAGTCCCAACTTCTGGAAGGAGCTGCAGTTACCGTACTTTAGAAACAGTAGCAGCTGGCACTGTCCATGAAACTTTGAAGAAGCTGGGGAGGGGTGTGTGTGTGTGTGCGTTTAAAGCTAACTTACCCTTTCCCCTTTTGGTCCTGCTGGTCCTGGAGCTCCAATTGGTCCTGGAGTACCCTGCAATTTTAGAGAGAAAAAGACATAAACCATTTTCTTCATGATCAGGCTTCTTTACAACTGAGAAACAGCATGGTCCTTGAGGAAAAAGCAGAGCTGAGAAGGAGATTCCAGTTATGTAAGGAGTCATTTCAATTACTACAGCTTTCAGGATTGATGAGGACAGTTTCTCTCAACAACTCCCACATGCAATTATAGGACCATAGAAATTGCCATACAAGATTAGTATATTTTTACAAAGCCTTATTTTTATTTGTGGGGTGGCTATCTTGAAAAATAACATTGACAGACACCCCTTTATTTGCTAGGTGACTGTAGTTTTACCCACGAGTTTGCATCCCCAGCAAAGCTGAAACCTGTAGCAGAATAAAGGCGACATTTTAAGCTTTTTTCCAAATGAGTTCAGCTGAGCAAAAATGAAATAGAATTTGCATTATTTTTTGGTAGGCAGATCATCATGCAGTTTGAAAGGTCACCATGCCGCATGGACTAATGCAGATGCACACATACACAGAGGCAAACATGAGAGAGTACCCATTCAGTCCTAAATCCTCTGTCCACCCTTTCACCATTTGGATCACTCCACCAAATTCTAGGTCATGGTAAAGGGAAAATCCAGTGTCTGTGCTCAGCCTTTGGCCCAGGAGCAATCTCCCTTTTTCATACCAAAATTTTCAGCCACATTGAAGCTTGCTTGGATGTTGGTAAGTTAAGTAGTCAACCCAATCAGTTCTTATCTTTTTGCATTAATAATGCAGTAGGTAGGCAATAGCCCTTTTGGCCATGAGAAGTGTTATCATTCTTGAAGACAAGACAACTAATTCAGATTTTCTGTGGAAATCCTTATGATTTACACTCATGTGAATCTGGATTCAGCCTCTTGTGGACTCCTATGCCACATGTGATAACTAGGGTTGCTAATTTTGGTTGGACATATTCCTCGAGGTTTCACTGCATGACATAAGAATTAATCTTTAATTAAAGATTAATTCCTGGAGACTCCAGGACAATCCTGGAGAGTTGGCAACCTTAGGTCATATGCGTGTTCTGTGCCACAGTATCTAACGTTCTCCAGGCTGCTATTTTTAAATCTAAGTAAAGGATTAGGAGATTTCAAAGCACCTTTCTAAACAGAACATATTTATGCATTTTACCTTTTTAACTCTATGCCAGATCAGATCATATTATGTTGAACTGGTGAAAAACTAGCTATCCATCCAAGTTCCAATTTTTTAATTCTTTCATGGACTGCTAGAAAGGAAAATTACTTCTCAGACAGGAATGGAAAAGGGAGACCTTTTGGACCTTTTACAGTAGCTTATCCTTTTGATTGAAGGAAAAGGAAGTGGAGGTTTAATCAGGAGAGGTTGGATCTTGCAATCCTTACTCACAAAAGAAGTCCTACTGACTTCTGTAGGATGACTCATGTGAGTAAGGAGGATTATTTGTACCTGTAAGCATTTGCAGGAACTGGCTGGAGAAGTAATTCATCATGACACACACACGCCACTTGAGTGTGAACGAAAAAAAAAAAATCATTCCCTGGACTCATGCAGAGGACTGTAAGTGCACCATGGGAATTTTAACTACCTATACATTTTCTCCATTTTAAGATAGTTTAAGGCCTAGAGTCCCTAAAGATCCATAGGGAATATCTAGAAGATTTGTAAAAGTAAATATACAACTTCTTGAAACAAATATGCAAATGAGAAGTTGTCATTCAATTTCTTTTGGGGGAGAGTAATGGGGCAATTAAATTAATTCCTGTTCCACTGAAAAAGGGGAAATCAAAGTACCTCTGAAAAAGTCAACTCTGACTGTATTTGGAGGCTATATAGCATCCTATGAAGAAATAATAATACTTTGCCCTTACATAGTAATTTTCATCCAAGGATCAAAAGTGCTGTATAAAATTGGGTTAGCATCATTATTTTTGTTCCCATTTTACAACTTAGGAAAACGTAGGCACAGAGAGGTTATCTGACTTGCCCCAGGTCTCACAGTGAGTTAATGACAGAGTGAGGGACAGAACCAAGCAGTCTTGGTTCTCAGCCTCCTGCCCAACCACTAGACCTCACTGCCTCCCAGATGAATAAAATTAAAGTTAAAACTTCCACCAATGGTTTCTGAGACTTGGGGAAAGCATTTATGAAGTTGCTGAAGCTCAGGAAACTGTGTGGTGTGTTGGTGCTCACAGAGGGGTGGCTAGTGCTGTTTTTCAGAAGGTTTCTCACATGCATCTCCTCCTACCGGAGAGGTGCATTTAAGGTTATAATAATAGCTGTGCATGCAACCCATTACAATGCAGTCCTAAATGGTATATGTGAGAACAGTGCACAGCAAAGCTTTTTGCCCGTATAACAAACACGAGGTGTTACTACGTCTAAGACAAGTCTGAGGAGATGCTGTTGCACAATGCTGTAAGCAAGGCTACCACGGGGAAAGACAAGACGGAGACAGTTCACAATAGGAGGACAGAAGTACATGGCATCATGGGTTTCATGCAGAGGCTTCATTTAATATAATCCTGGTAATAATAATAAATAATAAAGTCAAAAAATGTGTAAAAGGATGTGATTAAGGCTAAAATCCCTAGTCCCAAATGGACGTACATTGTTGAGAATGACAAGAAGGCGATCTTTCACCTCTCAGTAACAATATCTAAATTTAGCATTTTGACATCCTATCCATCTTCAGGGAAAAGAAAGCTACTCATAATGTAAATGAGGGCATAGTGGGATGGACAAGACACATCACAGTACCAGGGAAGAGGAATGTAGGGTAACGGAGAAATGGAACTCACCGGTGGTCCAGGCCTGCCGTCTAAACCTGAAGCACCCTGAACAGATGGGAAAGGGTTAACAAAAAAGGCAGGAAGGAGTGGGAGGTGAGGGGAGAAAAAGGAAAGGGGGAGGGAAGAGGTGAGTGAAGCAGTGACTTGAGACAAACATATGCTTGCAATAAACAAAAACAAAAAATAAGAACTCAAGGACAGGTGATGGTACTTACAAGGAAACCAGTGAAAACATAGAGACACTGAATGCACGTAATACTGGCTAGTGCCTTTAAGATACCTTTGAAAATGCAACATTCCCTCTTACTCTGTTTCAAAGTACCACTCAGTGATCACCCTAGGGAGAAGCTGCTCTGTGGTGTTCTAGGCAAGGAGACGGGCATTGTGACAGTGGAGCTGAGGACCCTTGTAATTACAGTGTCAGGCTGGCCAGCGCAGCATTGAATTATCAGTAAAATGAAATACAGCACTGGTACTAGAGTGGAATCAAGGAGCCTAGAACCCACGCAGATATTGATAGGTTCTAGAGAGCCATCCACTGCTCAGGGAGTTCCCAGCTAGAAGTGTGTGTCAGTTTAGTGGGGACTTGCGTTCCATTTTCAAAACTGCCCATGCTTCACATAGAGAGAGTTGCAAGGGGTAGCAGTCAGATAAGGGGGTAAAGCCAGCTGTTGTGAGTGGCTGAAAATCAGATTTATATTGGGAATCTTGCTTTAGCTTCAACTTTGGAAGGGTCACTGCTGATCCTTAATTTGAATTGGAATTAAGAATTCTTGCACACACATATAATATCTTGTAATCAATAGTGTAGGACATGTGCATGATAGTGTTGACATAGTATTTCTCAGTTTTGATCTCATTCCCCTGATTGCTGTGTGAACACCTTAATTTGTAATACTGTCTAGAGTAGCCATTTTTTAAATATGTAAGGCCCAGTTCCATAAAGGTACTTAGGTGCCTTAGACCCATTTTTAGGCTCCACTGTGGCCTGCAAAACTTCTGCTCAGCTGCCACCTAAACTCACTTGGCGCCTATGTTTGTCTCTGGGTACGTGCACTGCTGTCTCAGACTAGGTGTCTGAACTCCTGTGTCCCACCTAAGCCCCCGTGCGATCCACAAAGTAGGGGAAGACAAGCAAAGGAGTCAATCTCACCCATGGGGCCCTATCCAGTCGGTACGCTCAGAGGCTGCCTACCAGGTCGGGTCCCATTCAAAATTATTATTATTAGTGGTGGTGACCTTGCAATATTTAGCCAGTGGTCAGAGCACTGACCTGGGTTGTGGGAGATCCAAGTTCAATTGCCCTTTCTGCCTGAGTGGGAGAAAGGATTTGACCCGTGGTCTCCCACCTCTCAGGAGAGTGTGCTAATCACTGAACTAAGGGATACTCTGATGTGGGACTCCTGCAGTCTCTCCTGTTGAACCTGTTCCTCTGTGAATAAATAATTAAAGGGTCATTGGAACTAGGGGACTGGGCCCTCAGTGTCCCACCTCCATGGTGGCTGCCCTAATCACAAGGCATTCTCATTCACTGTCTCTCTGGATTCCTTTGTGCGTCTGGGTCTAAATGTTTAAAGTCGGGGGGGGGCCAAATTCTGGTTCAATTTATTGCCCTTAGTTGAGCTCGGTGGGATTGTGCTGATTTAACAATTGATTTCTAACACATTATCTGCAGTCTATCTCTGTCACAATAAATGCTAATTAAATGCTTAATTATTTCAACCACATTTAGGGGTCTACATTCTGAAAATTTGCAGGATCAGGCCATTTATATCTTAACAAGAGAGTATTTATATGTCCTGAATATGTAGCTTATTTCCTCTGAATATGGCAAATAAAATCCATCTACATCTCTATAAATATTTTGCTAACTCTCAACAGCTACATAGCTCAATAATTATGTTTCGTGTGGTTCATTTACTACCCAGTTATGTTTTTGAGGGTGAATGTGATATTGGGAGGGTTTCTGCTTTCCATATAACTCCCCTGAGAGCAAGTTTGTTTCTTGATTTATTGCCACTTGCATAGCATTATAAGGAACTGTAGATGGGGGAGCTGACAAGGAAATGTGTGAGCCAGCCCATCTGTTCAACATGCTTCCCAACCAAGTTTCATATGTCATATCCTCATTTTTTAAGTCACTTAGCACATCACTGCTTTAAACATCTTGGCACCATTGTTATAAACAAAGACATGCAATTTTTCAGCCAAAACTATCTGGACAAGAGTGCTGGGTGATAACACAAAGGCCAATAACAACAAATCACACAAGTGCACACAACAAGCTCTTTGCAGTGAATGTTTCCAGGCAGTGTGAGGTTCAGCAAAGGTGTACTTTGGTGCTTTCACTTCAGTGCTTTTTTCTGAATAGGTAAAACTCTGTGCCTTTTCTTTACAAAGTCCTTGGTTTTGATGTAAAGCGACCACACTCTGATTCTTAACTCTACTGAAATTCATTAGCGCTTCCTTGATAACGTGTAACTGAGCAGCACAGTAACACTGGTTTAAACATGAATATGCTGAAATAGAATATCCTTACTACATATACAAGAGAAGAATGAAACTTAATTGGATATATTCTGCTTCTGGGAAGGCATCAAGTTTTATTGCAAAAACGACAGGGATAAGTTAACTGGATTGGATAAATTAAAAAGACCCCAAAGCTTGAACAAAACCTTTTTTCAATTTACAAACAGCTCAACCAACTGGTTTCTCTTCATTTTTGCACATCTCAGCATTTTAAGGCCAGGACCAAACCCAGAAGTGCTAAAAGACCAGAAGAAAAGCTGTTCATACAGTATTTTCAGCCAGGAAAGCAGAAGGAACTTGAGGGAACCTGTTCTAATGAGATTCCTAGTCCAATTTTACAGATCCAAAGGAGAAGCTTCTCCAGTTTCAGATGCTGATCCCAACCAACTGCCCAAAACAGTTGAGGCTTGTCCATCACTAAAAACCAATAGGCACTGCAGCTCATAGGCCAGCTTTTTGTCCCTAACTCTAATTTTAGATAGTCAAATCTTTATCTGTCTCTCTTATTTTGGGATCTTTCTAAGACTGGACTATGTATGGCTTCCCAAGTTCTCCTTGCTTCCTGGAGACTTACGGGCAATCCCAGTGGACCTCGGTCTCCTTTCTCACCCTCGACACCCTTCTCTCCTTTCATTCCATCAATCCCCGCTTCCCCCTGAAGGAAGAATGGATCAGAAAATAAACCCATCATGGCACCACTTCTAAAACAAACATTTCTCCATTCCAAAGGCATAGCAGCACCAAAGATAGTATAGTAGAGGCCAAAGAAACCTTGGATAGTGTGGACCTGGTTTTCCTCTCATACTGGAGAACAACACTGTAGCTCAATTGACTTCAGTACGGTTACTCCTGATTTACACCAGAGCAGGGGAGACAAGAATCAGGGCCAATGTCTCATTACAGAATTTATGGGGAACAGAGCTCATATATTTCCCTCCCTTTGGTGTTCAGAAATTAGTGAGAAAGTAGATCTATGACAAGCAGGTGGAAGTTAAGTGTATATAATAGAGTTGGTCAGAAATTTTCCGGCAGACGTGTGTCATGGAAATGTGTTTGATGAAGATTCATCATGAAATTAAAATGGAACAAAAGTGATAATTCTATTTTGAACTTTTTGGAATGGAACATTTTGGCTTTCCGCTTCTAAATGATAGTTCTTTTTTTAATTTCATACTATAAAATATCAAATGAAAAAAGCTGTAATCAGAATGAAATGTTTCAATGTTGTAACAAAATGTTTTGATCAACCAAAAACAATTTTTTTATGTGAATTTTGGTTCACAGGAAATTTTGCAATTTTTTGTTTTCATTCCATTCTGGAATGGAAGAAATTTCAAAATTGCAAAACTACCATAGAAATAAAAATTCCAGTTCTTGTACAGCTCTAGAATGTATATATAACACATACTTGCCACCTTTCCCTTAATTATGAAAAAGCATTCCTTTTTTGGTAAAAATGGATATCATTGCCCATTCTCCCAGAAACAAATCTATTTGGCTTAGTGTATGTACTTGGAAGAGACTTCCTACCTCTAACATGCTTCCAAATGTGCTTCCAAAGGGTAGCCAATTCTCTTCCCAGTCACTAAAACTTGCCATAGGACTGAAGAGGCTATAAGGAACCTGGGAGCTTAAGGGGATGGAATATAAGATTCCATACCTAAGTTTTTCTGGACTTGTTTCTTTTAGGACCAGGCCTATATGGCCAATAGGTATCAAAGCAATTTGAGGAGGGTCATGTGTAGTTGTTCCTTCCTCACCTCTAACCAAAACTTCAGGAATTTGTATGGTCTGGGTCTTTTTGGTACATACCCACACAAACTACCAGGTCTGGATCTTTCAAAGGTTTTTCAGACAGGTGGTAGCAGTGGTTAGTGGTTTATTGAGCAACCAACATTTCTATATTTGTATGTGTACCCAACACTTGGGGACAATAGGAATGAACATCTCTGTTTTTTACAGAATGAACCAATCCTGAAAGCCAACTGGTATGCAATGTGAGGACATCTGTCCCAAAAGTGCTGTGTCCTGTTAAGGTGCCATCCCAATTGGCACCATGAATGTATTAGGAGGATAAGCTCAGGAAGCCAAACACCTAGACTACTCAGGAGGAGTGGGTACTTCCATATTTAGATCAACATCTTACAATCTTCACTGAGAGGTCATTTAAACCACCTAACTAGATCAAAGCTAAAATGTAGAGCTGGGCAGTTGAAATATGCTGTTGAAATATGCTGTCTTGTCAAAACCAAAATGTATTGCAGAGACATATTTAGTTAGGTGAAGTTTTCATCAGGAAGGTTTCTGAGGTCCAGGATGGACTCTCAGATCACAGAGAGAGACCTGAATTGAAAACTTGACCTTTCCAATACTTAAACGGATGTTTCTGACACCATGTCTGAATGTTTTATCTTCATTCCAGTGCAGAACAAAAACAAATTTTTAAACCTATGTCATTCTCCAGCCAGCTCAAGTAAAATATCAATACTTAACAGCTTATAGCCTTACCTTCGGTCCTGGAAGGCCTTGAAGACCCTATAGTTGAGATAAGAAATGGTAATATTTTATTACTATGATTTTAAATCCCAGTATCCTGGTTTCATGTGCAGTATAATACCTTGGTTTTTTGACAAGGTGGATGAGGTAATATCTTTTATTGGACCAACTACTGTTGGTGAGAGAGACAAGCTTTTGAGCTTACACAGAGCCGATCCAATAAAATATATTATCTCACACATCTTTTCTCTCTAATATCCTGGGACCAACATAGTTACAGCAACACTGCATACAACCTTTCTCTTCTGGCATACTGAGCTCATATATGCTTAATATGACATTGTCAACTATATACATACATAGTGCTTTGGAAGGTATCATTTTTTACATTAGGGCATACTTCATGTACTCTGGTTTGGTAATGAAGAGAGTCTATCCAAAAACAGTCTGGCAGTGGTGCATACCTGCTGCTAAGATCATTTTCCTGGTTCGTCACTCTGATTACATTTCTCTACTGGCTCCCTTTGCATCAAACACAAGTGCTTTCCTTTAACTTTAAGGCCCATCACAACATAGGGTACAGCTATCAAGCTAAATTAGTAACCTTCTGCTGTGTCAGTTTCTCTCTTTATGCTGCCATTATTTCCAACCTTTACTGCCGACCTGTGAGCTTCGCCCTCAGATACCTCTGTCTCCCACACCACTTCTTATACACAAGAAAAGCTCCATCAAAAATCTGTACAATCATTACACTAACTTCATTCAAATCTCTCCTTAAGTCTCATCCCCCAAAGTAATCAATCAGAACTTACTGCAGCACCTGGTGGGCCTTGGGGCCCGGGTGGCCCCGATACCTAAAAATCAAGGTAAAAAAGTAATTGTCATAATAAACGCTTCTGTGAAAGTACAAGGCACAGTCTACAGAAAACTAGGTTTTTGGGAGCAGTGGATGGCTGGTTATTAAATCACATGGAAAATGGTGTTTGCCACTCCAAGAAGCTCATGACGGCTATGAGGATGCTGTCGTGTCAGTGATAAGGTGGCTGGTGTGAGACCTGCAGAGTTTCAAGAAGCACTGGTGACAAGATTCAACTGTACATCTTCTGATAGTACAGAAAAAAGTGAAGAGAGAAACTTACTGAATCCCCTGCGTCTCCTTTTTCCCCATCCTCACCAGGTTCTCCTTTCTCTCCCTGTAAACACAACAATATAACTATGTAAACAGATTTCAGAGTGGTAGCTGTACTAGTCTGTATCAGCAAAAACAACGAGGAGTCCTTGTGGCACCTTGGAGACTAACAAATTTATTTGGACATAAGCTTTCATGGGCTAGAATCCACTTCATCAGATGCATGGAGTGGAAAATACAGGAGCAGGTATAAATACATGAAAAGATGTGACTTGCCTTACCAAGTGTGAGGTTGAAGAATTCTTCAACAAAAAAACTTCAAAAACAGACTCCAACATGAAACTGCAGATCCGGAATTAATTTGCAAACTGGACACCATCAGATTAGGCCTGAATAAAGACTGGGAGTGGTTGGGTCATTATAAAACCTAAACCTAATTTCCCCCTACTGTTACTCACACCTTCGTGTTAACTGTCTGAAATGGGCAACTCTCATTACCACTTCAAAAGTTATTTTTCCTCCATTGGTATCCTGCTGTCAATTGAATTGTCTCATTAGACTAACTTCACACTTGGTAAAGCAAGTCACATCTTTTCATGTATTTATACCTGCTCCTGTACTTTCCACTCTAGGCATCTGATGAAGTGGGTTCTAGCCCACGAAAGCTTCTTCTCAAATAAATTTGTTAGTCTCTATGGTGCCACAAGGACTCCTCGTTGTTTTTTGTATGTAAACAGAAGCACCAGTGAGAGTCTAGCTCCACCAACAGCCAACTGTGAAACAGCCACAAGTTTAGAAATAGCAATCCCTTCAAGGAGGAAAGAGAACTTAGCATTTATTTACAAACATCGTTCATCTGCATCCCTTTCTGCTCCCCTGAACATCTGTGCCAATATTATGCAGTGTGTGAAGGTTCAGGTCCCTGAAAGTGTTATCCCAGGATGGATTTTCAGTTTAGGGATTATTCTCTTAAATCCTAGAGTTGGGGTATGGAGAGTATAGCTAGGATCTGCTATTATTTCACCAGCATGCAGGGTAAATTTTTCAAAAGTGCAAAAGCAATTTAGGAGAAAAGTCCTATTGACTCTCATTGAGACATAGGATTCTATATCCCTAAGTCACTTTTGAATGGATCTAAGGCTCCTAAATTATGTAAATTATGTAAGCCCCTTTGAACATGTAACTCTCAGAGTTGTGGTGCTTGCTCTGTCCTCAGTTTAACCCAACTTGAAAATTCATTCTTTCTTTTGCACTCGTACTGTCAATCCTGGAAGTCCAATTAGACCTGGTAATCCTGAAGGTCCTGGTATCCCTTGGTCACCTCGTTCTCCTTTCTCCCCATTTGGGCCATCAAGACCCTACAGATCAAGAAAGACTTTTGTTTCTTGCAATACTAAGTCATGCAAATAAAAGATAGACATAATGTTAAACTGAAATATGAAAAGCTCCTTTAGTTCCTTGAGTGGCATGGGTGATGTTAATGTTCTCCACTTCACTCCACTTGAAATCAGAGGGTTACTGGTGCATGCTATCTGGTTTTGTACTTGTGAAGTGCTTCATTGCTCCATGTGAAGTCAATGGGAATACCCACATGCTTAAAGTTATGCTCATGCTTAAGTGGTTTCCTGGATTAGTGCCAAAATCTCATCCTAACAACTAATTCTTATGGGACTGAGAGCAATAGTCAGTTATTAATAACCTTGTGGAAATACATAAGAGACACAGTGTCTTTTAATCTGTAAAGCATTATTAATCCACTATTACTTTATTCAGAGAAACAATTAGGATGTGTCACTCAGAGAGCAGCCAGGGTTTTCAACCCTGAAAGACTGATGTGATTACTTCTACATGTACATGCACTGTACACTAAGGAGGGTCTCTGTCCCTAAAGTTCACATTCAAGGCCCCCAACATCTGCAAGTGTTTGCACCCAGGCTTTTGGTTCATGTCCATCTCTGCCGTGACTCTTTACAAACACAACTCACTGCTATGATGTGTTGTATTTACTCACCGGAGAGCCAGCTTCTCCTGCCTCCCCCTTTTCCCCCTTTGCTCCTGGGGTCCCCGTAAGTCCAGTCTCTCCCTTCGCTCCTGGAGGTCCCTCCTTTCCTGGGGGCCCTTGGGGACCAGGAGGCCCCACCTCTCCTGATTTACCTCGTGGCCCCTAAAAAGATATCCACATGATTTAAAAATAATACTTCCACAGTTAGGGAAAGAAATCAAAGTATGGGGCTTAGTTCACTGGAGTCTCTGGGCCTGACCCTCATTCACAATGAAACTCCTTTACACTGCTCCGGCAGTGTAATGGAGCCTTACAGTGAGTGTAATCAAATGTAATTCACAGAGGAATATGGGGGAGGGAGGCTTAGTGTAAATGAGATTTAGTCTATCTCGTTCTATTACAAGATACAGTCTGGTGGTTTACACAGAGGTAGTGCTTAGCATAGGAGTAGATGTCATTAGACAACACTCTCCTCTTGTCCATGGACAACTAATGTGAAATTTGCAGTTTTCCTTTATCAACATTTTTGGGGTGAAAGAGGAACGTTTGATGAAGTAGTGACTAAAAGTCCAAAATTATAAGCACTTTGCTGAATCAGACCCTAGGGGACTACTCATGTGCTTAGCGTTAAACATATCGCTAAGTGCTTTGCTGGTTCAGGGTCAGAGCATGCAGCAGCTAGCGGGACTGAGCCTTAATGGGTCTGATTCTGCTTTCATGTAAACTAGTGTAAATCAGGAGTAACACCAATGTTCTTACATTGCTGTAAATCTGGTACAAATGAGAGATGAATTAGAGTGTATATCTTTCACGTATACAAAAAAAAGGTGAAAAAGGATGTGCTGAATGGTTCATGTATGTATATTATTTAGAACTGGTCAAAATTTTCAAAATTCAATTTGCCATCCCCTTGTCCCCCCAAAAACATGGATGAATTTTTTTGCAAAAATGTTTATGAAAAACGAATCCTGTCCTTGAGCAGCTACAGTGCTGCTCAAGAAAATTTCAGAATTGAATAGGTTGATGAAAACTTGTGGTGAGATTTTGAATTTCCGTGGAAAAGAGAGGAGACATCATTAGAAAAATGTTCATGGAAAAATATTCCCATTGTTGACTAGCTCCAATTATTATCAGCCATTAAATTCCCAAATCCAGCAACAGAGAAGAGTCATAACACTCATCTTCAAATGGCATCTCTCATCTTACCTTCTCTCCATCGTGTCCAGGAGGACCCGGCAAACCAATTTCACCCTAAAGTGCAAAATCATCATAGATCATTTTTTAAAAGTGTTATTTTGCCTACTTTTACATGGGGCTTGGAAACTGGAAGATGGGGCTTGTGCTATGGAAACAGTCAACAGCAATGACTATGGGAGAGCTAGTTACTCATTACTAATAACCACAAAAATAAAGGCTGCAAATGCTTAAGAAACAGGGCTCAGAATTTTAAGGGTGCATAACTCCAATATAGTTGTTCATACTGATTGGCAGTTCATGGCCTGGACTAGACTGTAACCATGCACTGAGATTAACTCTAATATGCAGTTGTTTGAAGGACAGTGGGAGTAAGAAATCATTCTCCTTCCTTGAGCCAAGGCCATGCCTGGTCATTGTGGGAGGAATGTGAGATATGGAGAAGGCAAAGAAATGATAACTAAGCATGTACAGAGTGCAAGGAGGAGAAGGATTGCAGAATGTCATGGGTGATGCAGGTGGACAAGGAGCATAATAGCATCAGTATTCCAGCCTTTGATTCTCATGCATTTCTACTTATCTTTTTATGCATGACAAAGGGAAAGTGGTACCTTCTGTCCTGGTTGCCCTGGGGTCCCAGCTACTCCTGGAAGTCCAGGAGGTCCCTAAATAAGAAAAATATGCAAATGACATTTTTTTCAAAACCTTCTCATATTGGAGGGAAGGCAGAATTGTATTTTCTTTACATTTTTGTACTGGCAATCCTGAAATATATTAACTTGGAAAATGAATAACTAACAGTGGGCTACTGAATAACCAACAGTAGCAATTCAAAGTCAAATTCGGCCACAGATTTATTTCTCCACTTGATGAACAAAAAAAAATTACTATGAAAATGGCATTTTTGATTATCTGCTTCCGATAATGAAGTCAATTAAAATAATTATTTGCTATTGATAATAAATATATTCTGCTTGTAATCTGGTACCCAAATAGAGAACATAGATAGCAGGAAAATTCTATATTTCTGAGTTCCCCAGTGCAGGTTAAATTTAATTAAGTGACAAAGTATCACAAATTTAGCAGCGGTAGAAATGATTTATTTACCTGCAATTTTCAAAGTGCCTCAATTTTTGGGTACCCAGCTTAAGACATGCATGTTGTCATAAAGGTGAGCACTCAAAAATGGAAGCCCCCAAAATAAGAAGCCACTACTGGAAACGCTGGCTGATATGCAAGTTCCTAATGTGCACATCATCATAGTATCTGTTTGCTACATATAAAATTAAAGGTCATAGCTATTTGATAATGGTCCTAGTTCTTCATCCCATTTTAAATTGCCCCCTCAACTGGGATTAATATTGATGTCTATCTCCCATGAGAAACAGTGTGGGGCTATCATACATCTCTGGTATTAGGGAAGGGCATGCTTAAGAGAGGAGACTTTCACTGGCCTTGAAAACAGAACTACTTAGGCCCACCCTGACCTGCACTGGGCTTTCCTTACTTTGATCCTCTCTGCTGTCTGAGTGCCTGACCAGCAGCATTACTTTTACAAAGCAGATAAACAAATAGTACTAATAATACAAGAGCCTCAGGAGTAAAACACAAGAAGTATCCTTCTTTTAGCTGTCAGTGCTGCTTTTCAGTGTCAGCACGAAACTGTAAAGGCCAGACATTCTTGTGGCATAGAATTAAAAGTTTGCCAGTCTGTATCACTGCCTACTTTCCTCTAGCTGTTACTAAAATCCAGTTACTTCTTCAAAAAACAAAATGCCCTGCGAGAAGAGTAAGAACTCACCATCAGGGCCAACGTTCGTATTTCCTAAAAATTAAAATAAATAAATAAATACAAATAAAAGTCTCACTTGAAAGTTAAACTATTTCTGAACACAGTATTTGTGGGGTTTTTTTTCTCTTTTAACACTATACTGGTTAAGATGACTAGGAAGTATATTACAGGCATTAAATAAAAATAAGCAGAAAAGTAGCCCCAGCTCCCTTTGTAATAGTATTCCAGAAATGTATTCCTTCTGTGCTGGGAGCACTGAGGGGCTGTCAGGAAGGCTGGATGGTAGAAATTGTGGGTAATCTTCTCCTGATAGGTGCATGACTAGTCTAGAGTAAAAGACATTTCCCTGCATGGTTTGTGGCCTTTTTCTAAACAATCTAATATGTATGTTCTGGGTTATTCTTATGAGGGAGTTCAGATGAACTCTGTGTCTACCTTATTAAGAATGTGTCCTGTGTCATTGTAAAGGACTAGCACTATATAAACAATAAGCATTATTCATTGCTATTAGTATGGAAGAAGAAATATGTTGGGCTGGACTGACATGCTTAGTTTTGTCCATCCAAAATGAAATGTGATATCAATGTTCTTAAATTTTCTGTCTTTCCAAGGGGCCATTCTCTTCCCCTGGCCCCACACTTCTTCCATCACCTAGGCTACTAAAAAGTGTAGTGACCTGCAGCTCTGCTGGGGATCTCTCTGTCACTACAAAGCAAAGGGAGAAAGAACCAATCTGACTGAGAGAAAGGATCTCATTGAAAACAACCTAATAATTCACTCCAGGAGTCACTGAACATGGCTCCTGAGCTGTGCAGGCTAGTTTCTCACCTGTAGAGCTTCGTTGATGTTACCATCATAATCCACAATTTCATCCTTTCCTGGCTCCCCTTTGGGACCCTATAAAATGAACCAGATCTCCAGTCAGGACTTGGTGTTCCCATGAAGGATGGAGTTGTCTGAATTCTTCTAAGTTAAAACCGTTCAAGGAGCAATTGATAAATACAGCTGTGGGGAAGTGCTTATGACGGGAAGACTCCAGCATGTAGTACAAAGAGTGTTGCTAAACTGGTTGCTCTTAGGTTCTACGGGTCAGATTCACCAGTGTGCTCAAGCTGCTTTGCTCTACCATGGCAATACAAACGAGCTATAAACAATCATGGTAAAGGGTTTGGCAAGACACAAGGAAAACAGTCTGGAAGCCATTTAAACAGGACAAGTAGTCTTCTGCTCTTTCTAAAATTCCTTATATTTTCATGAATGAAGCCCCTTTATTAGTCAGTGGAGTAGCACCTACCCTTGGACCAACAGGCCCCTGTTCTCCAGGTGCTCCAGGTTCTCCCTGTAACAATACAAACATTGCATTATCAAAGATCTGGAGTTTTTTGCTGCAACTATGAAATGAGTTAGGGCTAGATTTGCAATACATTGACCCTGTGTAAGGGGCAGTGCATAGCTGTGTCACCCCAGAATCACTCTACAGAAGGACTTGTCTTTCCCTGCTCTCTCCTTGCCCCAGCAGGGGATAGTAATTTGCTATAGACCCGTACCAGTAGCAAATTACTGCCCCAACACCTCATGCTGGCCAGTGCATTCAAGAATGACAGAGCCAAATCTTTGCTCCCTCTCCACCTCTCCCTACCCACCTGCTTGAGGAGAGAGTAGCAGGGGCTTAGCTGCCACTTGCCTCTGAGCCCAAGGTCCAGGGCAGGCATGCAGACACGTGGGGATGGGGCACTCCTACTGCCACTTATGCCCCATGTGCAGGCCCCTAGCCTAGGCCCCAGTCTGCGTCTTCGAATATTGACTTTGACATTCCCTCTTCCATTGCTGATGGAATGTACTGCACAGACTAAAATGATAGTTCTGTAATGAGGAGTGCAGCCCTGAGACATGACTATGTTCAGTCACGAAAAAAGAAGAGCAAAATGGGAAACTGATTATGCTTACTAGTACTCAGAATGGTCACAATACTGTGACCTTGGGTACAGCCTCTTGAGATGACAGGGGGAATGGTAAAACAAGAAGTCATAATCTAATGTTCGGGGGCACTTGAAATCAGAATGTGAAATAGACACCACGAAAGGGGGTTCAAGCAGTGTTTAAAATTCTCTGTATTGAGAAGTTTGGTACTAGACAAAGCTGATTGTTTAAGGTCAGGGAGATGAACGTGGAGTGGCCATCTGGTATTTTGCTGGTGATAAATAACGCTAAAGTCTTTGATCCTCCTACAAATTTAATTCTTTATCCTTAGACATCCCATCCCATCGGAGCCCTGATTTACAGCCAGAGTGGTGCGCTGTGCTTCAGCCGCCTTAACAGGATTTGCAGGGACAATTCCCATTGTGTATGTGGCCTTTTGTACTATTCTTTTAAGAGAAGCATTCTTCAGCACTATAACGTAGACACTACAAACAAGTGCCTTGTACCTGGTAAGCTGACATCTTGTTTGAACTTCAAATGAGAGTGTAAAGCTCACATTTCAGGAGCAACCATTAAACACAGTCACAAGTGCTACATCATTATGTTAGGAGGTAAAGCAAACAAGGATCAACTGATTAATGAAGACACAGCTTTCCAATTGAAGAGACCCTTCTCTCCCCAGAATGTACATTTATATATGTATAACCCCCATTTCTTTTTCTTATTTCAGGACGTTCAGCCAAAAACACTTATTGTTGTAATTACAGCTGCTGTTTCTACTTATGCCCTACTATCACCATTCCACAACACTGTCTAGCATATTCTTTATTCAGCACATTCCCCCAGAAGCTGCTTGTTTGAAAAGATTATTCAAAAGACTAGGTCAGCCAAAGGAGAACCTATAGGTCTTAAAATGTTGTTGTGCATCTCCTCCTATTTTCCTAACCCTTTAGTCCCCGTTCTTGATACACCTCTTTTGAAGGAAGCACTTCCGCTGTGCTGCAATGGTACTGATCAACATGTTCAAATTGATTTCAGGTAGCACCCCACTCACCTGCTAGTTCCATCAAGGTCCCCCTGCTCTGACCCACTAGACCCCTCCCCTTTCCTCCCAGATCCAAGAATCCCTGACTTTCAGCCCTCCCTGTCTCACTAGCATACTGGCCAACATTTTCAAACTACTTTCAGGGAGCATTCTACCCCTCCACTCCCCCAGTCCCACCAGATACCCCCACTGCATCCTTCCACTCCCCCTCCACATCCCCTTAGCCTCACTGCCCCTGCTCCAGCCCCACCAACACCCCCACTGCCACACTCTTGCTCCCCCACTCATACCTCCATTCAGTCTCCCTGTCCCCCACCCAGGTCCTTGTACCCTGGAGCACACACAGTGAGGCAAGCAGAATTACAGGACCCTGCCCTGGCCAGGCTATAATGAGCTCATCCATAGGCGGCCTTTGGGGAGACAGGCCCACAGTTACACCCAGGGAAGCAGAGACAAGACATTCACTCTTGTCAGGGTATTTGCAGCGGAACAGAACCGTGCAGGCCTCCCTTCTCCCTGCTGTGCCCAGTCCTGGGACAGGAGAGGATGTTAGCCCTCCTCTTGCACCTAAAGGCCTGGGGAGAATGGGGCATGATCCCCCCTGCCTAATCTACAACCTCCCTGCTGTGCTGAGTCCCAAGATGAGTGGGAATGTTCCCCTCTCTGAACCTGTCATTCACCCCCTCTCTGCTGCAGCCAAGGCCTGGGGAAAAAGGGGCATGAACCCCTCCTTGACATATTGTCCAGCCACAACTTTGCACTGCTTCAGCTCTGCATCACCATCACACCAAATCTACCTCCCTGCCCTGCCATTGGCTGCCAAGCCCAGCCAACCCGCCCCTCTTGCAAAAGCAGAGCAGACGTCAGCCTTATTACCCACAATCTTGTGCATCAGCTGCACATGTGCCTCAGCCTCTCTCGCTGACTCAGGGAGAGGAAGACTGATATGTGTGTGTGTGGCTAACGCACAAGATGCTGGGCAATGTAGTTTTATGAGGGCGACAACATTATTCAATCAGGAGTTGGGAGTTTTTTGGTCCAAATGGGAGCCTCCCTGACATACTGGGAGAGTCAGTCAGTCTGGCTGCAACCCTTTCTTTTTCCAGAGCCTTCTCCTTGTCTAGCTCCACACTTCCTATTCTGGGCTTGTTTCTTTACTCCCTGCCCTCCATCCCACCAATCCTCAGCTATGGATGGCCAGCATGATGCCATAGCTCCTCTACTACATAACTGCAGTTGCTAGGTGTGGGCTGGTTGGGCAGTCCGCAGAGTCTTCCTGCCTGCTTGGGCATTCCCACTGCAGCTTGTTTGCCTTCTTCCTGCAAATACCGTTGCACCTCAGACCCAGGCTTGTGTGGGCCTGTTGATTAATACTGCTCTGATTGCTTTGGATGTGCAGATCCTGCAGAAAATGTTGTGTGTACTGGAGAAAATTGCTGTTTCTTTTAATGACTGGCTGTAGCCATCAGGTATTGTTTAAGAGAAGTTTTTTGTAGGGTGAAACAATTTTCCTATTGCCATACTGTAACTGAGCTCCCTGGCCTGGAATCCTCTGCTAAGCCATAAGCCCCTATTGTGCCCTCCTCCTCTGTACCTTTTTCCCCTGCGGTCCTGCAATGCCAGTCTGGCCAATGTCACCAGCTTCCCCCTAGGAGAAAAGAGAAAAGCAACAGATTCATATAAATGAGTAGAAAGGAGCAATTCTAACAATGGCTGTGCTAGGGGTCAGCGGTTAGACCTGACAGCACTTCAGACAGGAAACATTCCACTAGCTCAGGTAGCCCTGTCATACCCAGATTTCTTTTAGGAGTTTCAGAGCAATGAGGTGACTTCCTATTTCTACACTACCCATGGGCTACGGGACTAAAAAGTGAATGGGTGGTATGAACTGGGACCAATGGGTCATCTCTTAACTGCACTGTGAATGGAACTAGTCCTAAGTGTCCTAAACATCCTCTGCTATCAGATGTGGTTTGAGGGCTGCTAGTTCTCTAGGCAGGAACACAGCAGGAAAGGAGGTTCCGAGTCTTGATACACAATGTTCACCCTGTCCCAGCTGCTATCTATGGCACCAGCTGCTGGCAGTGATTCTGAGGGACTGTTTGCTTACAGACACTATAGGGAAATCATTTGAACACAGGTAGGGTTTTTTCCCCAGGAAATGCAGTTCATAAATTTTCTGACCTTCAGCATTTAAAATAACAAACTAAAGAACTCTGCAGGAGCTGGCTAGCTTATGAAATCTCCACAGTGCATAATTACAGCCAAGTGCAGACAAATGCAAACTTCAACCCCTTCCTAAATACCCTGAGCTAGGTACATTCTCATGCAAAAAGGAAACACAGACTCGTTTGGAGGAAAGAGACACACCTTTGGTCCTGGAGGCCCAGGTAGTCCCGGGGGTCCGGGTTCCCCTTTACCTCCCCCGAGTGAATTGCCAGCATCTCCCTTCTCTCCCTGGTTCAACAAGGAATAATCAACCATCAGTTAAATCAATTTCTCATTCTGTAACTTCACCAGCCAGGCTGTGGTTTTGGGGTCGGGGGAAGCAGGACAAGGTTTGGCTGCAGGGTGCTACTGAAGAACCTGGCTACATTTTACTTAGTTGTTTACTGGTGAATTTTAGAGCTGAGAACCGGAGACTGATAAAACTGGCTAGAGAGGGGTTCTCCCCGTGTCACTGCATCTGGAGTTGCAGCCCCTTCTGTTATTGAACTTCTCTGCTTGTACACAGTTCTGCCAATGCCGTTCATGCCTGACTCCCCACGTGAGGAGACATACTCACACTGGCTCTCGTCGATATGGAATGTAGCCATGGAATCACGAGCAGTGGGAGGAGCTAAGCTCCCTGAGTGCCCACCTAGTATCTGATGGGCACACACTCAGGGAGCTTAGCCCCTCCCACTGCTTGTGCTGCCATGGCTACACTCTGTGTTTAGCATGCTAGATCTATGAGAGCTTGTGTGAATATGTCTCCCTCGAGCTGGGAACTGGAGCCCCAGCTCCAAGTGTAGGCACGCCCTTAGTCAGCAGCGTGTTGGCAACATTTAAACAAGGGGCTCCCTCAAACATTCTCCACCTCAGTCAGTGATACACGTGACATGGCTTGAAAAACACCTCCAACCCTCCCACCATCATGCACAAAATCCATTCATTCCCTACTCTTCCTCCAGCCCCAATCCATCAGTCTTTTCAGCCCCACTCCTGTTGACCTGCTGGCACCTCTCCATCAACTCATCTGACAGCTTTGGAGACTGAAATCCTTTCTCTGGTCACAAAACAGATACAGCCTTGGCAGTACCAGCACAGGCTTCCCCACGTTGCTCTGCCACTGTGTCTCAGTCCTTTTCTATAGTGGCCATTTTAATAGTGCAATAGGCCAGCCCATTCAGTTCATTGGCTCTCTGCTGAAGAGTTAGTACCAGCTGTAATTGCATTTGGGGGCATGTGTGTGACATGCACTGGGAGCTGTACAGAAACCACCCTCTCATTTTATATACAGCATCAAATAGCCATTGGATGGTAAGGAGCATTTTAGTCGTCACTGATCTGGACAGGATTTGTGAGCTTGCATCCTAAAGATGAAAGGATTTGTATTCTCCTGTCAGTCCCCTAAACCACTCATTCCTCCTATTCTGTAGACCAAGTTTATCACTGTCACAGGCAGCTGTGTCTCTAGTGCCATCAATGGAGTTGCACCCAGTTAGACCAGCAATATGTTTGACCCCACATGTTTTATTTCTGGTTGGATCCCAGTGTTTTGTTTGGGCTGAAATAAATCACATTTTCACACTAGGTAGCTGGGTATTTTTTAAAAAAGCTACATAACAAAATGAAAATAAGGCGATTAATCTAAATCAATGGGATCCTGCTGCTCTTGGGACTGGTCTTGAAACTGCCAGTTTGCAGGGATTGTAGAGGGGGGTACCACAAAGGTAAGGTGAGAAATGTGCTGTGTTCATCCTGTCGACATAAAATTAATTCCCTCTCCTCAGTGGAACTGGCCATGGAATCATGTTCATATTATCTGCATAGCCTGACACTTTCCCACCTCTAGGGTGGAGTGCAGGTGATAGCATTCAGTGTATTTGTGTGTTTGCACATATATGTGTAAGTGGGTACGCAAGCACATGTGCGTACAGTTTAGGTAATTGTGTACATGTGAGTGCAAGCTTCTTTGTTAGGGGAAGGGAAATGGGATGAAAAGTGTGGCAAAAGTCAGAGAACATTACACACCTTCTGTCCTAGGAATCCAGGAAGTCCAGGATCACCAGCTCTTCCCTTCTCCCCCTGTTGGTGAAAGGCAGAAATGGTCAGGGGGTAGCTTTAACGGCTTCCATTACTTGTGGGATCAGTGAAAGTGCTACTGAATCCTCAGAACTCATCTGATACAATACAGCAAACATTCCTAAAACTCTTCTTTTCCCACTGGGACACCCGTTTAAGAGGCAGCCAAGGCTTTCTCCCTGCCTTCAGTATCTGCTTAACTGTGTCATCATTTTCTCTTATCTCTGACATCTTTTCACCTTATGTTTTAGAAAGCCAGTACGTGCCACTGTCTGTTCCTTTCTATGAGACTCTTAGCATTAAAAGGCCACTGTACTGCTACCAAATTAAAGGTCATTTTGAACTTTAAAACCTGCACTTTGATTATGTATTTTCTTCCTTGTTCTAACAGCCAAAACTCAACAAACTCATTGCAGATGGGCACTGCTTGGTGTTAATTCTTTGCCACCTGCACATATGCTCCTTCTGTAGAACACATGGGTTGTTGCTAGTCCCTTTCGTGCAGCAAATGAATGTTTGAAAGTGAATGCAAGATACAAATGGTCACATGGAATCAAGAGAGACATGTCAATTGTCAGAACTCATTTAAGTAAATGGAACTGTGACCATTTACACTCTTTGAGGAACTGCTCAATTAAGTGTAAATGACTGAAAGCATCTTAGGGCCTGATCCTTGACAAGAGGCTGAGTGTTCGAAGGTGCAGGGAATATGAAACTGGGCCCTCTGTGCATGCCAAATATCAGGCCATATCTTGTGTAAAAGTTCAAAAACTTGTAATTGAATAGCATTGTGCAGCACTGCTCGATAGTGCAACAATGCCCCAGATTGTCTGAGGGGCACGTACCGAAATAACTCTTTTCATATTGGTTCTGAAAGACATTCCTGCTCCTGCTGCTGCCACCTAACTCTTCTGAATATAACTACAGCCGATGAGCTTGAAGGGCATCCTGACAGCATTCCTCCAAAGGAATCAAACTCACTGTACTGTAAGGGAATCTCAGAGATACTCATATACCCTTTGTTCGACCTTTAGATATTTTCTGTTTGTTCATCTCCTAGTACATTGATAATAACAAATCCTCTTCTCAATCACCAGGCTCTAAAGAATTAGTGCATCTTCTCCTTTAGCAGCCAAACTCTAAAGTGCTCAGTGCTGATGAAGAGGAGTGAAAACAGGAAAAGGGAAAATTACAAGGTCAGAAGAGGACCAGATAGGCCATCCTTGTCATGACCCCTAAGCAATCGAGACCCCAGCAAGAGGAGTAGTCTGACTGAACTGAGTTGCGAGAGGTATAATCAGATTCTGGATAAATTCCACACTGAAATTTAATCCATGCCACATGCCACCCCATGGCTGTTTTTGTGAAGTGACTTTGATTAGCTTGCAGTCATATCTTTTGTGTGCCTGAAGCCACCAGTACAAGGCATATCTCTTAGAATTTTTGTGCCACAATTGGCTCACTTACTGTCTTATAAGTTCTGATTAAGATCCTGTTCTAGTCTGTCCACAGGGTGCAAACTGTAAACCAAACCCTTATCTCCAGCATTTCCATACGTGATGAGCTGCTTGTACAACAGGCTCTATTTAGACAGCTGACAGGGTTTTGGTTGCTCTAGTTTACAATCATTTTAGTCTCCAAGAGAATGTCTCTAGTACAATAACACTTACCACTAGAGAAAAGATATTTTCCTTCCTGTAATTGTTAGTTCTCCAAAGTTAGCAATTTTTATAGATGATGATGATGACTATGATTTTTTTACTACGGTTTTTACTATGATTAGTCCCTATTTCCCCAATCTTTTCCCCCCAATAGCATTGGATAATATTTGGTTTTAGATTTATTTAAACTCTTTAATTTGTCAAAGAGTAACTCACACATGAACACTTACTTGACTGTATTTCTCAATAGCATACAGGTACATGGAATCTCTTTTAAGGTGGGTTAACTCAGAAATTTGGTCTATAGAGACTTTTAAAGTATTTATACGGGACCCTAGCCCACAATAGCCCATGGCTCTCTTACAATAACAAAATCAAAAGAAAAATTATAGGTAAGGAATTTATTTTTCCTTGCATGCATGGCTGAGATATTTTAATCTCTTAGAAAGACACGTATATGAATTTCAACAGAGTTCAAGGACTGACATCTAACATGCAAGGTGCCTGCAAAAGTGTTCTGAGAAGGGGCATGCACTGTATGGCTCTACAGGAATTAATTAAAAGAAAACTATCCTTGTTCTAGACAACTCTGCATCCCACCTAAGATAGGACAGTTATCTATTTTACAAGACACTCTGACCTCCAGCTCAGTGTAAGTGCTCTGTAGCCTTTCATCCTTGTTAGAACATGTACCTTGCAACCACAAGCTAATGATTTTCTCCTTGGAAAAGCAAGAAGGGCAATGTGCTGGATTTTGTTTCTTAAGGAAAAGTTTGAATTATTGGCCATCTCTAGGATGTCAGAATCTTATGATCTCCAGCCATGTCACTGTTCATAGTAATCCACTGAGTCAAAGTGGAACACCCCAGTAAAGGGAAGCTGCTCTTATGGATGCAGACACATTATATCGTGTGGGGAAAAGTTCACTGAGAACCTAAAGAGCAGACAACAGAAGTCAATCGTTTTAAAAAACTGAGCGCTCATTAGAAACAGCCATGGGTAACACCCCAATTCAAAGAGGAATGAACATACTCTCAGTCCCTTCCTATTTAAGGGACACATTTTCAATAAGGTGATATCCTTTTCATGGGCATGATTTGCACCTGCAAAATTTGTACTCCTAATTCAGTCATGAGTGCAAACGGGGTACTTCCACCAATACTTACCAGAGCGCAATCACAAAGCAGGTGTTTAGAAGTGCAGATGCTCTGATTTCTACTGGTAATTAATTTGGCATCTGTACAACAGGAGGTGGGCCTTGGCCCATCTGGATATATGCATTACACACAAAATCAGGCATTCGGACTTGTTAAATAATTGCATTTGTTTGAATAGCAAGGGGCTTTTATGCCTCTTCGGCAGAAGGAATACTAATTGGATGCAAGGATTTTATCTCCTTTTCAGGATAATCAAAATAGTACTTTCTCCTGAATAATCCAGTGCTCCAGACTCCTCTGACTCCAGCACTCTGCTCCTGTTATGTGCTCAGCATATCTGCTTTTCATTGTAGTCCAAGAATCAGGATCAGCATTCATGTGCTGTAGTGAGAGGAGGACCTACAGAGAACATTCTGAGGTGCATACACGTTCATTAAGACATCCTGATTCCGGGTATTCAGATTCCTCATAATTTATTATTGCTGTAATCAAAAGGTACAAAACCTTTCTCAAGAGAATGTTAATGCTCAGTACTTCATTCCCTTCCCAGAACGCACTAATTCCCCCTTTGGGTTGGTCTTTCTGTTTCTTGCAAGGAGGAACATACAAAGCACTTTTCATCAATGAGATGAGAGCATCGGCAATGGGATAAGAGCATTCCACCACACACATGGAACTGTAGTGCAAAGCAGACCCACTTTAGCCATGCCTTTAAGGGAGGAGCAGGCCAGCACAGCAGTGCTAAGAAATCACATCCAAACACACATTGTCCTACCCTCTGTCCCCTTTTCCCTGGCAAACCTGGGGGGCCCATCATCCCTGCAACTCCAGGTTCTCCCTTGTTGGTAAGAAAAGAGACAGAGAATACATCTGTTATATGGCTAGCGGTCTCCACACTCTACAACATAACACTACAAACCTGATCAAAGCTAAAACAAGAGGAGCCAGCTGCTCAGTTGTCTGAATTTGCTGCCAAGTGAAAGAAATTCAGGGGTGTTTTTGTACAATTTTTACTATTTTACACATATTGATAGGAGGGGGCATGAAACATGGGACCAATTTATACAGCATCTGCCAAAAGTGCAGGAGTGCATCCCCAGCAGTTCCCTCTGCAGCACTGGCATGTCCCTGGAAGTGCTGGTGGAGAGAGGTAGCCAAGGGGAACAGGGAGAGAATATACTCTCCAGTAATAGCAGCTTGCCACATAGTCTAAGGGCCAAAGAAGAAAAGAAAGAGAATAGCAGGGGAATATCCCCCGCAGACACAAGCACTGAGTGAGTAGGGAGGGAAGGGGACAGAAGATAGTCTAATTACAATGTGGAAATCTCTTTCAAACATGCCTCTCTTCTTTTAGGGAGAAATGCAACTCTGCTTTTCTGAAGCAGAGATGGCATTTTACAGAGGACACCAGGAAACTCCTTATAATTATAAGCTCCTGTAAACAAAATATAGGAAATGCAGATTTGCAATGATTATTCCTTTAAGAGCAATAGTTTTCTCCTGGATTCCCTGGCTTGCCCTGCATGAGGAAAAGATGGAAAAATATACAGTGAGAAGGAAAGAGAATAGAGGGGGTGGCCAACCCACTTCTAGATAAAAAAAGAGAAGGGTCATTTAAGAAGGCAGCAAGCCAAAGCTGTGCTTTAGTTTGATTTCAGTTTGAATTTAGATTTGTGGAAATAGGGGTATAAGGTCAAATTTAAAGACATATTGCAGACTTGGTTTTTCTTTTCTCTTGGTTATTCTTGTACATGGATATTGTTGTTTTTATCCTAATTTTGAAGACATATGGTACAGCCCATAGGCCAAAAGTGCCATTAATAAAAGGGAGGTAAATGACCATTTTGAGTTGTTCCCTAAGAAATAGTTTCCTAGACCTCCTGTTTAAAGGGCATGTCCCAAGGGTCCTACCAAGAAGTGTGGAATAGTCCCACCAGCTCTCTCACAAGTTCAGAAAGCTTCTAGTGGTGAGTCACATTGTTCCTGAGCTGCTACTTGTACAGCTGTTGCTGGCCCTAGGGGATTCTGCGGCTATTGTTATTACTAATTATTTGTATTACAGTAGCATCCAAAGGTAGCCATCACAATTGGTGCCCTGTTGTGCTGGGCCTTGGACAATCATGGAATCTTGGTGGTGGCAGTTATACCAGCCAAAGGGAGTGGGAGAGAGAGCCTTCACCAGCAGTCGAGAACAGTGCTTGTTGCTTCCAAGGTTTTTTAGGCCCATGGACAGAGCATTCCATTGTTGCTTGGTATCAGTCAGTGGGTTTTGGAACTCACCTGGGCTGTTTCAAGCCAGCTGATCTGGCTATACCTATCTTTCTAGGTTTTTATAAGGCTGCCTGTCACTGTGAAATCTGAGCACTGAGCATATTCTAATGCAGAAATCTATCTGGTTCCAAGGTAGTGGAGAAACAGAGATATTGGTTGAAAAGGTGGATATAATAATAATAATAATTAATAATAATTTTGTTTATTAGGAAATAAATGGAAGCAATGGAAATAGGGAGGTTCAAGTACTGTTAAGAATGGGGTTTGAGAGGAGCTGAAACCAAGAGAGGACCGTTGTCTCACAGAAAGTGAACTGAGGGACTAAGAGAACCGAAGTCTTCTTACAGTCAGGCCTGGAACAAGTATAGTTTAGCTGACCAATCCAAGAAGGGATCAGTCATTCTCCCACTGGAGTTAGCATTTTGCTATAACATAGACAGGCCCTAGCCTCTCCCTGATAAAAGGGATAGCCATTTTCTATATCTGTTTTGGCTTGAGCTTTCCCCTTTCCATATTGGCAGGAAAATGAATGTATGTCTCCATTTTCTTTTAATCCACGGCTTTCCTACCGTGAACTAATGGCCATCAGTCTAAGGCTGGAGGTTTCATCTCCTCTCATGGCCCTTGTCCTCTTTCTTATCCGTGATCTGTCCTAAGAGGCTGCATTTTAATGTAAAACTGACCTTCATCCCTGCAGTAGCCATTCCAGGAACCCCCTGGCAGAGAGAGAGAGGACAGATGAGAACACTTGGTTTGAAATGAAGTAAATATAAATATATATTCTTAAAAAAAAATCAGCCAAGTAGGAACTTTAAATAATCGATGTTTTTCCTTTTCCAAAGTTCAGAAGAGACATTGTAACACAGTAGCTACCACACACATCCATCCTGGTTCCCCAAACCAGGAGAGTCATTAAAATTACCTTCCCTATAGTCGTGCCTATGCTATCCAGAATAGCAAGGAGGGTGTACCACCACAGAAAGACATCACTGGCTCAACTCGCACAGAGGAAACAATTTATCTCTTCCCCCAGATTTAGGTGTGCTACTTCTAGTGAAGTTGAACCCATGACCCCATGGGAGCAGTGTTGCGAAATGGATGAAGGAGACAATGTGAGGACCAAACACCTTGTTAAATGTTTGAATCCAGATTTTTATTAAAAAAGAGTCCCTGAACAAAATGTCCAATGACAACAGAAAGAGAAAATGTTCTTGGTCTTGTTAACCATCATCATTCTGTTTTACCACAGAAGACATAAACTTGAGTATCAGATTTGCAGAGGAAATCTTTGAAGCCAGCTATCACCAGCAAAAAGACTCTCAAGCACTCAGATTCTTACGTCGTTCTGCACAGCAGAACAAAACACCACCAACAAATTATGGATTTGAGTCCCGCCCCGGAAACTGAGATGGTTGTTTATTGGGCCCTTGGGGCAGGTGCTCCTGTGGATACGATTATATTTCCCTCAGTGGCAATGGTGCAAAAGCAAAACTTCAGCATCACTCCCTTGCTCAGACTAGATATTTTTGTTTTCTAAGTGTTAGTACTAGTTAGATCCTTGTGAAAATGTTCAGTTATGAAAGAAAACATGAGGAGTAATGACAATCTAGGAAACGAGGGGGGGGAGAATGAGATGAAGCAGGGTTAGAAAGTAGCTAACAGGAAGGTTTGGGGAACTTAACGTAGCAGATGAGAAGCAAAAAAGAAGGATGAGAATGAGTTCATAACTGGAAAGAGCTTGGAAAAATTCAAACAAGGAGAAGTGTGAAGCAGGGGAAGGGCAGGATCATACCTCTCAACTTTCTGAAACAGAAATCAGGGACAAAGCTAAAAAACACAAGGACAGAAGATGGAAATCAGGGATTCTATGTAATAAAAGGGGAAAAAGCATTCAGAAATGTATCAGAGGTGAGTAGTTTTTAGTAAATATGGGCCCGAGTCATGAAAGGGATCATGTACAGATCATGTTTGGGAGTTAGATTTTACTGAACTGATGCTATTCCTATTCCTTATTTTTCTACTTTAAAATTGTAATGAATAAGTCTAGTGATCTTTTCCAATATTAATTTCAATCCTGTAACACATACACACACTGGCTCTGATTCACCACTGCATTCTCCATTTTTATACTGGTGTAACTCCACTGATTTCCATGGAATAACACATACCTGAAACTGGAGTTGGCAGAGGTAAATTGGGCCACTAGATACATGTTCACAATTTATAAAGTGCTGATATCTTACCAATACTAATTAGTGGTAATTCTCACTAGAATAAAGTATTACAGGTCTGATCCTGGGAGGTGCTGATCTCAGTGGAATAAAGGACACTCAGCATCTTGCAGGATTAGACCTCAAAATGGGAATTAGCATTGGGAATAGGCATGTGGTTTCTTCAGTAAAACTTTTCTCCCCTGTTATCCCTTTGATAAATTAGACCCTATGCTTTGCATTTTAGAAGCGGAAAGAAAATGATAGAGAAAGTGAGAAGAATCATTGTAGAAACCAAATTGGGGCCAGCCCTGAAACTCAGGGACAGTTGAGAGGTATGGGCAGGGTCAGGTGGACAAAGCTCACTCCATTCCTTGCAGGGTACCTTAGCTCCATGTTTTCCTGGCAGCCCTGGCATGCCCCTCTCCCCCTGGAAATGGAACGAGAAACAAAGTTGAGAGGGACAAGCATGAGATGAGTCTTCAGGAGGGTCTGTGTTGATGATCACTAAAGCAGTGGTGGACATTACATTGCACAAAATGTCAAGAAGTTCTTGTCAAGGAGGCCAGAACCTCCTTACCCCGACTCCTGCTTTTATTTTCAACAAGACAGTTTCTCTTAGTCAGAGCTTCTCTTGTTGGGTACCTCCTAGCACCTGGATGGAACCAGAAGGACTGCATTGCCATGTTCTGTCTCAAAATGTTACTCCCATTACTGTGGTAGGACAATGTGAGATAAATTGTTTTGTTACATCAGTGATATAAACGAGAGCAGAACTATGAGAGCCTTATGTTTAAACCTTGCATCTGCTGCCCTGAAGAGCTTTCTAACACCCAGTGCCAGCTCCTGAGCAGCACATGGGTATGGAAACCATTTCTTTATTTCCATTGTAGGATCAGTACAGTGTACACATCACAATATCTCTGGGCAGAAAATTCAGAATGCGGTATGCAAAATACACTGATCAGTATCCCTATAATTATGTAGATTTACCCCAGGACAAAGATACACCTAAAGCCTATAATCTCCACCTCAGGCAAAAGCTGGGGCAGACAAAAACGCCTTGCTTATACCCGGAAGGTCAACAGACGTGGGCTTTGTCGGATCAAAATGTGTTGATGGGTGCTTCTTTCTACTTTTGCAGAGCTGGCAGGTCTGCTCTGTCTGAGGTGGATTCTCTGGGATGTCAAGTAGTTCAAGGTCCTCAGGCTCAGATTTTTAACGGTATCTATGTGTTGCTCTGCTCAGGCAGACTTATATTGGTAAAACTGCATCGCTTAGAGGTGTGAAAAATCCACACTCCTGAGTGACATAGTTATACTGACAGCGCTTTGTCAATAGGAAACCTTCTCCCATCGACATAGCTACCACTTCTCATGGAGGTGAATTAACTATGCCGACGGAAGAAACTCTCCTGCAGTTGTAGTAGTGTCTTCACTAAAACGCTACAGTGGTGTTGGCAAAGCTTATGTCACTCAGGGGTGTGAAAAAAGCACACCCCGACTGAGTGACGTAAGTGTCGCCAGCATAAGTGGTAGTGTGTAAAGTGCTATGTCAGCGGGAAAGTTTCTCCCATCAACATAGCAACTCCCGCTCATTGGAGGTGGTTTAATTATGTCGATGGTGGAGCTCCCTCCTGTCAGCATAGAGCAGCTACATAAGCAATCTTACCGTGATGCAGCTGCATCAGTACAGCTGTGTTACTGTAAGGTCTCCTGTGTAGACATAGCCTTGGTCTCTTTTTCAAAAATGACGTAGGCACTTAGGAGCCAGATTATTAAAGGTATTTAGGCACCTACCCTCACTGATTTCTAAGAGAATAAGGCATGTATATACATTTAAAAATGTGGCCCTTAAGAGCTCGTCACTTCTGAAAAATGAGATATAGGTTCCTAAGTCACTTAGGCCTTGCAGCACGGAGTGGAGCAGTGCCTAAATGCCTTCAAAAATCTGGGCCTCAGCCTGGCTTTCATGCTCCCACGTACATGCTAGCATTTTCACTATTTGTTGAGATTCAGCGTCCTAATCTGCAACATTGCAATTCTAAGGGGCTTGTTACAGGCAGAAATTAACCTCCACCTGCCTTATAAAAGAGCCTGGAGCAGCTACAGAAAACAGACTGCCCCTGCCTTAAAGAGCCCTCTATCTAAAAAGATAAGAAAGCCAAAAGGTGGGAGGGAAAACAGGCACAGGGAGGTAAAGTAACTTAACCAAAGTCACCCAGCTGGTCATGGGGAGAGCCAGGAATAGTACCGACCACATATCTTGAATTGTACCTCAGTGCCCTATCCACTAGCTTACACTGCCTCTTAACAGCCTGGGTGGTAACTGTGAAATTCAGCCCACACTTCTGCATCCCAGACATCAAGACAGTCTATGTAGCTTTAATATTCACTACATAGCTGATATTGTTTGTGATACATGAGACACACACTGGATATGGATATTAGCACTCCTACCCCCAAGACAAAAACTGGAAGGAAGTGAGTTTGCAATCATTGACATAGGATTCATGTATGGTCTATGGGTCACAAGTGATGTAGCAAGGTGTCCACAGCCAGCAGAAGGCTCAGGGAATTAAAGTTTTAATTAAACAATGCCATTTTCATGTACAACTAACAGTTAATGCGGGAAAGGAAATGTCTCTCATGACATAAGCTTTTCGACAATGTGTAAAGAGTTGTCACTTTGGATGGGCTATCACCAGCAGGAGAGTGAATTTGTGTGGGGGGGTGGAGGGTGAGAAAACCTGGATTTGTGCTGGAAATGGCCCAACCTGATGCTCACTTTAGATAAGCTATTACCAGCAGGACAGTGGGGTGGGAGGAGGTATTGTTTCATATTCTCTGTGTGTATATAAAGTCTGCTGCAGTTTCCACGGTATGCATCCAATGAAGTGAGCTGTAGCTCACGAAAGCTCATGCTCAAATAAATTGGTTAGTCTCTAAGGTGCCACAAGTACTCCTTTTCTTTTTGTTTCTTCAGATGTAATCTGGATTTGAAGAACTGCACTGACACCAGACTTCTCTTAACACCCCAGCAGAGGGCAGTGCAAGACCTCAGTCTAAGGACCAGAATTTCCAATAATGTGTTTTAGTGCCATCCACTAGCAATGCCTCCTCCTGCTTTCCTCACCCATCTTCAGGCCACAAGTTGTATGGAGCTTCAATGTTTCTAATGGTGAAATCTGAAACCGCCCTCAGATCAGTAGCGGATCAGAAATCCCAGATTAGCAAGCTGCCTATTGCTGGTGTTCAATGAGCCGACCACATTCACAGACAGTGGTGAAGCTCTTATTTAACTCTCTCAGTATCTCCCTCAAAGGTACTATTTGATGTTTTATTCAGCAGAATGTTCAGTGTTGCATTAACCTATTGGTATAGCTGGAAATTTCCAGGTGGGCCCAAGCGTTTAAAATATGCTGATCAGTATTAGTATTGCTTGCAACTATGGGTATGTCTACACTGCAATTAAAAACCCATGGGTGGCCAATACCAGCCAGAGGTGAAAGTAGGCCTGTATGGGCCAGTATGGTGTACCGGTAAGAAGTGGCCACTGGTACAGGCCCGTACACAGCCCATGTTAACATCGCTGCCCTTTTTGCTCCCTCCAGGGCTGTCGGGGGGGAGGGGGGGGCGACAAAAGGGGAAGCTGCCCCAGGGCCTGGCAATTTAAAAGTGCACAGTGGCAGCCGGAGCCCCGGGCCCTTTGAATTGCCGCCGGAGCCCCGGGCAGCACAGGCCGGGCAGCGCTGAAGGACTGGCTGGGGGAGGCTGACCCCCAGCCTCGCCCCCTTCTGCCCCAGGCTTTGCCCCTTTGGGGGCCCAGAGCTGGGCCCCCGTACTGGTCAGATTTTTAAGTTACTTTCACTCCTGATACCAGCTGACTCGGGCTCACGGGGCTCAGGCTAAGGGGCTGTTTAACTGTGGTGTAGATGTTTGGGCACAGCCTGGAGCCCAGGCTCTTGGAGCCTGTGAGGTGGGAGGGTCCCAGAGCTTGGGCTGCAGTCAGACCCCGAACGTCTACACTGCAGTTAAAGAGCCCCTTAGCCTGAGCCCTGTGAGCCGGAGTCAGCTGTGAATGTCTAATTGCAATGGAGACACTCTCTATGTGACAGCGCTGAATTGGCTGTACCCATTATCCAAATGGGCCTCTTTAAGTAGCTTGCATGCCATTCTTGAGCATATTAACCTCAAACTTCTGCATATTAACTCACAGAGGGACCCTGGGGAACTGAAGACAGCTATAAAACCAAGGAAAGAGGAAATTCATAAAAGCAGAAAAATAATTTTTTTACCATCCTCTTTTCATTTCCTTACTGCTCATCTGTCGTTTTAGTTTCCAGATTCAACACTTGATATTTAATTAAGCCACCGCAAGAAACTAGTGTGATATGGGGCCAAGTCCCAGAAAAGTACAAAGCAGTGGGTGTTCAGTGTGAATAAAATACTCTATTATAGACTAGATCCTCCACACCCACTCTTCTGAAACAGAGAGATCACAGTGGAAATAACTACCAACCCTCTAAAGTGCAATACACATGAATGGTAATATATATCAATGCAAGAAACTTTACTGATGCAATAATAAGGATGCACAGTTAAATTTAAAATAGGATATGTAAAAATTTAAGTTTCTACAGCAACACTAACATGGTCACCTTGCTCATATAAATATTTTCTGTTCCTGTTTTTCTGGCTAAATAAGACATTTAGTAATAACACTTTGCTCTTATGTAGTGCTTTTTATCCATAGAGCTCAAAGTACTTTACAAAGGAAGTAAGTTTCATTATCCCCACTTTGGGGATGAGGAAACTACAGCACAGAGAAGTGTGGTGACTTGCCAAAGGTCACAGAGCAGATAAGTGGCAGTGCTGGGAACAGAAAACAGGTCTCTTAATGCCAAACACCATGCTCTGTCTAATGGGCAACACTGCCTCCCTGTAGTCTTTATGTCATACTGTATATCCTATAAAATATACAGGATGTGCAATGAGGTAGCAAGAACCTTAACTTTTGTATTTCCTGAATTAAAAAAATGTTAACTATGTAATTTTAACATTCCATTAGCCTCTGGATATTTGTTCCCTTTGTGTATTCAGTCAGCTCTGCCAACTGATGTGGCGAAAATAAGATTCTTTCCTGTTGTCAGCCCTGCAAAACCAACCCAGCTCTGGGAGAGTGAACTGGATTCTTTTCTGGCTGCTCATCACCAACAGAATTGTTAACTGAGCTCCAACTACAGGACTACGTGGGCAAACCCACTGTCTTCAAATTATGCCCTCAATCATACCTGAAGGCAATAGGTCCATGCAGGTATAACTAAGGGTCTAATTAAAGAGGAATGAAGTTATTATACACATGCACCTAAGAGCAACATTGGCCTGCAGAATCTTTATGACTGGCAATTGTGCCCAGGTCAGAAATAACCCAGTTCACTTTCAGATCCCAGGTTTGCAAGGCTAGTAGTTAGACGTTTTTATTTATTTATTTTATTTTGTAAATTGACCACACTTGATCTGGAATCCATTGAAATGTGATAAGTGTGGAAGCCCACAATACCATTTTACAATTCCCCAAATGTTACTTGTCTCATATAAATGTGGCATTATATCCCATGAAAGACAGGACACTCGTCACAGCAGGAGTTTAAACAAATGGATTGCAGCTTTTCTCATGGGCACAGAAAGTACTTGCTTGCCTTTTTTGGCAGATCTACCCTTCCTTCCCTTGCCTTTAATGTTACCAGGCTAAACACACTGAGGGTATCCCTAATAATGGAGAGTGCCAGATTCTGATTAGTTTTCTGGCAGTGTTGGGTTGTAATAATGAACCCCTAATTAAAACAAAGAAAACACTTCAAGCTTGGATCCTTGTTCAGGAGACAGAAAATTATGTGCTTATTGGCTTCCTTGCCTGTAGCAGTTGCTTTCTACTCTTCCTAGTCTCCTGCCTCTGGGAATGAGGAATAACCATTTAAAATAATTTTAAGGAACTTCCTAAAATAGATCATTTAAGTTAAACAGAATTTGACAGGAAAATATATATGCAAAGAGCCAGATCCTGGTCTTATCAGCACCACTGATAAAACTTGTATTGACTTTAATGGGGCTAACATTTAGCCCAGTGCCATGGAAGCCTGAGGGGGAAGAGGCAAAGTGAGACACCCAGATTCTGCAATAAACAGTGTAAGTTGTGGGAATGGAAAGTGAGAGAAGGTAAAATGTAATTAGGAACAAATGTTCAGTATGCAACCAGCTACAAAAAAGGAGCCTAAACGGTCATTTTTAAAGAGTCGACAAATTAACAATATCCTGGGCAAATTCTGATAACGAGAGTCCAACTGTGACACCAGCTACTTCTGCACAACCCTGTCACCGTTAATGAGGTTGCACACGTTTAACTCGGAGCAGAATGGTTTGAAGGGGAAAACAGCAAAGGCCTTCCCAAGTCCCATATAATCTTCTTTTGTAAAGAAAATACCTAGAAAGAAGCCACTCCAGGGAGGACAAACACATGCACTGTCTGAACGTGCATTGGTTGCTGATTTACTGCTAGTTTGGGATCTTACTCTCTGCTGTTATTCTTATTCCTCTGCATGGGGAAATAAGAGAACCCAGAACAAAGTGAGAATGGCAGTAACAAGGAAGAGTCTTAATAAACAGGGATACATTGCACCTGGGATGGGAAGGTGGCCCTTTAGAACATGTATTGATGATCCCATTCCAAAATGTGTTGCTGGAGGGGTTGGGGGGAAGGGGGGGTTTGCTCAAACCTCAGGAACCTGGCTTGAATAAGGATCACAAGAGCAAGGATACATTTCCTGGCTCACAGTTATCCATTGCTTTCCAATGTAAAATGTGGAGGTTGCATCTGTGAATGTGTGTGTGAGTAACTGACCAAGAGAGATCACTGGACAGGTTTGAAGAAGATTTCCTTTTTATGGCACAAAAGAAAATAACATATTGGTTTGCTGTAAAATGTAAATGACGAGAGAGAAAGGTTACCACATTTCTCTCTCCATTCCATGCAGTCTGCCTTAGACTAGCAGCTACCACTCCCGTCCCCCTCCTTGTCTCTGTTGCTGTCCGACATACATCAAGGAAATGGGAAGGAGAGTTTGTGATAAGCCCCTAGAATCGCAATACAAGACAGGCAAGCGATCAATGCAATTAAAGTTGATAAAGGGGATTAGAATGTTTGAGAGGCTGTCTCAGATTTGTCATCTGTTATTGAGGGGTTATTTTAGTCTGGAGTTGGAACCAGGCAATTTTGGTTTTGGTTCCAGAAACTGAATCAAAGGCCTATTAATCCATGTACTTAGAGTGCCTGAGGAACAGGTGACTGATAGCAGTGACAGAAGTGAATAAAAACAGGCTTGGGACTTGGATTCTACTTATAGCATTTTTCCTCATTTAGGACCATATACTGCCCTCAGTCATCCACAATTCATTCTACCTATTAGTTTAAAGAGAAAGCATACAGTTGTTCAGAACCCAGTAATTTCGTAGCTCTTAAAACCCATCTTCTGTTGGTCTGATTCTGCTCTCATTTACATAAGTGCAAATCAGGACTAAGTCCATCAAAGTTAATGAAATTACACCAGTGTAAGAATGGATGTGTGGACAGATCTTGGATTACATGCAGGTGTTGTTTATGAGTATGATCTGCATAAAGCAATGATTTAGAAGATTTATTCGGTGGTACTCTAGTTGATCTTAAAAGGAAGATCATCTGTTGCTGTAATATACAACTATTAAATGGAGATCCCAGATCCCTCAAGAAGATCTCTTTAAACTCATTCTAACACACAAGAGTATAGTTGAAAGGAACCTTTAGTGCATTAGAATGATAATCCCCCACAAAGGAAAAATTTATATGGATGCATTTGTGGCATGATTAATTCAATGTATTTCACATAATAAATATTTTAAATATATATGTCAGAGTTAATATATGTAAAATATTACAAAACAGGCCTTTTCTCATTATATTTAAAATATATGGTATGACACAATATGCTTTGACTGTCATGAAAATGGCCAATATTGTAAAGTTTTAAACAGTCTGTACTGAGTAATATATTTTTAAAATGTCAGCACAATAAATTTTAATCAAATAGATAACATATGGACATAAAACCATGTTAGCTTGTAAAAAGAGCTGTCCAGCCTAGAAACAGAGGGAGACTGAAAGAATAGTGCCAAACCTCAGCCTCAGAGTTGCAGAGCTTGAGTAGATTTGATGTGTCAGCTAACCAGACTTTATGAGGAAACCCCAGCCCATCCCTTCAAATACAGAGATGTAACAAATCATTAGTAAACTTCATAGAGAAATTCTTTGGTAAGAATCAAATTCCACCAAGTGGCTAAAGACAGCTTGTATTGCATGTACATAAAAGAACCAGGACATGGCGTGTCTGCTTGTGATTAATCACAGCCCATATGTATATTCCATTAAATATCCAACAGGTCTCTCTCAGGCCCAGCTCCCGATTACAATACAGTGTTCTGAACAGCAACTTGTCTCTTAAAATATGGTAGAAAACCATCTTTCCCATGCCTACCTTCATGCCAGTGTCCCCCTTTTCACCCTGTACAAGGAGAACAAAGATAGAGGGGAAACAGAGATAGACATATTGAACAAAAAGAGAAAAACAGTATAATCTTAATAGCAATGACAATAGAAAGTAATTGATAGAGCTTAGCTCATGAGACATGCATGCTGTAGCCGCCAAGTAATGACTGAAGGATAAAGCACAATGACTGTAGCATCTCAGGGTCTGACTTCAGTTCATCCCTGCACACCGATGCAAGACAATGTGTAGAGGAGAAATGGGTGCATGAGAATGTTCTATACACACTTAGGTGATCAGCGTCTATGACATTCATAAGTATCCATAGGAGGCATTGACTGGGATTTTTAAAAGAGCCAAAGGGAGTTAGGTACCTACATCCAGCTAACTTTTAATGGGAGTTGGGTGCCTCATTACCTGAGGCCCCTTTGAAAATCCAAGGCATTGTCACTCAAACACCTCCAGTATCCAAAGCCAGAGGTTACGTAAAGGAGCAGCTCCACTAACTGCCAAATCTGTCATGTTCCAGCAGAAGATAATGGTCTATGCACATACAAGTCATTACATTACAACATCTACAAGTGACAGAGCACATTGGAGCCTGGCCCTGGTTCCAGAGAGCAAGGAATCATTCTTGCCTCAAGGCCAGTCACTAACAATTGTCCAGGCCCCATCTACAAAAACAACTCTGGATCTTGTAAGTCATCTAGACAGAGTGTGCAAAGAATCTATTGAGTCTATCTAGACATTTATATCACATTGCTTACCATATCTGAGACTGTATCACACCCCCATATACTTGTGTTTCTGTAAAAGGTGCACATGTCTGGGTGGCAATAAGTTGCATAAGCAGATGGAGGTACTGACCAGCTAGAATTTTTAGTTTAATGGTTACCTTGGGGCCAAAAGGTCCAGGAAGGCCAGGTGCACCTGGTAGGCCAGCCTCACCCACCTCACCCTGAGAAGAGAAGCAAAATGGAGGGAGAGGCAAACACAGACAGAAGGAAGAAAAGGGGCCTTCAGTATACCAAGAAATATTAACAAAGATGTGGGAGGGATGACAGAGAACAGTCCCATAATACATGTGGCAACATAACCTTCTTACCCTGCCCTGAGAGAGATGCTGCTTAGCAAGAAGCAAAGAGAGATGGAACACAGAAGCCAGTTCCTCACAAATAGCCTGATCTCATCAGTATTTAGGTGCTATGAACACGTATTCCAATCCTCATATAATACATTTTATCCATGGCTGAAGTGACCATATATCCATGTGTCCAGGTTTTTCACAACTTAGTGTCCCAGGAACTTCTTTTGGGTTGCCTGAAAAATCCTGGTTTTTCATTTCATCAGTCATCATGTTGGGTTGCTGGTTTTTAATAACTAGAAAATGTTTGTTGAGGCCGTATTGCTACATTTAGTAGAATTTCCCATGCGTTTACCAGGAACAAAAAATCTAGTGGTGCAAGAATTCAATGTGATGAAGCGTTTGGAGCAAGATAATGACTACTTGAGTGTAGAGAGTATCAAAGCTGTTCTTTTTGCTCAAAGTGAATGTTAATGACACTGGTTTGATGTTCAGTTATAAACTCATTCAGAATGCTGAGTTACTGGAAAAAACCCTCCATTCTGAGAAACACACCTGTGGTGCTGTTGAGTCAGAAGCTAGCAGTAGTGACACCAGCGCATCTTGAAAAAAAATTTTTTTTGCCTTTTGCCTGGGTATTTTTTGACCCTAAAACATGTTGCCACAAAAGTATCCTGGTTTTTAAATTTGAAGATATAGTCACCACATCCCTCGTATCACAAAGCTACCTTCAATACAAAAAAAATCAAAACGGAGGGAGAGATTTCTCCAAATCCTGAGTCTGCCCATTAGATAAGGGCAGTATAGAAGTTTCTGCTTCCTTTCATTTCTGACTCAGTGGGGAGGACTTTCTCCTCTGTGTTCATTCAATCCTGTGTTTCCTGCACACTTCCCCATTAATGGATCCCAGACCTGGGATCACCCTTCTCACAGTATGAAAGGAATTCAGCCCCCTTGCTTGATAAATAAATCAACCAGATTAACTGCCATGCATAGGAAAAGATCCGGGTACAAACACCCACTAATATGCCATATCAGTGACATCCTCAGCACATTTGAAGGTTAAGAAGCCTTCTGAATGTCGCAAAGAGAAGGATGAATGGTTAATGAGAAAACCGACAGTTTGCTGAAAGAAGAAGCAGTAAATTTTGTGTGTGTCTGCAGGAATGGACTGTGGTCCACAGGGGCTATAATTTTCATTTCCTGACATAACAAAAACTTCTCAGTTTATGCAGAACTAATTAAAAAGCTCTCAGGTCTTGCCACTTCACCCACAGAGCACCCATAAAAGAACGTATAGATAACACAGCACGTACAACTGTCGGCTGTTGGAAATACTCACTTTCCTTTTCTCACTCCCTCATCCTCCTTGTCAATATTTATCCCCCCTTTATCCTCTTTCATTTCATTCTCCCCCTCTCTGTCTGTCCTTTAAACTCTCTGGGAGGATTCAGCGCTGCTGGGGCAGGGCTAGCCATGTCCTAGGATGGGATTTAACCTTGGGGGAAGGCAGACAGTGTTTCCCCAGGAGAGTATCTTTAATGCTCTGTTGGAGCTTCATCAGAATCCAGCTGCCTGGGAATGAGTTGAATGAGTATATTCCCCTGGCACCCCGGCTATGCACCATCTCTGGTCAGCACCATCTCATTTTAGGGCTGCTCTGGCCACTTCGGTGCCCCATAACATATAGGGAGTGCAAATGCCTTGCACTGGGACAACCACCCTTTGGGCAGACCTTTCAATGCTAGAGATCCACAGCCCTGGGTAATACCAGCTTCTTTCTGGTAACCTATGGCTGAATCAAACCTTCCATCATTTAGACTGGAGAACGATACATACTGGGGGAATGTAAATGCCATAGCTTGTTCCAACCCCCATTCAGACTGGGTGGATGGAGAGGAAGGATGTCCGCGCATGGGTGCACAAAATAAATTTCAGCCAGGAAGAAGTGAATCTATAGGGGAGCTTACAGCTTTTCCTGCCTCAGCCTCTTCTAGAAGAAACTGCTGCAGGGAAGTAGGTAGGCGTAGTGGTTACTGGGGAGTTGAAACTATCTTCAGTACTCGGCTCGCTTAGAAGGAGTCACTGCAGGAAATGGTAGAGGAATGCTGGCTATGGGGGAGGTCAGAGTTCCTCCATACCCAGCTTCTGCCAGCAAGTCACTCGTTGCAGGAAATGATGGAAGACCTCTGGCTGTGTGTGTATGAATGTGTGTGGCAAGGATGGCATCTCTCTGCTATTACACTCCCACCAGACTCTGGTTCACCATAATGCATTTTAAGATACTTGATCATCCAGTTGCTTCTGCGCATCTCAGAAGTTTACCTCCCTCTCTTACCTTCCTCCCATGGTATCCTTGAATTCCAGGGTCTCCCTGCAAAAATCAAAATGAAGACAAGCCGATGAGGCTAGGCTGAAAAGGGGAAAATCCCTGTCCTTTGCCCTGTGCAGATGTAGGAAGAAAAATAGGACACTGAGGTGAAATGCTCCCTTGTGCAGAGAACCACAATGAGGCCTAAACACCATTTAAGTCCCCCTCGAGCTTGCAAAACAGGGCATATGTCTTGTCTGAGTCCAATGCACAGGAGTGAGTTTTACCCTGCATGAATTCCAACATAATAGGAAAGCTGCACCACACACTGCAAGGCACACCGTTTGGTTTTGCTTTCAATTTACACAGTTAATCTGCCCTAACACGGCTTAATCTTAGAGCTCTGTCTGAAGAGTCTCAGGGAAAGCAAATTGGGGACTTTTGCAGGCAAAAGAAATCTCACATTTTTTCAGTGACATTTCATAAGTTTGGCAAGTAAAAATGGGAAATTTGACAAAATGAGCAACATGGCTACAAAATAAATTCACAAAATGTGGTAAATGTTCTATGGTAAAGTCCGGCAAAGACATGGCTTGCATTTTTTTTTTTTTTTTTTTTTTGCAATATTTCCTGATGACGACCTCCTCACTCAGACAAAACTTCCATTGACAACAATAAGCCAGGAGTCTTGGAATGGGCCCTTAGGAAGATGTTTCAGTCTGGTCATGAACTTTTTCAGAAATATTATGAAGCAACCCTCCTTTCCTCCCCCTTCCCCACCTCTCCACAATGATCACGTCCAGCTTTGCTCAGATCCATGCTAAGGGTTTTAAACTTCTTTTCCTTGTTTTTGCTTACAGGTGATGAAAAATATCTCACCTTTGGTCCAGGGGGTCCAGGTAAACCCTGTAGATAAAATAAGAACACATTCTGAGGTAGGGAAAACTGCAAATATCTAGAGAACTGGGGTGGGGGTAATTTTTTTTTCTACTGGGACATCAATCACTGCCTAGTTTGATTTTAAAGAGTTCATCACTTTAAAATGTCACTGCAAAAATGATTCAAAAATCATTCAAAAATGATTCAAATATCAAAAACGATATTTTTCTTGCCTATCTTTAGCTCATTCCCAGCTCACTGTCTGTATATGCACTGGAGAAACAAAACCATCAAAACTGGAAACTGGTAGTATTCAATAAATGGGTAGTCTCTTCCTTACCCAGCTAGGTGATCTCAAAGGAGTTAAGGGAGGGAGAGAGTTGATATGGACTACCTGTCCTTTAGAATACATTGCGGAATAACAGAAAGATCCTTTCTTCATGGTGGAATGTGCTATTATTAGATCTCAAATAGAGCTGTTCTTTTCTTCATTAAAAAGGAAATCTACCTGTGTGGCATGCTACACGTCTGAAAGTGCTCTTTAGGGGCAGGAAGCATGGGTTTTATTGAACATGGATTTCTTTGACTTGCCTAGTAGTGGGAATATGTTAATAAGACTTTCAGAAGGAAGGACACCAGTAGTTGTGCTAAATTAGAAATAGCCATTCAATCTGCACACATATGAAGCACCAGATACTATACATACCATATAAATATTAATATCTAAAAGTTCCATATGGCAGCTGCCCTTATGATATACACAATCCAAATAAGAAAGATGGAACAGACACCCCACATATGTTCTACGGCCTGAATTTACAGTATTTTTGCCTGTTTATGACCATTCAGACAGCTACTTTGGGTTAAAAGATCAAAAGCGGGGATTTTCCAAGTCTTGAGTCTTCTGCCTGTAGATCACATGCACAGAGAGGCTTCTCTTTCCTCTGTTGACTGCATGTCCCTTTTCTCAAGCAGGTTTGAAACAGCTATTATAAACATTTCAGAATGCAAGGATCTTTATTTCCTAAGTACTAGGATGTCCGGCATGCCCAGCATGCCATGCTCCTCATTGTTAGACACAGGAATTGAGTAGTTGTTTCGTGTGCTACTAAGGAGATAGCAGGTAATAGGCTGTACATCTTCAACCATTACAGAGGCTTCCCGTATTTTGTTGCATGCAAACACACTAACCAAAAGTTAGGCATCAGCATAAGCAAGCCCTAATTTTGCTATTCTTATCCTGGTGATTTTTTATCACAGATCCTCATGACCTTTCTCCATTCCTCCATCCCTAACTTATTATCAGCATCTCTTCTCAGTTACTCAGTCCTTAGACACTGTTATCATTCTAGGCTACATACAAATGAATTGACGCAGAGGTGAAGTGAGAGACTCACAGGGTAATGAACTATAAATCTCCCCACTGTATTTTCCACTGAATGCATCCGATGAAGTGAGCTGTAGCTCACAAAAGCTTATGCTCAAATAAATTGGTTAGGCTCTAAGGTGCCACAAGTCCTCCTTTTCTTTTTGCGGATATAGACTAACACGGCTGCTACTCTGGAACTAAGGAGCGTTTCACATATAGGTTATTAGTTCCAACCCATCTTAGATTGGCAAAGACCAAAATTCATGCCTAACTGATGGTTGTTAACGTGGCCTATATAAAATGACTTGATGGTTTCACTCAGTTCCTAGTGGACAGATGTCAGCAGTTGTAAAACCTCATAACTGGTATTTTCTTTGGCAGAGGGACCAAGGACTGAAAGTCTGTGGAGACTAAATTACCTGTCACCCCCAGGAGAGTCCAGGTCAGGTTTGAGGCTCATTGATGGGTGGGTCAGTTTGGGAAAAGCTAGCAGTGGCACTAGCTATACTGTATATATTCTTTTCTGGACAGAAGACTTCAATGTAAAGTGCTTCCGATTATGTTTACCATGGGAAAATACTCTAAGATGCCTCTCCACGGTCTCTGAGCAAGGAACTTGGGTGCACCCTGAGAGCAGAGCCAGCTGAGGTGACCCCAGGTGAATGAAACAGACAGCAATGCAGACATTAAGTGCAGCCACCCAGTTAGCTGAACACTTGGTTCAGTCCTGCAGGCATTCTCCACATCCTCAGGCATTAAGGAGCTGGCTGCATTCATGCAACGAATGTTGCATGCCCAAGAGAGAGGAGTGAGGCGGCTCTGTTGTACCTACCTTTCCATCCTTGCCTGCCTTTCCAGGCTCCCCTGCTTTGCCCTGTTGTGAGAGGGAAAGGAACATTAGTGACAGTATTTTCACCTGCCTAGGCTGCTTGCTGTCAGCCTGGGAATAGAACTAGGAGCAGAACATCAAAGAGATTTCAAGGGCTTTTTTTAGTCTGGTTTCTGCTGAGTGCAGGCTAATTACAGCTGGAGTGTTACTTCCTCCCCATGGCATAGGCTGGAGAGGAGGAAATGGCACTGGTGTCACCCTCTCACACGTGTGTGCAGATAGGGATAGCTGGAGGCATAGAACTCCTCCCTCCCTGCCTGGGAACTCTTTCCTCCAGCCATTGCTTGTGGTCAGTGCACCCGGCTCAGAGGAGACAATAAAAGGCTAAGGAAATTGCATGCATGTCAGGGGAGAGGAAGGATAAATGCTGCTTGTTTGTTTTCTTTTAAACTTACTGGTGGCCCAACTGGGCCAGGTTGTCCTGGATTTCCTGCTGGTCCAGATGGTCCAGTTGGCCCTGGTGGACCAGGTGGCCCTGGTGGACCTTGAATCCCCGCCTGTCCTTGTTCACCCTGAGGTTCATTAAAAGAAGGGTTACCATCAGGCAGGGTTAACCCATAGCCCAGTATCCAGGGTGTGTGACATACAGCAGCTCAGCCAGAGCAAATGAAAGAGCGAGAAGCCAAGCAAGTTACAGTTAGCGGCAGGAGAGGTTTCCAAAACTCAGGCAAAAGTCCCCTTCTGATGGTCTTTCTGGGTAGATAATTGGAGCCATTTCCCTGTAGTTTGCAAGTACATTTTAAAGCTCCTAGTCAGAGCTCACTTAGAGGAAATGTGAAAACTGGATCAGATACTAAAATAGTGCCAGGAGCAACCCAAATACAAAGTAAACTGGTTTTTTAAGTTTAAAAAAGTGTAATTAATTATATATAATAATATTGAGAATCCCCCAAGAATCTCTGAGTGCTTTCCATGTAAGGATTTTAAAGCACTGTACAGTCAATGATCACTGAAACCTCACAGTGCCTTCTGAAATAGGGGGCTATTCTCATTCCCATTTTAGAGAAATCAAGCCAGGGTCACTCTATCACTTACTGGCAGAGCCATGAGTCCTCAGTGTAATTTTTCCTCATACTCTAACCACTAGACAACACTCTCTGTGTTCTGGCATGTGTCTGCTCTTTCTTAATTTCTTTTAATTTGGAGCTGGCCAGAAACAGGAAGACCTAGGATTCTCATGAGAAAGCCTATTCTTGTGAGACTTAAAATCCATTTGATTTGGATAAGGTACACAAAAGCATCCAAACTTTTGGGTGCTTATCTGAACTAAGCCTTTTGTAGCTGGCCCATCACATGCCACCTCAACAGCCAATATCTTGGATTCCCCGACATTCTAAAGCATTCATACATGGCTTTTGCCTCTGTTGTCCCAGGGTGGGGGAATCAAGAGTCTAACTGGCTGGTGGTGAGAAGGTGATGATTTAGAAGGATCCCATTTAAATACCAGATTGCTGATCTATAAATGATTAATCCAGTAAATTCCATGGGGGCTATGACACTCAAGTTAAGCTATCTAGCTCTCTGCTTTCTCTTTTTTATAATTCCCTCTTCTTAGATACAGTATCACAAAGTCCTATTACCAGTGGCAGGATTTAAGCTCAACAAACTTCTCTTTGTGATCTCACTGGAAGGCCTGAAATAAAACGTAGTAATTTATTCAAAATTAATATATGGGTTTGGGGCTATATCACAGGAGATAAAGAGCATTGCCTCCGCTGAACTTGTACTGTGCAGAACATGACGTTGTTGGGTACAATGTGGTTCCATTCACATGCAGTCATTATCCACACTTGTGTACAATGCATATATTACATATCCCGTGCATGTAGTACCATTGCTACATCTATGCTATAGGTATGTGTTCTTGTAAGTCAGTTATGTGATCCCTCTTCCTACCTTCAGTGTCCTTAAGTTTATAAGCTAACAACAAGCATTACATAAAAATAGGCTTGTTCAAGGTGTCCAAGGAATGGCCACAGCTATTACTTCATTAGCCATAGTGAATTCCTCTCGAACTAGTAAGGAACAACACTGACCAGCAGAAAAGAACTGTTTTATAACAATGGAGATGCTAACACTGTAATGGGTGAGGATTTAACCTGAATGAAAGAGGGTTTGGTAGTTAGTGGCGAGTCAGTATAAGGGCACTGCCATTAGAGGGCACCAGTCACATTAGCAGCAGACCTGGTTGCAACATTTTTGACAGAACAGTTTTCCGTTGGAAAATGCAGTTTAATCGAAATCCAAGGGTTTTTAACAAGTTTTTTGATGGGGAAAAAGCGAACCAAATTGTTTTGAATTTCATTTTGTTTTGATAATGTCAAAACATTTTGTTTTAACTTTCTCATTTTGATCAATTTTATGCTGATGTTTATATTAAATATGATATATTATATTGATGTATTATAATTACTATTTTATACAGTATAAAAGTTGAAACTATGTTAATCAAAATGAGAAAGCTGAAATGAAACATTTCAAGCCCATTAGTGACCCGGCCTCCCCTCTGTAATATCCCTCCGTATCCAATCAGAATAGCTTGTTGTTCACCCTGCCCACTCTACGGCCTAGGAAAAAAGAGCTTTATCTTTCCCCCTTTTTGTAAGCAGTTCCTAGCACATCCTGGGGTCTTTCCATAGGGATACATGAGCCTCATTGAGCTGAATATAAATTCTATAGCCAGTGCCATTAAAGGATTATCAGCCACACACCTTTAAATACTTTTTAGCTTTTAATTTTTGGAGGGAATTTGGTTCTGATAAAAACATAAGGCAAATAGCCTTGCATAGAGTCGGGCAGCGGCACACTACAAAATTCCCCAAGACTTCCTTGCTATTGCCTCTCATTCCTGACTTACACTGCTAGCCCTGGGACACACCTCACTGTTCCAAACATGGCTGAGACTACATTTATTTTCACTTCTGACCCGACAAGGATCTGAAGTTAAGCCAGGCAGACGGGGAATCCATTAACCTGCTGAGCTATCAAGCCTTTGGATTTGGCATCGTTTTAAAAAGACACATTTTAAAAACCTTCTGACTATGAAAACAAACTATTAGTTACATACTAAGGTGATAAAGTTCACCTATTTGTGTTTTAGCCCTTGCTGGTACTTTCAGTTGCTAACTCTATATCTTACTGAGACCAGGGGGAATCCTATTTGCCTGCTCCGTTTCCCACTACTCAGACTGTCCATAACTGGAATGGGCCCTCTGTTGGATGTGATTATCCACTTCTTGTGATGACCGGGGCACAGAAGGTGCTAATGTGTATATATATGTTAAACCCAGTTGCCTTGATGGAAATTCACGCTGGCAGCTGGCAAGCTTTCAGAGAGACACAGGCAACCTTCTTTGGTGGGATGCCTGAGCAAAGCATATGCTGTCACTGCAGCGTCCTTGTTTTTTTGCAGGGCTCACTTTGTTTAAGCAAGTGCTCCATATAGACAGACTCCTAGACACATAAAGCTTAGTTACTACATAATTATATTCTTATTAGTACTTTCAGCCTGGAAAGACCCTTTAGGATTTAACTGGAATGTAACTGGGTAGATAAAAAGAAAAGGAGGACTTGTGGCACCTTAGAGACTAACCAATTTATTTGAGCATAAGCTTTTGTGAGCTACCGCTCACTTCATAGGGTAGATAAAGTAAGTTGGAGATCAGATATCATACTTATCAGATGTCATTTAATATTTTTAGCTATTAATCGGTGCTATTTTTCAGTTTTGTTAAACACCAATTAGTTGCCTAGATATTCCTTGTGGATTCAATGTTCTCTTCTCCCTCTAACAGGGCTTGCAGCTAAACCACTGCTCCCCCCACAACAAATTCTCTGTTATAACACTCTTGCTGATGTAGTGTAAAGCAGCAGCAGTTTTTCTTCCAACTACTAGTGGTCATATTTGTTTTACAGCTTCAGCTCTTTCTAGCATTCCAAATGTTTAGCTCCCAGGGTTCATATGACTTACTATTCTGCTGTGGGGAGGCAGGAGTTGATGGAGTGGGCTTACATTTTCTGCTGCTTACGGAGTGAATTTCACAGACGCTAAATGAATCCTATACTTCAAATTCACTTTTTTTTTTTTTGGTAATGCTTATGAGATTTACAATCCTGAAGAATGAAGCCAGGTATAGAATGGAGTGCAGCAGTGCAAGCTTCCCTATCTGGCCCAGGAAATGAACTTTGGTTTTAAAAATCTTTCTATTAGCTCAAACCGTTGCTTCTCCTTTGAGACTAGGGGGGCAACCAATGCCAGCTGTGGTGGTTTGTGTGTTGTAAACACCTGTCCAGTAGAGACTGGGCTGAGACCACCAGTTCATTTCACATGGGTGAAAAAACACTAGATGATAACTCTAGGTAAGTGGTAAACTGTACTGAGCATGGACCAGTAGCCTGGAGATGAAAGGCTCTATAGGGAATACCCATCCCTTGAGTCATCCTGCTTTCTATATCTCAAACACAGTGAAAACTGTTTGAAGTGACCATGCAAGGGAATGACAAAAATCAGCTGATAACGTGAGGTGGCTCAGTATGTTTTAAGACAGGAGTTTGCCTAGTAAGCATGGCTTCTTGCACCAGTTTTACAGCACTTACTAAATTTCAAAAAGGGATCAGCCATTGATGTTGTTGTGCATGCAGGAACTGGCTCCTTAAGGTAGCAGTCAGACTTATCCATGACATACCTCCTTTTTTACCGCATTTGCCTTTGAGTCATATGTTTCATATTTCATTTGTTTCATTTTAAAAATCTGGATTCACTATGTTTCTGTTTAGACACATTTTCCCACCAAATATGTGCTCCACTCTAAAGCGAGCCCCTTGGCTCTGCCAAAGTCTTTTTGAAACCCCTTCTCGAAGGAAGGAAAGAAGCTAATTAATCTTACGATTCAGAGTAGGCTTAAAACAGGCAAGGAGGAAAAAGTGTCTACCTGGAAAGTGCGTCTCTTTATGACCGGGGGTGGAGCCAGCCGCACTGAATTGAGGAGAGGCAACAGCTGAAGAAGAAGACCGAACCCGAAGGTCACAGGGCAAAGGTCACAAGGCAAAGGAGTCAGTAGGACATCAAGAGAGAGCAGCCAATGAAGAAAATGAAAAGATAGGAAAAAAGAAAGACTGTAATGAGAATAAACCACAGTTGAGAGATAGTTGTGAATGGCACAGGGAGGGATACTTGTCATCGGGTACCGCTTGGCAAACCTCTGAGCTCTTCTGTATTGTACTTTAAACACAGGAAGGAATACCTTTGTGCTAGGTCTTGGAAGGCCCTGGTTTTCCTTGAAGGGACTATAATTTTGCTACCCCTTGGTCTCTCACACCCAACCATTCTATCAGTTCTTTCTTGCTTTCTCTCTCGGCTCAGAAAGGAAACTTACCAAGAGATTTCTTGTGCCAGCTTCTGCTGGATTCCTCAGATAAACTTCATTGCAACAAAACATAAATATTCTTCTCCCCAGGTCCCCAAAGTTCGCTGGGGACGGTGCTGTTTCTCTCAATTTGTCCTTGTTAGATCTGGGGCACTTATTAAGACAGGATTTTGTTCTATGTTTTTAAAGCTCCTCTTGTCACCTGCGCTCTTTGGCAATTGTGGCTCCATATTTCTGTGCCCCTCATTACAAGAAATATATTTTTTCTCTGGACATCATCTTGTTACTAGATAAATCTGCAATGAATTCTTTACAAATTACGAAGACGTGACTATACAGTTACCCTCGCTACAGTTCACAGTTATCCCCTTTTCTCCCTTACCCCAAGATTGTCCTCCATGTTCCTTTAAAAGCCCTAATAATCTTGCCATTTTCCTCCTCATTAGACCTGCTCCTTCAAGCTATTGCGGGATTCCACCATTTAACTGGCTGGAGGGGTCAATGCACAACAGTGAAGGAGTCCCTCCCAAGCAGAGACAAAGTTCATCACCTATTCATCAACCTCCCATTTCCTGTCAGGGACAGCAGTGAGAGAATGAGACCAGTTTGTGAACTTATACCCTTTTAGAGCAAAGCAGAGTTCTATTAGGGGCCATCTCACTTGTTCAAGATCCTTCATTTTCTTTTGCTTCACAAAGACCCTCAGTATCATCAGGACCCAACTTGCAAGTGAATTGAGATGTCCCCTGATTACCAGAGGATGAACTTCTGCCTCACAATACGCTGAGCCTGCACTTTGTGTCTCCTTGTTTAACAGTAACAATGGCTTGTGATCCGTTTTGGACAGGAATCCTCTCTACATCACAAAGCTGATCCTCACAAATCAAAACCATGTGCTAAAGCTCAGGGTCTTCTTTTCAGCTTTCTGCTGTATCTAATTTCCACTTCCAAACATGCTCCTGTCTGCCTGTGCACTCAGGAAGCTGCTTTGATCCACAGAACACTGGTGTTGACAGCACCGATTCAAACACCAGGAATGCTCATATTAGGCCTGATTCTCTTTCTCATTTACCTCAGTTTCACACTAGTCCTAACTCCATTGAAGTCACTCTTGATTTACAGCAGTGTAAGTGAGGGGAGCAGCAAGTCCTCCATGTGTGCACACACAGTGCTCCTCTCTGTGGGTTTCCCCTGTGTGAGTTGTGAACTCGAAGCTGAGAGGTGTTGCCCGCAGGTCTCCCACGACAGTGATGATGTGCATCTAAGCAGCACGCTCTGCTCCCCCTAAACATGGGTGTTTGTGTTTTACTGAAAGCTCAGACCCAGTCTTGTTGCAAAGTGAAATGTCATCACAATATTGCAGCCTTACAGTCCTGCCCACTGGGCAGTTTATATAAACAGTAAATACATACTTGAGGTAAACTAGAGGAGAGAACCTCTGACTCAGAGGACCACAATTAAAAGCAGATTTACAGACCACATTAGGGTGCACTGAAACTCAGAAGAATAAAACATGATAATTTCAGCTTTTGAGGTGAAGCTATATGATCAGCTGAGCCTTTGAAAACTTGCAGTACCCATGCAGTCAGCATATGTGGCATCTGGGAGGGAGTAAGCAGCCATGTTTTCAGTGCCAGGGCTCTGGAGACCAGTCAATCTCTCAGTGGCAGTCTGCACTGATGGCCTCCAGGTTTCCATCATTTTTAATGTTCTCCTGTCCCCTAATCTAACACAAGAAATCATAAGATATCAAGAAGTACAAAATGGCCCTAGAAAATCAGCCAGGCCACTTTTGATAGGAGCAGGTTCTCCTCTGCCAAAAAGCAAGCCTTTGTGAAGAGTGGGGCAAAGAACAGAGAAAGGAAGGGCTGGAGTGGGGCAGGTGGGATTTGACCAGAGCTCTCATGGTACTAATTAGGGTGTTCAGTGCCATGTGTGCATTGTGTGGAATATGGTCAACACCACTCATCATAATGCAGTATCACAATGGCTGGAAAATACAGAGATATTCTAGAATTTTCTTCAGCTTGGTTTGATGAATGCACATTTCCTTTTGGGTATTAGCAGGACAATGTCAGGGAGCAAGGTAATATAAGAGACCAGCCTGGTGGTTCAGTGGAGCATTCTGGCTTGGTTGCCCGTGTAGTGGGGGCTGGGAAAACTGTTATCTTTCAGGTGGGCAAAGGGTCCATTCAGCATCTCCTTGTAGTAACTTGGGTGAATGATCTGGGAGTCACCAAGATGGAATTTGTGTGTGTGTGTGTGTGGGGGGGGGAACCCTGTTGTATCTTGTGTAACTCTATTGACTCGAAGAAGTAGTGGTTGAAATGTGCTGGCTGGTAGGAAGGGAGTGGGAGGGGCTATTCAAAATGGGTAAGGACAAAAACGGCATAGAAACTCAGGAGATTATTTAGTTTCCCTTCTTCAAAACTGAGCATAGGTGAGAAGGGACCTGGCTATGAACTCAAGTACATAGAGAGCAAGCATATGAGGTGTAGGTAAGAAATGTTTTTCAAGCCTCTTTCTTCTGTCCCCAGAATTGCATCCCCAAAGTCCTAATGGCAAGTTCTTTTTAACACAGAGCATGCAATATTGGATCCACATCCTTGTTTCTTTTGCATCAGAACTGGGTCCAGTTAGACCATTACCCACAAACCTTTAGTGTAAGGATCTGATTAGAGCGCAGGGCTGCGAGTGTTGTACTTAGGTATTCCTAGGGGATAGTGAAGACACAGTGACACAGAACTGGGTCAGTTAGATACACCACATCATCAAGAGAAAAAAGAACTTTACTGGCCTGACTATTCTGAGACCAGGTTCCATTCCCAGCCCTACACTGGCCATTGTGATTTTGTAACATGCTCTGATGACCCAGTCTGTCTTTAAGGATTATACCATGTAACCTCCTAGTATGGTCTCTTTACCCATGGGAACGTATGTCCTGTTTGGTCATGGGTTACACAATAGACTGATGGTTTAAAAAATGGGCCAAGGCAGGTTAAGAGGGAGCCCTGACTTTAAATTTCCTCTCTTTAAAAAAAACAAAACAAAAACAAAAACCTGTCTCTGTTGTTATCATATTTCTAATTCATTGTCCTGCCCATGGCATTTGATGATGGTAACTGCTGCTTGTTTGAACCAGACGAACTCTAACTTATCTAAAAAAGTGCATAAAACTATCTAAAAAGGGACTTTTCTTCATGTGCACTCCCCTTTTTTTCCTTATAACAAGGAAGAGAGGGATATCTGTGCATAGGCTGGTGCACATCTACTATTCCCTTCCCCCTAGAGCCCTCTGGCTCACAGGTATATTCAACACAGGAAACTGGTCTGAGGGCAGTTGTCACACACATGTCAGAAGCTCTGACTCAGACAGGTTAAGCACCTCCATACCACTTTTTAAAAGATTGGATTTGGTGCTCCTCTAGTCCTGGATAGAGCCAAGGGGGGCACAGACAGGGTTCCCTTGCCTAGCTTCGCCAGTCTGCATCATAATTCTAAGCTGTACACCTCCTGTGTTACAGTCCTGGGCCTTTTTAAATGGAGACTGCCAACTATTGATGGGGTAGAGGTGGTATTTAAGTGTGGACCAACATCCAGCAATGACTATGAAGTGAGACCACTTGTGACCTCAGTCAGGTATAAACTGAGGTTATTCCTCTTAATTTGTAATCAATTTCTCCATTCCTAATTCTATTAGGACCCTGCCCCCGCTTTTCACCTTGAACAATGTGGACAGTCTGGAGCCAAGGGCTGTAATGGAACCCAGGACACTGCTTAAGTGAACATTGTTAGCTTTTTTTTTTAACATAACAATCTAGTGAGATGGCTTGTCTAAATAAACACAGCTGACCTTCTATTATTGTATCAGGGCCGGAACACACGACCACCCTCCTCCCCCCAACACGCAGATGCACTGACAGGTTTTCTATCTACATGTAGTCTTTATACCAGAGTCTTGGACCACCCCTAGCCCCACTTCTCTCTGGGCCCGGGGCCAGCACCCGATCTAATTGTCCAGAGACTTTTGAAAAAATAAATAGAAAGCTTTTAAGCCTGTGCACAGTGGTTACAAGTTTCAATCCTCTCATATGATGTCCTTCCAGTGCATTTCCAATGGCTTTTCAGAGCTAGAGTTGTTTTTAGTTTTGTTTATGCCTGGTTAAATTCTATCCCTATAATCCCCTAAACCCCATGATATACGCCCGTCTCTCTTGAAAGGGGTACATGCCGGACAGGGCAGGATGGGGAAGCAAGTGGGGCTACTTCCTGGGCTTAATAAGATTATTACCAAAATAAATAAGTGTCCCTCCCCTTTTCCAACCAGTGATGTGCAAAAAGCCAGGCAACATCTACAAGATTACAGGGAATTCACTGGGAACTGTGACAGAACTGGATGTCTAACGCTAAATGTAGACCATAGGCATTATTTACTGGGTAAAGAATTTCTACCCCTCCTCCCTCAAAAAACTTCCCACCCCTCAGTGAATACATGGACTTTAATCATTCTAACTATAAATACATAGGCTTTCCAGGCACACTGCCAGTTTTACCCATTGCCTTTCACTGATTTGCTCCTGAAGTCTACATTTCTGCAGCCCTTTATGGGCCAGATTGTGCCTTCTGGATCTGCACTGGGAGGGGGCCACCCATGGAAGTTTCACCCAACTTTAGCTCAGCCAACTCTGCAGCACCATCCTTCCCTTCAGGCTCTATAGAAGGCTCTCCACATGGTCCAGGGCCTTTGCTGGAAGAGGAGAGGGTAGAGAGCAGAGGGGCTGGGAAGGGAGAAGTGTCCAAGACAGTACAGAATCAGGGCAGGAGATGCCCATTGTGCCCTGACTGGGCCTTATGCGAACTAGGTGAAAAAGGTAACAGAGCCCCTAGCTGTATAGCCTTTTCCCTGAGTCCCCCCAGATGTCCTAGCCATGCTGCCAGTGAGGGCACTCACTAGAGTCCAGAGCTGGTATGGAGGCACAAAACCTCTGAATGATCCCGGATTCCTACAGATCCCTAGTGATCCACCAGGTTTAGGGGTGCAGCCCACATCCTTTTCCTCATGAGGCAAAGTTCACCTCCTGACAGGATGATGTTGTGGGGTTCTCCATGAGGGGATGGTATGAGGGGATGGTATGGGTATATATCTGGAGGTCTGTCCTAGTTTAAAGGAATGAAATAACATTGTAAATCCCTCCTTGAAAATTCTGTGTAGTGCCTTCCAACAACACATATCAGTCAGTAAAATGGCACTTGTGGGACACATATGACGGACCTCATTAATGAAATATCCTACATTCCCATATAAAAGCCATTCAAACAGACTAGGATTAATGTGCAGGAAGCCATGGGACAGTTAATAACAAATACTGCTTACCCTGTGTGGGTAGTCTCCACACTGGCCCTGTGAAAGGAGGGGATTAAAAGAAAATAGTTTAAACTGTGAATGCAGTGAACTAAAGTAGGCATATGGAGTCAGAGCCACAGCAGGTAAAAATCAGCATAGCCAGCGATGCCAATTTATACCAGCTGAGCATCCAGCGTATTATCCACTACCCCTTTTCTCCCCGGTGTCATCATTTTTCTTTTGGCCAGAGATCCACAGAAAGCAATGGACACTCACTCACTCACTCACTGTCACGCTCTCTCTCTCCCTCATTTTGAAATGTACACAAACTACCATTTTATAGGATTTCACAGCATATAACCCATCAGATTTTCATTGTAGCTGCTGGGTCTTCACAGTTGGGATAAGATTTTTAAAAAACAGGATCCTAAATTCATATTTAGGCACCTAAATAAATGGTAATTTTCAAAACTCTTGAGCCAACATCACTCAGCACTTTTGAAAATCAGACCTCTTATTTAGAGGCCTACGTATGGATTTAGGAGACATGCTTTTGGCTTCTAGTTTTGGAAACTCTGTCTTTTGTTATTAGTGTCAGGGTCTTTTTCTTAAAACAATTTAGGTAAAAATAAACAAAACCTCATCAAAGCACCTAGGTCTCATGTTGCTCCTTATCCATTGCTGCTTCTGACTCTCCCTCATGCTTTAAAATGTATCTGTTCTGATTACAATGTGACCATGTGGAAAACATTTTAGCCTCAGTTAAAATTATGAGTATGGTCAAAAAAGGCACTTTGGTATAGCTCACATTGGCTTCCTATCTCTATTCTGAGTCAGAGCTGCAGAATTTAGTGAAGAAAATAAGTTTTTACCCTAAACTCTTTAGCTATAGAAGAGCAGGCTGTATTCCATTCAGCCTCAGGCATTATCAACAGCATTTCCAGAGGAGTTCTCAGTCCATAATCTTTGGCATTGGTCATGACAGGAGTTGATGTATGAAGCAGGGGGAACACAGCTTGATTTTCAGATGTCCACAGGATGAGCCCACAACTAGAAAAATCTTGTCTGTTTTGTGAACTGACCTAATTTGCTCTGAAAGCTGTAGCTGAAGGCTATGGAGCACCAAGATGAATCACTCAATCATTTTCCTGCTTTTTAAATGTCATTATAAACCCAGCTCCCATTAAAATTACCTTTTCTCCTTTTTGTCCTGGAGGTCCCTGTGAAAGGAAAACAATTAAAAAATTAATTAAAGAGCACTGTGCCTATTAGGGGAAAAGTGCCAAAAGAAGGTAGATTTACAAGAAGGTGATAAGTACAGCACTTACCGGCTGTCCCTTGGGACCAGCAACACCCTTTAAAAAATACATTGTTGTGAGTTATATATATATTCTTATATAGTCAATGACAGGAATATTAAACATCTCAACATGTGGCATGTACTCAGATGGAAATGTGGCTTTTTAAAAAGTCTTTAGCCAAAATGTTCTATGGTAGATCTCAGTTCCCTTTGCAGCGTTTCTTACACTAGAGGAGCGAAGATGCACAAGTCCTGCAGCTTTACTGAATGGGGATGCCAACAGGAGAGTGAAAAATTAAGTAGTTATATGACAGCTGCCCTGTTGGCTGACACACTGGGGACTGAAGCAGGGACCTCCGGAACCAAAAGCATGAGTTGATACTGGAGCAACTTATATTCTCTGTGGATCAGCACAGAGAGGCACCAGTAATGCAGACGCACCAGAGGGTTACATATTTCATCTGAGCAAATGATGCTCATCCTGAGCATCTGAGACTCCCCAGATGAGTCCCCACTTATCTGATGGCTGCCATCTTGGCTGACACACCAGGGATTGAACCAGGGGCCTCAGAACTAAAAGCATGAGCTGCTAAAATTCTCTAAGGAGGGGTTGTAACAATATCCTCTGTGGCATGGCACGGCATGGCACAGCACAGGAGGGGACCTCTAACACACGCTCACCAGCGGGTTCAGCTTCACCTATAGTTTTTCTTTTTTAAGGCCTAATTCTATCTATGTGTTGGGCACCCTCTGTTCATTTCCATAGGAACTGAGGTTGGTTAGTGTCTCTCTGCAGTTGCTCGGCACCTTGCAGCTTCACTCCTGAATAAATTAAAAGCCAAAGTCTGTGCTTGAATTCCCTCATAAAATTTTCATTTGCTTAATTGAGAATCATATGTGTGCCCTCAAAGGGCAGCATTTAGCCCTACAGAAAGATGGGCTCTAACTACAGAAGCCAATGGGAGCATCCTGTGTAAGTCAGGCCCATTTTAACTCTCTGTTTCCTCAATTTGATGTTTAGGAATACTCAGGAAGCATCCTGCATGACTGGATATTGATTCTAATGGATTAAATTAAATACAAAATATTTAGCACCTTAAGCAGGCAGCTTCTGTCTGGTGCAAACAATGATATGCCCTGTGCATGCGGTATATTAATGAAAGCTACTTGAACAGTAAGGGGACAGAGAAAGACAATTCATTTGCAAAGTAGTGTTAAATCAGTAATTGCTGGCCTTCACGTCAGGTCAAGCAGGAGCTTGGTGGGGCTCTGGCTTGTACTATTTTGACAGATTCTAGGGAGAAAAGTAAGGGAGAGATATAAGATTTTACTTTAGCTTTAAGTGGAGAGTAAGAGAGAACACCCACATTGCTTTAGTTCTCTGTCTTGCATATCAACACATGGACTGCGACTTACTGAAACTAGTGACTTTGCTGGAATAAGCACACACAGGCAGAATAGCAGTAGAGTTAACAAAATGGATATTTTTTGGAAGAACAAAAACAGTAAAAACTGAGTAACCCAAAGGGTGTCCAGTTACCTATATGTAGCTGATATGACTGCTGGCTGTAGGGATATTACTAATTGCTGGCTTTCCAAATTACTCATTTGAATAACCTTGTGAACAGTGAACTCCCTGAACCATGTGAAACCTCTGAAAATTAGAGCTGGCCAAAAATTTCAAAATTTGAAATTTTGATAAAATGAAGGAAATTAACACAGCTACACATTAGTTTTAAACATCTATATCATTGTGATTTCACAACCAAAGTTCTTCAGATATCTCAAAGTCACAAGGCCTTGTTTAGGGCACCATAAAGTACATGCCAAGTTGGTAGCATTACAATTAAGCCATTTTGGATTTATCAAGAAAAATCATCTTAACAGGTGACAAATGTGCTTTTTGTTGTTGTTCAGAAAACCCAAAATCTGCTAAATGGGTTTTTATGAAACTTTCCATAAACGAAAAGAAAAGGAGTACTTGTGGCACCTTAGAGACTAACAAATTTATCTGAGCATAAGTTTTCGTGAGCTACGAAAGCTTATGCTCAAATAAATTTGTTAGTCTCTAAGGTGCCACAAGTACTCCTTTTCTTTTTGCAAATACAGACTAACATGGCTGCTACTCTGAAACCTTTCCATAAACATTCACTTCTGAGATGAGTCCAACCATGAAACATTTCAGTTCCCAAAGTATTTTTAAAGAACATACTTAGTAACCGAACTTAAGGTTTAATAATGGAAATGACATTCTCATGCATAACTATAGAGTTGCTATTGTGACATGATGATACAGGTACTCATCATGTAAAAATTATAGATAAACTTCCCAGCTTCTGCTATCATTTTAGTATATTAGCTAGAAAGTTAGTATGTTTAGCAGGAATTTGGGTGGTTAGTATGCAGAGGTTAGCTCATTTCATTTGAGTCAAACTCTACTTAATGCCCCTGAGGAGAACCAATACAACCCAAACCAACCCACTGCTCCCTGAAGATATACATGTAATTTTTACCATCTCCCCCTTCTGTCCAGGATGGCCCTGAAAAGGAAAAAGAGTGTGTTATCATGATAGAATCAGGCCTAAGCACCGCATTTACACATCCCCTTGCTGTGGCTGGTCATTTCATTTTGCTTATTCTTGGTACCAAGGAAGACATAATGTTGTGTCCATGTAGTCTGGCAACAAGTTGATCATCACTCCTGATCATTCTGGAGCAAAGCACAGAAAATAAAGCTTTGCTGATGAATAGCATGGACATGTGGTGAGGTATTTAGACCCTCCTTAGAGGTTGGCAGGAAGGGGTTAATGCTCTCCTTTGGACTAGAGGAAAGAGCACAGCTGTCTGCCCGGAGTGTAGTGATGTGCAGGGTAGCAGTGCTCTGATTGATTAATTACCCCATCAGAGTATAAGAGGGATGGTTCTGGCAGTGAGGTAGGATCCTTAGTATGCAGTCTGCTGCTAGGAGGAGCACTGGGTGGAGGAATGTGGTTTCTCTTTCTTTCTGTAACTTGGTTGCAGTGAGCTACAATTTAGACTTTTCTTTTGGACTTGCCTGAAACAACTCATGCCTTGTTTCTTGACTCTGGCTGGGAGAAACTCTGCAGTATCTATTTCCCTTTTAAAGGGGCAAGACATTATTTACATTGTTTGTTTGTTTTACAACAAAGTCCACCACAAAAGGGGTTTGAGTGCCACAAAGGCCTTCAGAATCCTTTGCTGTGCTGGCTGACCTATTGCAATGTGGGAGAGGAATAAACCATAATGTTCAATTAATAGCTAGTCTAGGCTGCAGCGAGATGATATCTGAAGCTTAGGAAACTCATTCTATTTGTCTCTGTCTCTAGCTGTCACTGCTGGAGGTGGGAACTCAATTGCTCAGTTAGGTTTAAAGGGAAGCTTCAGGGATAAGTGCTAGTTCATAGATGAAGCAATAGGGTAACCAGAAGAGCAACATCAGTAGGGCACCTTCCAGGATTTACTGATGCTCTGAAGACTCTCCAGGGGGATTTGGTGATGGTGTTCTCCTGCCCATAATCTTTCATGTGCATAAGGGCATGCACACACTTTGCAAAATAATTTTATAGAAATTAACCTATTAACAGCCTGGCTCAGAGGATAGGGGAAAATATTAGACAAAGGGACATGGACATGGACAGGGACAGGGAGAGAGAAGCTGTGAAGGAATGTTTCACTTACAGGTTTGCCATCCAAACCAATTGGGCCCTGAAAGAAAAAAGAGAGAGCTGATTGGAAACTAGTTCATTGGTGGTTTATGCATTTGCCCCACAAATCTGGGTGGGGACTCAGTAGGATACAGATGGATCACACAGGATGTAGCAGAAAGAACAGTGAAGGAATGATGCGGCTGTGACTTTAACCAATGAACTCCTTTAGACTTAAGATGCAGAACACAGGAGAAAGAAAGCAAATTGACTAACCCAGTAGAGTGCTGCTATGTGAGAGATTTCTTACCCTGGTCTCTCACTGGCTGGGTGTGCTGCAGAGCCAATGTACCCATCGCTCAGTCCCATGGGGGAATTTCTTGCCTCAGTCACTAGTGGCCTCTGTCTAATTAAGGCACTATCTTGATGGGCTCTGAATGGCCCTTGCAGTTCTCCTTGGTGAAGGATGCTGGCTGTGATGCAAGGGCTCAAGTGTGGGGGGCTGTGTAGGAAAAATGTGGGGTCCTCAGGACCCTGGCAGGATTACTGAGAAGTCGTGGAGAGGGGCAGAAGTGAGGGGAAAGGAAAGGATAAAATGGGAAGATGGGAGTAATGCACTAAAACACCTTTGAGGTCTGGGCTCTGGTTTGTTTTTGTTTTTCTTTTAACTTGATCTGGGCTTGTTTGCTCTCCTTATGATTGGACATCAAAGCGTGGAGAGATCTGCTTCTCCTCAGTGCCTTGCTCCTACTAAAGTGAGGGTAGTTTACAATTATTGGCCACCTTTCAGAGAGGCAAGGCAGAGAGTCCAGTGTTCCGTGAGCATGGGGACTGCAGATTCCGCATTTTTTTTTTTTTTTTTGGTCCAAGGCAATTGCCCGCAGATCTGAGTTTATACACAGCAAATCCTTGAATAGAAACTACCAAGCCCCCCGCTGAACTGAGCAGGCTGGCAGAGGGGTGTGTGTGACAAAGGCAGTTCAGTTATCAGAATAAATTAACAGAAAATACATTATGAATAGTGAGTTTGGGAACAGAATAGATGCTGTGGATGGTGCTGCACGACCAACCTGCCAGCAAGTGTGGGGCTGAAATGGGAATTTCTCCATCTTCAGAATCTGTTTTTCATGTCATTGCCCACTCAGGCTGTAGCTGTAACTGACAGTGCTGCAAAAGCAATTCCAGCCATGCTTTTACCCTCTCCCCCTACTGCTGCCTGGGCTTTCCATCTAGCAAGGTCAATATCTGAGCCACACTGCACAAGCAGGATGAATCTCAGGGGCTCTCTGTTATTACAATATCACATTTGAGTTCATTAAGGCTGGAATTTCATTTACCTGGGTGTTGTTTTCTTTATTTTGGTGGTTTTGGGGTGTTTTTTACAGCACAGTCCTGGGCTTCAACTGTGGTATTTTAACATTAGGGTTTTTTGAAAATTTAATTTCCTTTAGTGTTGTATCTTTGTTTTTTAAGGCATCATTAAAAAGAAAAGAAAATAGTAATGAAACAGAAAAAAACTTTTCAATTACATTATATTGGGTCCACGGTTTTGGATGGAAATGCTGAAAGGCACTTAGCTTTAGTGACACGAGCTGGCAATATTATACACTTGTACCTCAGATTAACAGTTCCACTTACCGGAAATCCAGGAAAACCTCTTGTTCCAGGCTGTCCCTGAGAAGAATAAAATGGAGACAGGGACGTTTAAAGAAATCTGAGAGCAGTGCAACATGTCTTCCTAAAATTGCTCTGTAGGGCCTCAGGATTTGTTATTTTCCCCAACCTGATCTCTGTGTAATATCACTTTAGTTCTCAGTATAGTCACCGAGACTCAAGTGCATTTTAAGAAAGCAGGCTACTGGGGAGCCAGCCGAAGTCTCCAGTCACAGCTTTGTTTTGTTCGGAGCCAGGACAGTGTTGGAGATGGTCCAATTTGGACTCCGAGTACTTTGTCTGAAGTTTCTAAAGTAATTAAATGGGCGTTCCTAGCTCACACGCTGGCCTTCTGGAGCATTTTCCAGCTCCTAAGCTCTCTTTATGGAAATTCCTTGCATAGCCACATGCATGGCCATAAAATGAGGTGTTTAATACTGAGTGATGTGTAGTGCAATGTGCAAACACTTGCAGCTCACCAAGTCTATATCATCAAGACAAACTCTACGTTATTGCCCCACTTCATTAATTTTACCCACAAAGAAAATTTTGTAGCAGAGATTCTGCAAAATAAAAAGGGATTGTATGTAAAGTGAATGGGCGATGTAAACAAGCCCCTTCCCCTCTCTTCTTTTCCAATAGTCAGTTTCTGATTGTCAGTGCAAGATCTGAATCAAACAAAATGCAGCAAGTATTGGCAGATGACACAATGGAGTGACAGTCAGACTGCTTGTCATAGATTCAACCACATGCAGACAATTAGAGGGTGAAAGCCTCATGGCTGCTGGTTTGCAAAACACTAAGTGCCAGAGCACAGATACCCTTAAATAAACAGGACTTGTAGGATATCTTAATCCTGATTTAGCTAGCGATGTGTGAGCCATCTTGTAAAGAATAACAACAAACTTCAGTCCGATTCTGAAATTAAGCCGTTTAAATTAAAATAGTTGGATGAAGTAAATTCTGTGCCTCCCTCGTCTTCTCTGACCCCTGAAATCCATTTTGCAATTTCAGTAGGTCTAGTTCTCTCTGCTGGGCTAACTATTCTCTTCAGACCTTGTGCTTTCTGAGACTTCCCAGTTCTGAGCTGGGTGAGATGGGGAAGGGAAATACCTCCTAGGGCACTTTTAACCTAGGGAAGTCCCTAAGCATATAAGATTTGAATGAAACAACTGCTGGGACTAAACATAGGTTATGACCAGACCTTTGATCCTCACAGTGGAGTATCAGTGAAGGTTCAGGGCTGTTTAGCAGTTGAGGCGAATGACTTGGGAGCTGGATGCATGGTCAGAATGAGAGAAAAGAAGTTGGGAGGTCAGTTGAAGGATCTGGTTGGGTAGGGAGAAAAAGGGAGTGCAGAAGCACAGGGATCAGCGGATAAGGGAGAGTTCATGATTTTGGTGGGGCTCTTCGGAAATTGTGAGCCTGAGTGCATTTTGAATTCCTCCATCACTGTAGTTAACAGTCCTGTGCAATAGCAAGGGATTAGCTCACTAGACAGTGTGCAGCATTGTGGAATTAAACCCAATAGACTATAGGAAGCAGGGAGTAGCCAGAGCACATCAATGCCCAGCCTTGCCTCTTCTCTCCTTTTGCTCCCCCTGACATATGCTGGGGACTGGGAAAAGGGCCAGATTAGAGCCCCTTTGGCAGTAGAAGGAGCCTTTACCTTGGGGTATTCCACAGAGAATATTTCCACCCCTTTACAGCCCCTTACACCTCTGGAGTGACATAATGGGGCCTTGGCACAATGTAGAGTTGGGCCCAAAATCTCTTTTGCAGAGCTCTAGAGAACTACGGCTGTAATGTCTCAAATTGCACCAAACAGTAATGTTGTTATTCAGAATGCTAGCATGACTGAATCATTCACATTGTTTTTTTTAAAGCTTTACTAAGTTGAATTTGGTCATAGTTGCCTTGCAGGATACATATAAAACCACCTGGATCCGTTGGCTTGAGACCAGAGGAGAAGATACACTATAAATTTAATGATCTGCCCAATGCTGATTTCCAAAAGGGTGAGAACTGAGAGGATCCCATTAATAAATGATTAATTTTTGGACTACTCCCATAGACAAGAAGTGCTAAGAAAAGAATCAAGGAGGAAACCCGGAAATGGTGCAATTTGGCCTCTGCTATCTTTCTTGTAAACTATAAACTGCTTCCTTTTACTCCTTGGCTAAAGTCTGATGTGTACAATAACAGGCCAAAGCAAAAGTTGACCAACTAAAGATTCCAAGAAACATTTTTTCCTTCTCTTGTTCAAATGTTGTTCATATCAAGTTCATAGACCTGGGAATTGCCAAATCATAGGGATTGTCTGTTTCTGCCACTATTAGCACAATGCTTCTTTCTGGCCAGAATGCCTGAAGAGAAGTTAAGCGGCAGAAAACTCTGGAAGTGAAAGCTTGAACCTCCTCTTTCCTCTAAAAGAAAATCTGGAAACTATTTGTCATCCCACTTCTTTCCAAAGTGGCCCCAACCTCCAGCATTTGCTTATTTATCTTTGGCATTAGGTAATCCTTTATACTTATCACCAACTCTCCATGAAATTAAATAATCTTTTCAACAGACTTTGGGGGTGGAAGAAGTGAATTTTGCCAGTACAGACTTGTGAAGTTCTGGGGTACAATCCAGACCAGTAAGGGGCTGTGTCTCATAGACTCATAGACTTTAAGGTCAGAAGCTGGGGAAGGGGGGGGACAAAGGGTCCTCTCTGTCTGTGTGATGCTTTTGCTGGGACCAGAGCAGGAATGCAGGTCAGAACTCTTGTAAAGAGTTAGTAAGAAATCTAGTTAGATATGTGTTAGATTCTGTTTTGTTTAAATGGCTGATAAAATAAGTTGTGCTGAATGGAATGTATATTCCTGTTTTTGTGTCTTTTTGTAACTTAAGGTTTTGCCTAGAGGGATTCTCTATGTTTTGAATCTGATTACCCTGTAAGATATTTACCATCCTGATTTTACAGAGGTGATTCTTCTACTTTTTCTTTAATTAAAATTCTTCTTTTAAGAACCTGATTGCTTTTTCATTGTTCTTAAGATCCAAGGGTTTGGGTCTGTGTTCACCTGTACAAATTGGTGAGGATTTTTATCAAGCCTTCCCAAGGAAAGGGGGTGTAGGGCTTGGGAGGATTTTGGAGGGAAAGACGTTTCCAAGTGGGCTCTTTCCCTGTTCTTTGTGTAACACTTTGGTGGCGGCAGCTTTTAACTTAAGCTGGAAAGAATAAGCTTAGGGGGTCTTTCGTGCAGGTCCCCACATCTGTACCCTAGAGTTCAGAGTGGGGAAGGAACCTTGACAACCCCTAACTTCTGAGTTACTGAAGTCCTGAAATCATGATTTAAAGACTTCAAGTGACACCATTTACCGTTCATTTACACTAGTTTAAACCTGCAAGTGAACCATGCCCCATGCTACAGAAGAAGGCGAAAAACCTCCAGCATCTCTGCCAATCTGACCCAGGGGAAAATTCCTTCCCAACCGCAAATATGGCAATCAGACCCTGAGCATGTGGGTAAGACCCACCAAGCAGATATCTGGGAAAGAATTCTCTGTAGTAACTCAGAGCCCTCCCCATTTAGTGTCCAGTCTCTGGCCATTGGGGATTTTTGTTAATGCCAGTTGCCGATGGGCTCCATGCCATTGTAGGCAGTCCCATCAGACCAGCTCCTCCATAAATGTATCAAACACAGTCTTGAAGCCAGTTAGGCTTTTTGCCCCCACTGCTCCCCTTAGAAAGCTGTTCCAGAACTTCACTCCTCTGATATTTAGAAACCTTCACCTAATTTCAAGTCTAAACTTATTGATGGCTAGTTTATAGCCATTTGTTTTTGTGTGCACATTGGTGCTTAATTTAAATAACTCCTCTCCCTCCCCGGTATTAATCCTTCTGATGTATTTATACAGAGCAATCATATCTCCCCTCAGCCTTCTTTTGGTTAGGCTAAACAAGCCAAGCTCTTTGAGTCTCTTCTCATAAGAGAGGTTTTCCATTGCTTGGATCATCCTAGGAGCCCTTCTCTGCACCTGTTCCAGTTTGAATTAATCTTTCTTAAACATGGGAGACCAGAATTGCACACAGTATACCAGATGACATCTCACTACTACCTTATATAATGGTATCAACACTTCCCTGTCTCTACTGGAAATACCTCACCTGATGCATCCTAGGACTGCATTAGCTGTTTTCACAGCCACATCACATTGACAGCTCATAGTCATTCTGTGATCAGCTAATACACCCAGGTCTTTCTTCTCCTTTGTCACCTCCAACTGATAAGTCCCCAGCTTATAGCAAAAATTCTTGTTGTTAGTCTCTAAATGTATGACCTTGCACTTTGCACTATTAAATTCCATCCCATTTCTATTACTCAAGTTTACAAGGTCATCCAGATCTTCTTGTATGATATTCTGGTCCTCCTCCATATTGACAATACCTCCCAACTTTGTGTCACCTCCTGTCCCACAACCTTAGATGCCTCACTATGCTTTACTGTTGTAGCTCCCAACCTGGGCTACTCATGCACAGCCCACCAGTATGCAAATCATACCCTGAGTATCTGTTTATAGCTACAGCCCTGGTCCAGCAACTCTGACCCCAGCAGCCTGTCAGCAACACGCCAGCCACATTCTGGCTTTCACAGCCTGGGTTACTACTTGCAGAGTGACCCCAACACACCCCCAGTCCTGAATTTCCCCCAAAACATGTTTTCCCAAACTCCTGGGTAGTTCAGATATAAAAGATCCGTTGCCCCTGTAAAGGGTCAATATTCAACCATTTGCAACTTTAACTGGAGTTACCAAACAGTTCAGTTTAAATACAACACTGGATTAGTTTAGATTAACAATAATGCACATTTATTTAACTACAAAGAGAGAGATTTTAAGTGGGTACAAGTACAAGGTATTAAAGTCAGAAAAGGTTACAAGAGAAATAAAGATAAAACTCTTTCTAGTAGCTCAAACTTAATAAGCTAGACTTGGTTCAAGGTAATATCACAGCAACAGAACTGATCAAATTCTCTGATTGGGATCTCCCCCCAGAGTCAAAGGGCTGCTTCCTTTGTCTTCTTAGGTGAAGAGGTGGAGAGAGAAAGAGAGAGAGAGAGAGAAAACCTGGTGTGTTTTTGCCCCTCACTTTTATAGTCCTGTCCCCCTTGGAAATACATTTTCTTGAGGGTTATCCCTAGATAAAGTTCATTGCTGCAGTGAAGGAGACAGGGAGGCTTGTGGTAAAAGAGGTTCCATGTTGTTGTTTGCTAAAATGCAGATCAAACTGTTCCTGCCCCACTTTGTTGCTAAAGAAGGGCCATTTGACATGTGATTGCCAATCAACTTTATGACACCTGGCTAGAGGCGTCAGTTTGTCCTTTGTTTTTGAGAAACCAGTTTACCCACTCCCCAGACTAGTCTGGTAAGCACATTGTAGTCATAATTTCAGCTTATGTTCATAACTCTTAATAAGCATTTTGCACATATATTACACAAGAATACTGATGATAAATATGTCATTAGCTTTTTAATGATACCTCACAAGGCATATTTTGCACAAAGATTATTACACTAATGTGTAGGGTATGTATACAGGGGTGCTTTCAGTCATAGGTCTTCTAAGAGCTTTGGCCGTGATAGACAAAAATCCATTTTAAATATTGTTATTAGCTGGGTGAAACCTTTTTATGGGTTGAGTTAAAACCCCAGTGAGATTGGCAGATGTGAACTTGCCCTCCCGTTAACATAATTGTAAGCATAAGCCTCACCAAGACAACAGGTGTGTGTGTGTGTGTGTGAGAGAGAGAGAGAGAGAGAGAGAGATCACAGAACTGAGGTCACATCAGAACAGATGGAGTGAGAGAGACAGCCTGAAGGAGCAGCTAAAAGCATGAGGCTGACCCTGGGGCTGTTGGTAGATCTATCCAATTACAACTCTCAGGATATCTGCATCACTCTTCAGGCTGATTACGAGCTAAGAGCTGCAGTTTATGACAAAGGGGGAAAGGGACAAGCCTGTTATTCTTATACTCCATTGTGTGCTTAATTCAGTGCTCAGAAAACTAAGGGACTGATTCACTCTGAGCCCAGCACAGTGCAGGCAGAACAAGCACTGTAAATGGACCCTGACCTGTACCGCCCCTGGCTATTCTATTCCTGGATCACAACACAACACTTCTGAAACACCTCAGTCCTGAACAACAACCTCCTTTCCCCCGTCTCTGCTATTCTAAGTCTGGGAGACTTAGAATATACTTCCTAGAAGTGCTTATGCTGGGCCTTTCTCATTGAAAATTAAAAGTGTGCACATAAGCTCAATAAAGAGTTGTGATTAATGTTTTGCTAGGAACAACAGGACAGCCTGTTGTTGGCTAAAAGGATCAGGACAATAATATATTCTTTCCAGTGCCAGAGAGCAGCTCCTGTTCCTAGACTCCGCTGAGAGTGAGCAATGTGTCTCACCCTGGGGTAGTGGGGAGGGACATTTTGTCTATTAGGTCTTCTTTCCCAACCTGCTTGATGTACTATTGTCCTTCCTTATTGCTAGGGCCCTACCAAATTCACAACCAAAAAAAAGTGTCACAGAGCATGAACTCTGGTCTCCCCCTGTGAAATCTGGTCTTTTGTGTGCTTTTACCCTACACTATACAGATTTCATGGGGAAGACCAGTGTTTCTGAAATTTGGGGTCCTGACTCAAAAGGGAGTTGCAGGGGTCACAAGGTTATTTTAGGGGGTGTCACGGTCAGTGTTACCTCTAATTTTTTCCACCCATGTGTAGAATTAATTTTGTTATGTGCACCAAAATGGAGATGATGTGTGACACATCACCTTCAAATCGGTGCACATAACAAAATTCATGTGGTGAGGGTGGGGTGGAGTGGAGGGATTTGGAGTTTGGGAGAGGACTCAGGGCTGGGGCAGAGGGTTGTGGTGCAGGGGTGTGAGGGCTCCAGCTGGGGGTGCGGGCTCTGGGGTGGGGCTGGGGATGAGGGGCTTGGGGTGCAGGAAGGTGCTCTGTGGCTATGGCTGGGAGAGAGGACTCCCCCCACAGAAGCACCTGGGCTGGGGAGAGAGGCACCTCCCACCGCTGCAGCAGCTCCAAGGCTGGGATCACAGGACAGGTGCCCCGGATCCCAGCCCCCGCAACTCCAGGCTGGAGCTGGGTTCAGGGAGGGGTGCTCCTGACAGGTCCGGGCCAAGCTGCCCAGGTCCAGGCCCAGGCCACCTGTGTCTGGGTCCGAGTTGGGCTGTTCGGGCTGGGCCACCCTGGCTCTGGCTGGAGCCGGGCCATGCTGCACCACCTCGTGGCTGGGGCTGAGCTGCACCGTAACACCCTGGCTGGGTTCAGAATGGGGTAGAGGCGCCCCGGCCATGGCAGGTCCGGGACGCAGCATAGTTGAAGGCCGGGCTAGGTTGTGGCCAAGGGAAGGGTGACCCTCCCCTGGCCACGGCAGGTCCCTGGGCGGGTTCTCTGAGCATCTGTGCAGCGCTAAATAGGCTGCTGTGCAGCTTACAGGGAACTTAGGTCACGGTATTCCCACCCTTACTTATGCGCTGCCTTCAGAGCTGGGTGGGCGGAGAGCGGCAGCTGTTGGCCGGGTGCCCAGCTCTGAAGGCAGCAGTGCAGAAGGAAGGGTGGCAATACCATACCATGCCATCCTCACTGCTGTGCTGGTGGTGGTGATGGGACTGTCTTAAGAGCTGGGCTCCCGGCCAGCAACCGCCGCTCTCCGGCTGCCCAACTCTGAAGGCAGCGCCGCCGCCAGCAGCAGCGTAGAAGTAAGAGGAGCAGTACCAGAACCCCCCCCTACAATAACCTTGTGACCCCTCCCCCCCACAACTCCGTTTTGGGTCAGAACCCCTACAATTACAACACCCTGAAATTTAAGTTTTAAATAGCTGACATCCTGAAATTTACATTTTTTAAATCCTATGACTGTGAAATTGACCAAAATAGACCATGAATTTGGTAGGGCCCTACTTATTGCTGCCAATAGCAGCCTAGCGGGAACATCCTGGCTGAAACAACTTCTGCCGTTTAGCACAAGACCCTAAAAGGCTATCTGCCATTCAGAAAACTGCAGTTGTCAAAATAAAAGTCATTGTCTTCTGAAAAGCCCAAGAATCTGCATTTGTTTCCTGGTTTGGTTTTGTCATTTATCAAACCCACAGTGGCGGACAGGTGGCGCTGGGAACAGACTAAGCTGTTTCTTATTAGGAACACTTACCACGGGACTTTTGGAAAGATAGTTGGAAAGCCAGATGTAGCCGACTGTCCAGACTGCCGAGGTCTCTTTCACTTGACTTCAACCGGTTAGATGTGAAACAAGGTCATATGTCCTCCATCCTCTCTCTAGGTCAAGGATGCTACTCCTCACAAAGCTCATCAAAAAAGGAAGTTACCAGGGCAGGTGTGGGGGAAAGGGGATTGAATCTTTTCTGCCACACTGCAGTGGAAATTAATGGTATATCAGAATGGATGGATCTGAGATGCTTGCCTGAAAGAGAGTGGTAATAACCTATTTGGGCAATAAGCTGTAGATAATATTTAAGATGTAGATAAAATAATAAGCTGGGCTAATATTTGTCACATATTTGTTGTCCTACCTAATACACATTGTCTAAACTCAATTGTCTTTCTATGGAGTTTAAATTCACATTTAATTTCATTCTGTGTGAAAGGCACTTTTTGAAAGTGCCACTGGAGGGGCAGCCATGTTTAGCTCCTGAAGGATGGGGAGAAATGTGTTTCAACTTTTTTCATGGCATGAAGTTAGATCAAAGAACCCCAGCAAAGTTAATACCATTAATACAAACCTAAATTCTAGCCAATAACCACTGGAAATGTATTGGAAAACTGGAGTTTCTATAACGATACAAAGACCTAACAGAAATTTGGAAACACCGTGCATTTGCATTTGTTAGGGAAAGCTAGAAGTATGTACTTCAATTCAAGAAGGACCTAGAATTTGGGATGTATGAAAGCTCTAGGCCTGTATTCTTTCTTGGACACAAAGGCCCCAGTTCTCTTAGGAGCTTCATGTGAGTGGATCTCTGCACCTGCGTGAAACTCCTGGCAGGATCAGGGCCTAATACTGTACTTCTCCAGCCCCAGCATACCTCTCTAAGTGCCTCTTCTCTGCTCCCTAATTAAAACAAGCCATCAAGACCGCAGCAGAGGAAGGGTTCACTGAACTCTTCAGAGAGAAACCTCAGCACTCTGACAGTAACATGCTTGTCATTGATGAACCTGGCTGAGCAACAAAAACTTTGAGTCTTAGGATAAGAAATTGAATTTTTCAAGCAAGTTCCTAAATTACCCATTTTTGTTTCTCCAGCAGCCATTTGCCCAGCCTTGATCCCGGGCATGTTGCACTGTAAAGATGGAGCAATGCCATCTGCCAACTAGACTGATTGCAAAGAGCACTCAGCCAAAGATGACATGCTTCGCCCAAAGCGAAGGGCGTACTCATAGCAAGGCATCAGTCCTGCTGCCAAGAGGTGGAACTATTTCTCTTCCTTTTAAACACAGGAGAAAAAAACCACTGGAATAACCTATATGGTTTCCTTGCTAAAGACTAGGTGCTCACTAATTCTAGCAATTTGGGCTGTAATTTCATTATATATAGTAAATAATATTTGTATAAAAACAAGTCTGGCCAAACAGGAAAACCACATCAGATAGTGTTACTGCTCCTCTGGAAATGCTGCTGCTGACTTGGTACCCCTCCTTAGTCTTTTTTCGGTAACTCACCCACAGCCTGCATCATACAAAAATAGAGAGAAAATCACTTACGGGAGGGCCTCGGGGACCGATGATGGACATGCCTGCTTCTCCAGGGGTTCCCTGCAGAGAGAGACAGAGGCAGAAAAGGTGTGACAAAAGGAAGATTAAAAAGGAAAAAAACTGGAAGGCAAGGAAGCAGAAGAAGGAAAGAGAAAGAGGAAGAGGGAGATGTGAAAGCATTAGTGAGAAGACAAAAGAGAGCACAAAGCGAGATGAAGAAAAGAAAAGGGGGGATAGTGAATCAGTAGAGGGGAGGAGAGAGGTGATTGCATGAGATAATGAGGAGGAGGAAGAAAGACAGTTAAGGAAAGGAGATCAAAATAATCAATATTCACATTCTCTATAGAGACCATGATTAAATTGTGATTGCTCAGAGCCCTTCCCACCTGGGATAAGAAACCTCCTTGGTCTATCTTGTTCATGAGAGGAAGCCATTTTGAAGTGTCCCACCGCCCTTAAGAGATGGCACCACTATGGGTCTCTTTGGAGAGGAACATGAGACCTCATCTAATGCCTGCATACTCGCCATGCCCTGGGAGCACACATTTGCCTCCCCTCTATTTGATCATGTTCATCCTCTTGTTCATCCTGAAGCTTCACCTGCCCTAGTCTAGGGACTGAATAATGCAGAGAGGCATAACTAGGAGTAAAGCTGTGCAGTATAAGGGGAAAATGAGATGTTCAGCAAGGAAAATTATAAACATATAAAATATAAAATACTTTTTGGATAAAATGCAACCTCTTGTGATTATTAAAGATCCTGTGAAACTTTTAGTAAGAGCTGTGGTGTTAGCTCTCAAGTCCTGGGTAAACTCTAATTCAGGTCATGACATTCGGCCTCTCTAAATTTCCTTTGTGAAATTGAATTGATGGTAATGATGTACATTTCCTTTTCCAGTCTATTGCTGTGTGCTTTTTAAACAGCTTTCACATCTCACCCCAGATGCATCTGCATTTCAGTGGCAGCTCTATACCCAAAATGTACACACTTTATCAAGTTTATGAAGCGGTCAGGGTGCCTTTGGAGTGAAAGGAACAATGTAACAGTAAGACGTAAGATCACTATTAGGACAGAACAGTCTTCTGAGGTCAGTTGTGAAAACACCATCACTGGAGATATTCAAATAGTGTCTGGTTAACCCAGTTGTGAACATACACTGGAGACCACATTGTATATCACAGGGTAGGGCAAGGAGAGCGAGACAGATTGCATAAGCTGCAAGGTCTTTTTCAACTCTAGTACTTATGATTTTATGAATGGATCAAATGAGATTTAGTGACCAGACTGGAATTTGAAAGTTTAGGTCTAAAGTAAACTAAATAACTCCATGTGAAAGCAGCTTGATGTACTGTACCCAGAAATAAGTGGCTTGGTCAAACCTGGTTTCTACAATAAGTAGGGACTGACATGGAAACAAAATGTTCTTATGATTTAATCATGTATTGTATGCAATGATAGACATTTATGGTACATCTATACTGCGCTAAGAGACCCGAGGCACAGCCGCAGCTGGCCTGGGTCAGCTGACTTGCGCTCACAGGGCTCGGGCTGTGGGGCTATAAAACTGCAGTGTAGACCTTTGGGTTCAGGCTGAAACACTGCCATAGGGACAGTTCTGCCAGCCAAAAACCACTGGCGTGCAGTGTAATCGGGCCATACCCCTCCCCAATGCCCTGGGTCCATCCCAGTAAATATCTTCACCATTTCTTCTCTCTGGTCACTCACTGAGAGGATGGATGTGCTGCTATGGAAACTTTTCCACTGCACAGGACATCTACTGTGTTCAAAAGCAGAGATAGGCCTAAACGTCAATGGCCTCATCCAGATTTGAGGAGCAGCTTTCCTTGAGTTGAGATGTTCAGATTTGAGGTTCTACTTTGGTAGATTAATAATGTTAAAGAGTAGCTTTAATTGCTGGAGAAAGACTAACATACTTAGTCTATGGCTCTAGAGAAGTTACTTTCTCTTTAAAGGGAGTCAACTTTATTCACTGGAGTTGGAAACGGGATTTTAAGTCACCGAAAGACAATTGTTCAGAGAGAAGAATGATCTGGCTGCAAAAAGGAGGGACAGCCTCTCAGTTTTCATCAGTTAAAAGTGAAAGAAGAGTAGCAGTGATTTGGGGAAGAATGTTCTAACTACCTAAAGAAAATAAGAGAGAAACTGAGTGAAGAAAGCAAGAGTAAAAATGGGGAACTTTGGGGAACTTAGAGGCAGCTGTGACCTGCCAGGACCTGGGGAGTGGGAAAGTCCTGTTTGTAGCTATTTATAAAAGGCATTCATTTTGGATTAAGAAAAAAACAGTAAAGTTCTTCCTGGAAAAATAGAAGCCGTCAAAGATTCACGGCAAACCCAGGTCATATGACTGGCTCTGGCTCTCAATGTGCTTTATAATACACAATACATGACTGATAGTCACAGATGATAGATTCCAAGGTCAGAAGTGACCACTATTATCATCTAGTCTGACCTCCTGCATAACACAGCGCATAGAACTTTCCCCAAAATACTTACTAGAGCAGATCTTCCAGAAAAATATCCAATCTAAGTTACCAACCTCCTTCTTGAATTGTGGACACCAGAACTGCATACAGTATTCCAGTTGCGGCTGCACTAATGCCAAATGTAGAGGTAAAATAATCTTTCTACTCCTATTTGAGATTCACCTGTATATGCATCCCAGGATTTGCATTAGCCATTTTGGCCACAGCATCGCACTGGGAGTTCATGTTCAGCTGATCACCACAACCTTCAAATCTTTTTCAGAGTCACTGCTTCCAAAGTTCCCCATCATGTAAATACGGCCAAAATGGATACTGTTTTCTTTTGCCCAGTTTACCAGGCAATCCAGATTGCTGTGTATCAGTGACCTATCCTCTTCATTATTTACCGCTCCCCCAATTTTTGCATCATCAGCAAACTTTATCAGTGATGATTTGATATTTCTTCCAGGTAATTAATAAAAATGTTAAATAGCATTGTGCCAAGAACTGATCCCTACAGGACCCCACTAGAAATTATATCCATTCAATGATGAATTCCTATTTACAATTACATTTTGAGACCTACCAGTTAGACAACTTTTAATCCACTTAATGAGTGTTATGTTAATTTTATATTGCTCTAGTTTTTTAATCAAAATGTTACGTGGTACCAAGTGAAATGTCTTACAGAAGTCTAAGTATATTATGTCAACTCTATTACCTTTAACAGCCAACTTGTTGTCTCATCAAAAATATATCAAATTAGCCTGACATAACCTATTTTCCATAAAGTTGATTGGCATTAATTATATTACCCTCACTTAATTCTTTATTAATCAAATCCCATATCAGCTGCTCCATTATCTTGCCCAGGACTGATGCGAGATTGATAGGCCTATAATTACCTAGGTCAACCCATTTACTCTTGTTAAATATTGGCACATTAGCTTTCTTCCACTCTTCTGCAACAGCACCCCCTTCTAAGATTTATTGAAAAATCAATATTAATGGTCCAGTGATCGCCTCAACCGGCTCTTTTAAAACTCTTGGATGCAACTTATCTGGATGTGCTGATTTTAAAATGTTCATCTTTAGTAGCTGCTGTTTAACTTCCTCTTGAGATACTAGTGGAATGGAAAGAGTGTTATCATGTGATACAACTATATCATCTGCCACGGGGGCTTTGGCATTTTGGATGATTTGATAATGCTGATTGTCTACCAGGAGAATCCGAACAGGGGACAAGAAGGAGTGACCTGAAGAAGAAGAAGAACCAGGTTTTCATCCTGTCCTGCCCTTTCTTCCTATGGTACGTCATTGTTTTGTCCCCTATCTTTTTCACAGAGGTCTGAACAGGTTTGCCAATACCATACTCTTTATAGATGTTTCCTCAAACAATGTGGTGAACATCTAGACATTTCCTAATTTCTGCACATATTGCTGTTCATTTTCCAATTAATTAGATGCTGCCTGAATCGATTCAAGGTACTTCTGTCCCTCTCCTATCTTTCCCTTTTGAGTGTATGATGTAGTGGCATCTGAAGACATAAAGTGTTGACTGACATTGAATATTTCATGAAATTTGTGTCACCATTGTGACATATTAGTGGCTTTGTAAACTACCAGTTCTATGTAGGGATAAAAAAACTCATTCAATACTTTTCAAATAGTTTAGGCAACTGCTCAGAGAGACAGGAAGTACTGCAGGGTCTTTTTTTTTTTAAATGGAGAAGATATAACTGAAGTAAAAAAGTGTATGTGTGTGGAGTGGTGGCCATCTCTTCCCTGTTTCCCTCTGTGTTTTTTCACTATGCAACTAACCCTGGAATGGAGGTGGTGAGCCATAGCCTGTGACCAGAGGAATGGTGAATAGGAGAAGCCCAACACATAGGAACTGGATGGGCCATTAGGACATAGCTGTTATATCTTATCACATTTGCATATGCACATTTCCTGGACTTACCAGGCACAGCTGTCAGCAGTGAAGAAGCTAATGGTTAAAAAACCACAAAGGCTCAGCTGGAAATATTGAGTGTGCCCATCCACCTTTGGAAGTCAGCCCTTACAATGTTAGCAAATTATAGTAAACAAAAAAATTCAACATCCTCAGATGCTGTGTGGGCTGGAAGGAATTTAAGAGATGAGCTCACATTGTGAGCGGAGAGGGGTGGGGCAGTTCAGAGCCATGTATGGTTTAAACACACGGAGGGCTTTAAAGGCACAGCTCTTCAATTGTTGTGATTTGAAGTGAAGGGATTTCAGGTGGCTGAAGAGGAAGCTGAGAGAGGTCAGGGTATGACATGATGAGCTGGAAAGAGCTGACTCACCTTCTCTCCGGGTTGCCCCTTTAGTCCCTGGGTCAATTACACCAGTCGCAGCCGCATGCAAAAGGGTGAAGGGGAGAGAGAAAGAGACACAAACACAGGAATCAGTGTTAATGGCACACTAAACCCAAACACAAAACAACGCAACAAAAAACAGGTCACAGACACTGACGCATGCTCTGTTTAAGGTTCACACACAAGCACAATGACCTTTGCTTCTCCCTCTTCCACTGCCCTCAAGATCAGCTGTCTTGGCAATATCTCTGAGGAAGAGCAGCTGAGAGAGGTGGCAGCTGAAATTGGGTTTTCAGCCAGCGTGAGAAAATCAATTCTTGATTTTAACAAGTGGTGGTGGTGGTGGGGAAACTGAAGCTGTGTGTTAGTGATAAGCTCGCCATAGTTAGCAAGGCTGGCTCAGAGTTCAGAGACATCAGCTCACAAGTAAGTGAGGCAGCAGCAACAGACCTCACAAGGAACCTTGGCACAGCCGCCACCAGGGATGATAGTCCTCAGGTGGGATTAGCCAGGGCGGTCAGAACAGTGGCTGAAGATGGACTTGCCAGGGCGGTCAGAACAGTGGCTGAAGATGGACTTGCCAGGGCGGTCAGAACAGTGGCTGAAGATGGACTTGGCTAACAGTCAGTCCACACTGGCCAAGTGGCAGGAGTTCCTGGCCAGCCTTTCAGAGTGTGGGACAGGAGGGTCATTGAGGAAAGGCAGAGGAGGATAAATGGATGAATGTGCTGGGAAGAAGGTATCTGACTGAATGGGAGGGTTGGGCAGGGGAAATATGTTTAATCAACAGTCTTCATTACTGGAACAGTAATAAAATATTGATTTTTTTTCTCTTCTCTTTCTCTTCTGCCTGGCTCAAAGAGGGGGAATTAGATATAATATATGGCCTGGCTATGTGAAATCTGTGGGGTAAATGTGCAAAATACATATAAGTCTTACATACTGAAATATGTTTAATATATTAAGTCACTCCAGGTAGGTTAATTATAATTAAAACAGGCCTGTTTTATGGTAGGACCTTATTCTACCACCCTTATTCACACTGAGGAGTAACCTACTACATGTGTAGTCTCACTGATTTCAGTGGAACTACTCACAGAGTAAGGCTTCACTTAGTATAAGAACAGCAAAGCTGGGTCTTCAATGAACAGAGTACGTAGGCTTTAAACAGGGGCTCATCTGGAAGTGTGGTGATCTATGTTACCCACCCAAAGCCTCAAGTTTGATTACTAACTCGTCTTTCACTACCCTGGCGGTTGGCAGGGGCTGGCATTTCTGCAGAGCCAGCTTCCTCTGCCTCTCAGAGGCCTCCTTGCAGGGTCTAAGGGCAGTTTTACTCAGTTCCCCTCTTCTAGCGCATACGAATAAGCAGAAAATTAGAAAGGCACCATACGGATTTCGGTCTGTCTTCCATCTCTGTCTAGAGCAGTGATCCTCATAAACTGCACTACCTTGCGTTATATCCTGTTGTGCCGCATTACTGAACGCAGCAGTTACTTACAAAGTAATGCCGTCATGGCAACACAACTAGGGTTATCAGACAGCAAGTGTGAAAAAACAGGATGAGGGTGGTGGGTAATAGGAGCCTATATAAGAAAAAGACCCAAAAATCAGGACTGTCCCTAAAAAATCGGAACATCTGGTCATCCTAAACACAACATCAAACCAGAAGGGCATTGTGAAGATGTACTAGCATTGCTTGAATCACCCTGAGTCTGGCAATACAGTAATACTGAAGAGCTAATCCCCTCAGGCATGCCAGGCTCCAATACCAATGAGGCATTTGGAGGAGACCTTACTGGAGAGAGAAAGTTACCCAGCGGTATCGCTAAGGAAGTCCTAAACATAGTACATAAAATATAATGGACCCATAAAACCCTCCCATACTTTGAGGGCTTGGATTAATTGGGACTCAAATCTGAATTACCCTGGCTCATGAGGTTTGTAAAAGCCAAACCACCTCGAGTTATGCCCACCCTACCTGTGGAATTTGCCAACCCTTTTTCTATATTTTTTCCATCACTGCTGATGGCAGTGAGTAGCTGATTATGTCATTAATGTTTATAAATGTGTTGAAGATGTAAAGAGTCACTTAATTCCAAGAATTGTTAATTGTTAATAATATTTGTTGTATCTGTATGTAAAAAGAGAACCTCTCCTCGCTAATCAGTTTCCATAACAAACACTGTGGGCCAGATCCTGATGTAAATTCATATAGCTCCATTGGCTTCAATGGAATTGCACCGATTTACACCAGCTGAGGTTCTGGCTCTGGATGTGTAATCTCTTATGACATGACCACTTTAGCCACTCTATATTATAGCTGCCTGTGAAATTGCAGGCACCAAACCCAGACACATCTCATTCATCCACACACAGCCTTCCCAAAAGATATTTAAAGATGCAAAATGTTTGGGGGGAAGCTATCCAAACGGTAACTCAGGCGAGCTCAGCTGTGGCAAGCTGAACAGCTGGGAACTGACAAGGAGTGAAGGTAGCTAGCAACACAGTTTCCTCTCTCTGTCTGAAATGTGGGGTGGTCATAGGGCAGGTGTCTCAGCCAGAGAAAAGCATAAGGATTCAGGACCTATCCACAAGTCAGAGTGAACTTAGTGGAATGTCACCTCACTCCTGAGGCTGTTATGTTGTCCTCTTTGGAAAGACATCAACATGTATGGGGAATAAAGAGAACAACTCCATGAAGAGGGAACACAGGGAACAGAAGGCAGAGCCGCACGATGCAAAGGTGTTTGGGGTGTTGATGTGATGCTGTATGACACGCGCTGCCCAGCCCTTCTTCAAAGTGTCACTGTTATTTTAAATGTGTACTCTATGCCTGGAGGGCCAAATTAGAGCCAATGTGCTGGGCAGACATTGTACATTCATAGGCTGAGAAAAGGCTACAAATGTTGTTTGATCTATGTAATTTTTTTCAGACAGACAGATCTGCAGGGGGAGCTTGCCTCTCCTTGACCTTCAGAGGCACAAAGGCAAGTACATTGCAGGCAGCAAGAAACCATCGGCAGCCCACTGCTTGGCACCACTTGAACACATGGTGCTACAGGGAGCATTCTCAGAATGTAGCCAGGGCCTCCTCCTCAAGAGTCCCATTTGGATTTGGTTTCTGCATAGAAATGTCTCAGATAAGAGCCCCCTATAGACTTACCAAGGATTCGTGCCTCTGTTTTCTGGGTGGAGCCTGGTTACATCACAAATGATAGAACCTGCAGCCTAAAATTTCTAAACCTGGAAGCAGATCTCAGTAGCAGTTCATTCAGCTTTGTTCATGAGGGAAGCTGCTGCTTTTTCCCTTGTTATATCCAAACCAGACCTTAAAATGGAGCAAGGGGCTGGGGCAATCATTTGCCAGAAATAATTAAAGTATCACCCCAAACGACCCACAGGCATCCCAGCTTTTGGAAAAATGTGTGTCAGTCAGGTCAGGCAGATGCAAGAGGTTGTAACTCACCGTTCTTCCAGGGATCCCCATGGCGCCTTTGTCTCCCTAACAATTAATGCAAAATCAGATGGCAGTTGGAAACTGGTCATATACAAGACTACAAAATGACACAAATTAGATGTCACATGTAGATATATGTGTGTATCTTTGATTATTAATTGACTGAGGTATGTGTATGTAGCACATATGTTGACACACTATATATACATATATTTAAAGCATGTTCATATGTTTGTATGTATTTTTGAACATATGTGTAAGCATGTGGGTATGGATGTGTATGTAAGTCATCAGTTTAACTCCTTGCTATATAGACACAAGGAACCAACAAAGCACAACCATTTAGAAAGGAAAAAAAGGCAAGAGTTTGTGATCCAACTATGAGTCTAATCATAATTTCAACACTTTCTATAATCCAGCTGCTGGGAAACTGCTCCCTTCAGTACCTAATTATCACATTTTTCTCTTTCTTTCCAAGGAAATCTGAATGGTAGCTATTTATTTATAGAGCTGTTATCACTTAAGACAGAACTCTCAGAGACCATGAATAGGTTCACATTTTCCAGTAGTCCAGAAAAGGGAAAGCTATACTAATGTGGATAACAAGCTAACACAGGAAATGGCGTGTCTAGCACACCGTATATTAATGGTTGTGTTCTGTGTCTCTTAACTGTACAGAATGCTGCCCAGTGCATCTTTAGGGTGTGAAAATCATTAAGTGAGGTTGCATGAATGTGCCTGCCTAAGAATGTATGAGACGATACTTGAACTGAATGGCAAAGACACATGGACACAAAGCCACTGGCATATTCTTAGCCATTTATATAGATTTTAGTTCTGAGTCTATATTTAAATTTAACTATAGAATTAAAAAAAGATTCTGTATTTCTGGCCACAAAAAGTGAACGCTATGCAGACTTAGAGAGCAGTATGCTGATGCTCAGAAGATACAGAACTATTTATGGTGTCCATTGTTTTGTGGATTTCGCTGCACATTTTGCAAAAATGACATTGTAAAATCTCTCAGTATTGTTTCTGATCGCCAATTTGTTTTTTCTTAAGTTTCACTATGAAAAAAATCAATGTTTCTGTTGTACTTTCTCATATATTTTCACTGTAATACTGTTTTCTGAGGAGATTGATTTCTGCCGCACCCGACGAGAACATAGACAATGTAGGAGGCTGACTCAAGGGTGCGGGGAAAACAACCCTAACTGTGTCACCTACATGAAATCGTTGAGCCTCTTCTGTCATTAGCCCTTTAATCATGGCAATGGGCCAGAACCTTAGCGCTGTGTCCATAGTGATCAGTAGAAGGTAGGGATACATACTGATTACACAGGTAACTCTGCCGAGGAAAATAATCTTTGATGTTGGTAAATGTTCAGAAATTCTTTTTTTTTCCCCTAGCAGTGTCTGTAATCAAATGAGAATATAAAACAATACTGATGGTCATTTTTCTACTGTCGCCTGCCAATTCGCTCTGCTATCCAGTGATGGAACTGCAAAAAGCAGTGTGGAGAAAAAGCAAAATGGAGAAGACCGTCTTGAAATCTGGGGAGTGGGTCAGTTCAAGGGGAGTGAGCCAGTTCTCGCCATTCAAGGAATGCACTTTGCTGCCACTGTTGCTCAGTAACCTTTCTTCGCTCCCTGTCTGATGTACATAGTAATACTTTAGATTAATGTTCTAAATACACTTCACTATACACAAGATTTAAATGTAAAGAGGTAAAAAGTATTTAGAGGTTTAACAACTCCATAGTTATAGACAAATACTATTCCATAATCAATGGGCATTTCTTTCATATACATGTTGGATAAATCAAAAAGCCATATCTCTGCTGCAACAGTTATACAAAGCAGTTTGATTAAATTTACATAGATGGTATGTGACTGCAAAGTAAAAGGAGATTATATCTATTTCATCCCATTCTGGTTTTTATACTGTACCCATCAACATGCTATTTGATCTCTCTCTCTCTCTCTCTCTCTCTTTCTGTGTCTAGGTGCTGTACATGGTTTATTCAGAAAACAATGGAATTTCTCCATAAGGGACAGGAAATTCATTGCCTTGCTCTTTGATTTCTTGGCTTCTGCTTGGGAGCTTGCTGCTGAGTTTTCTTGTTCTTTAATTTGGACATTGCTTTCCTCTACAGCTGAGCTTGGCAACTTGTTATGAAAATGACAAGGGTCAAACTCTCATGATCTGTGGTGGAAGGGTGTTCCAGACTTTTGGATCTGTTGTTGAGAAACTCTTCCTGGCTGTGCTGTGACTGGAATCTGACCACATAATGACTGATGCTGTATAGGACTGAGCTGTGTCTGATATTAGTCTGCACAGTGACTGGTACAGTACCTGATGTCAAAATGCCAAGTACCTCATCATGAAATGATGTATGAGTGCACTGTGTCTGGTATTTGACTACACAGTACTTAGGGTCTTCTAAACAATACTAGCAGGGGGGAAATGGTCCCAGTGGTATCGCAAATAAATGCCAGATGTTTATGAGAAAGAGTTGTCTATGATGTGAAGCCAGGAAATACACTCTGTTGTGGATAATACTTATGTGCTGCACTGTATGCTAGCATTGTATTCATAGCCCCACTGCCTGCCTGCCTGCTGTATTTCTAAAGTGGCTATTGTTTTAGTATCCAAGCACCAAACAACAGTTATGAAGAAGAACAGTTTTGAGTGGTCTTAAAAGATGTTTTACTCTCTCTTTTCCTCAGGCAGTGTGTGGATTTGTTTTTGTTTTTGTGGAAGTCATTGCTGAGGAGACTTCATCCAAAGGTGGTATAGGTTGGGATCAGAGTGTGGTGAGGCTGTGGTTTGGTCCGATCTCCTCTGGCAAAGAGTTTCATACCTGGGGCCTGTTGCTGAGAATGCTCTGGTCCCTGATCCTGAAAGACTTATCCTGAGTCTTTCCAGTACAGGAGCCCCGCTGGCTTGGATGGTCTCGGACAGTAAGGCTACTCTGAAGTAATCTAACCCCGGATTGTAAAAGCCTTGTAAATTAGAGCCAAACCATGAGTTTGGGCCTTTGATGAAGGGGGAGCCAGCAGTTTCACACAGCAATTTGCATCAACTTTTACTACTTGTGAGGTGGGACACTGTGCTACACCAATTGCAGCCTTCATGTGACAGTTACGGTCAGCCCCAGTTAGCGTGAATAGAATAATCTAACCTGAAGGCAATGAAAACGTGGACCACGGTGGTCAAAACCTTGTCTAAGAAGAGAGAGAACAGCCTCCTGACCCACCAAAAATGGAACAAAGGAATTCCTTGCTACTGTGGCAATCAGTATGTCCATGAGTAGTCCACCACAGCCCAAGGATCTGCACTGCTTTGATGATATGTGGCCTGCTGCCCTCAGATGATGGTGAGGTTCGAGTATTTTCTTCTTTCTGCTAATACTACTTCTGTGTCTCAGTATTTGAGTTTGAGCCAACTACTTTTCATCCATCTATTGATTTCTGCCCTGGAGATGGCTCAGGCTGCCACAGTGGAGAAAATATATTGATCCTAGCAGCTAAAATCCTTATCATAATTTATCTCAGCAACAGACCATTGCTAATGCTTCATTTTCATTTGGATTAAAGTTAGTTATGGATTTACAACTCCCTGAGAAGTTGGCAGGCACCATGTTGATTTAATTTTAACCAGTGATAATGGGACTGTTCACAAAAAACAAACTTCTGGGGGCAAAGAAACAAATTTTTGAGAACTTTAGGTTACAGACTGGCTTTTCTGTTTGAGGGGTGCTGAGAGGGGAGAGTGAAGCGGTGGCCATTGAGCAGAGGTTCCCTTTTGCTTGCATTGGCAGGCAAAGCGGAGCTGGAGACTGGACAACACCCCAAATCACTGTCTGTGCTGCCTTGGAAATGAGAAGCACCTCTGGGCACAGTACCCAGGCTGCCTGCCTTACACTCAATGAAGTGCTGGGTCACCATTCTGCCTGGCCCTTGCATGGCTATGCACAGAAGTGGAGGAGGGAGAAAGAGGCCCCTGAGCTCTCTTGCCTGCCCAGAACACCTGCAAAAGGTGAAGCATGTAGCCCTCAGTGTAACTCAGAAGCCAGTATGACAATGTAACAAAGTTTCCCCTTCACTAGGAATACATTAAGAAACAGGTGGAGTGACTGGCCATAAACTGGCTCTACTGGAGCCATGAGAAGGGATGGCTTGGTGTCCATTTGGTGTCTGAATTTCACTTCTCTGTGGCCTGACCTCTGTATGTCCCTCTCACCTCTACTTCCTGTATCAGCATGGATTAAATGGATGCTTCCTGCATCTCCCAAGCTCCTCCAGAATTAAAATAAACAATCCAAATCACTGCAATATCCATCCTGGTATCTGCTCAAAATAGAACCTCCAGTCTTTCCTGGAAAGCCTGTCGGAATCTGAGCTTCTATCAGTGAGAGTACAATACAAATGTGGTTCTTCGACGGGGAAGGTGATTCATATTGGAAAGGTGATCTTAAAAGGCCACATGTTTCCCAAACACAAAAAGATCCTATAAAGAATGTGTTTCTTGGAACATTGTCCTGCCAAGGTCCTGTTGTTCCTATCCTATTGGGATCCATATCTCATTTACAACATGCTCTTCATCTAATTTAGTTCGACCACCGGAGACCACTACTACGTCCCAATTTACACAGCCTTGAGGCCTGCCTTTCAAACTACTGCCAGAGAGAGAGAGAGAGAGTGAATAAAAAGGAAATAACATGATAGAAAAAAGCTATTTACCGGAAGCCCTGGTCTTCCTGTAGGGCCCTGAAATAAAACAGAAAAGGCAACATTGGCACAAAAACTGGGGTAGGGGGTAGGGAAAGCACTGATTAAAAAGAAGAAATCCAGTATAAACAATGAGAAAACAGAACTGTTAAGTCATCAGAACAGCTTTTGTACTAGCCCAATCTGATTGTTCCATTTTCCCAACCCATCTTTAAAGCTTTATTTCTATTTGGTATGTGTCTATCACAGAGATTCCCAAACTGGGGTCTGTAGGTAACTGGTATCCCATGAAGAGCTAGCTAGTGACATGTTTCTGAGTCTTCTCCTTGTTTCCTTCTGATGAATATTAAATGTTCATGTACAGAATTTCTGGAGTTGCCATAGAGATATTGTATGATCATGACTGGGAGGGAAGGTATCTAACATGATGTTCACACTATGAAAAAATTTGAGAACCTCTGGACTAACACATACTCTTTCTTTCTTTCTTTCTTTCTTTCTTTCTTTCTTTCTTTCCAATTACACATCTACAGGTTGCTGGCTTTCAAATTACCCTATCTACATCAAAATTGGTAGAGAAATGACAGAATCTGCCACTCGAAATTCAATGAGTCTAGGACCATTCTAATTCAACGTGTAATTTTAAGTCCCTTCAGATGCTCTGACAGTATATGCCCAAGAACGAATATAACTAGGGAGTGTTTTAATCTTCTCTGTTTCTCACTCTCACTCAGCCTTGCCAATCCTATTCACCACTGTCATGTATCAGAAACAGCCCTGCAAAAACATAGCCCCTCAGTTGGCCCTAAATGGTACAGCGTAAGAGCTGCTCCCATTTTGTTCAGCTCAGAAGTCTGAAACTTCACATTTACACACTGTGAAATGTATAAAAAACTGAGATTTTTGGTGTGTCAGCATTTCTGAGTTGCTAGCTGGAGTGACATATGTGAAACCAGCAGTGTGGGAATCTGTTCCACACATCATAAACTAGTTCCCATCCATTTTAATAAAAAAAAAAAACCCGGCGAAAATCTTCAACATGTAAACACCAAGTGCTTTGCTTAAATATTTAACAGTGAACTTATGCTTGTGATTTTTGAACTGCTATCACTTGCAGTCCCTTAAAATCTCCTGACATTCTTAGTGAGAATAGGGCGTGGTTACCCCATGAAAAATTCCACCGTGGCTAATTAAATTCAAGTCCACCTAATTTCATCTTGTTATTTCAATTGGCTACAGTATTCTCACTTCCTGTCCTAAACAGTTGTTTATACAGACAGGTTCAGGGGTCAGAATAAGCTGGTATACAGTAGCATATTGTGTCATCACTTCTCTGGTGGTCCCATTTGTTATCAATTAGTGTTAGTGGGAATATTCCTTCAGTCCTTGCAAGGCTTGTTCTGATTCCCTTGATACTCTTCAAGGTCTCTTAGCAATAATGAGTAACTAGGAACATTCTGGCAGTAGTTGGGACATTTTTCTGAAGTCTAAGTTGTCTGAGTTGAGTTTTTGCATTTGGCTAACATTTGGAAAGGAAGCTGTCTACACAATTTTTCTTCGAAACTGATAATTGCACATCTAGGGCCAAACATTCAGCAACCATGGCTGAGTGGCAGAGAACAAGTTGCACAGGTACGTATGCAACATATATTTGCACCAGTTCTAAAAAAATATGTCAAATTCAGTGTATGGCATCCTATGCATGAAAATTGCACACTGTTATCCTCATTTTTCTACATGAAAATAATTGGGAGTATTTCTAGCCCTCCATATTCACCATTTCTACCCTGTGAGCTTTCTCAATCCCATGCTGGGAGATTTCAGAATTGTGCAGAGCTATATGGGTGTGTCTGTGAAATCCCACTAAGGATCCAGGCACTCTGACTGAATACAAAGGATATTTGGTGTTCGAGAGATTCTGGGAGATTTTAAAGGAAAACTTGGTTATAACATTGGACATGGCATATGGGAGACAATGGTTACTGCTAATTTCCCCTCAAGCCCCCTTCGCCCCATTACCATCAGGTGCACACTTCACAAACGCACTGGAACTTTGGTACTTACAGGAGGCCCTGAAAGAAAGAAGAAGGAAAATAGACAGTTATTAGTGCTGTTATATAATAAATCCTGAAGACAAAGTTTAGATGATCACTCCTTACATTGCACGCTCTCTCGTTCTCTCTGTGGACTGGATTCTGATCTCACTTATTCTTGTTCTACACCCAAGTAACTCCATTGTTTTCAGTGAATTCATCCTGATTTACACCACTGAAAACAAGGTCAGAATCAGACCCCAAATTTCTCTCCTCTCTGTTTTCTGCCTGTCTCTCACTCATTTTCATTTCAGGTTAATTGAAATCACTTTGCTGCCAAGAGCAATGAATTACAAATTTGTTAAATTTGATTTTTAAAATCTTTGAGCGTAAATATGATGAAATAAAATCAAGATGTTGCATCATTTACAGATAGGTTTAAAGACAGCTGAGTGTAGTGTATCTGGTCAGAATCTCTTCTGATCAAACAATCAGTATCTCCTTTTACCATAATTAAATACGTAATCCTTATATTTATTTTTGCTGATCACTTTCATTCAGGCTGCGGGTGCAATCCAGAAATGATATGTTAGGTGGTATGAGAGGGACCCAACTTACACTAATTTATGCTCAGTTAAACTCCCTGGAACCTACTCACACTCTGCCAACATGTGAGGAAGGCTAAATTTGTTTAGTTTCCACAAGAAAGAGCTGTAAGAAGATATAAGAAAGGGTAAGCCAAAGTAGCTGCCATTCTGCTTGGACGTATGCCTTCTGGGTCTTCATCATTTAGAATCCCCTGCACATCAATAGAAAGTTTAAGGGAGTCTGAGTGTTAGGGGTGTAATATATACCACCTTAGCCATCACTGTCTTCTGTTGTCAGTCTCTTCTAATTTCTTTTAAAGGAGGAATTTCTGATTTAATACTCTCTTCTCCTCCAGACAGTCAAGTTTAAAATCAAAAGATAAAGTGGAGGGACTCTACAGAAATGTCCTTCTCGTGGTCCATTGGACATATATGGGTGATGTTACGTAGAGATGATCTCACTTGGGGAGAGAAGATAGAGAAAGGCCTGTAGTTTATTACAAATGTGCTCTAAAAAAAGCCTGTCAAATTTTCTCAGATGACATCCCTAAATTCCGGGTGCATATTTGTTGTGGTCTGAATTCTGCCATTCATTACATGCACTAAGCTCCCACTGATGTCCTCAGGAGTAGCACTCATAACCTATGGTGGAATTTGTCCACTATGGCTTGAATGATGTCTCAGTCCTATATTGCAAAGAGGCTTGGGTTTTATTTAGATTCATGCTTGCCAAAATCATGCTATAGACTAACCCGCAAGCTTGTCCATACCATGTGGGTTTTTTTTTTTATCATGGCTGCAGCATAGTTCGCAGCTGCAAAGTATTGATGCTAATTATGATAAGGCTGTGCCAGCTATTAGCTATTGAGCCGATCCTGCAGCCCTCACTCATGTTGCTTGTTCTTACTTGTGCAATTTACTCCAAAGGGGATGTCTCACCTAAGTAAGGTTTACAGCATCTGCACCCTTTTACGATCACAGGGACAAACCATCATGTGGACAGAATTTAAATCCATTTATTCACTGCCAAGTACACCCCTTTTTAATGAGTTTTGTGTCTTCTTGGGCAACAGCTTGGCATTCTGGAACATGTTGCCTTTGAGAAAATAATAATAAAATCCAACAGCCCAGCAAATGACATCAAATAGCAACTGTCCTCAATCTAGAAGCTGCGTCTAATTTATGCTCCCCATTTCTGTTAAAAGCTTTATGAAATTTGTCCTTTTTCAACACAAAAAATTAACAGAAAAATCCAGTCTCTCTCTCTCAGGTTTCATCCTCAAGTCAGTCACTGGTATTTTGGAGATGTTTGTGGCCTAGTGGAATTTTTGTCTATTTTTGTGAGGAAAATGGAGACAGACATCCACTGTGATGTCATCACTTGTTACCGTGACCATTTGTATGATGTCACAGAATATTTTGGGCTGCCACTCAGCAACCCCATCTGCATCTCTTACTGAAATCATGGGCTGCTTGACACGTTGGAAGCTGATGTGATCAGATTGCAGTGGAGCATGCCAGACCTCTGTCAGCAGCAGCCGCAGCATAGTCTGCCGGAGCACTACATTTCACAACATGCACTCTGCCCTGCTCCCTCGTCCCGTGCCCCTGCCCCCACTGCTCCATCCCACCTTTCTTTTATTACAGCGCAGTGGGCCATGTAGATCTCATTGTCTGAGTAATATCTCTTCACTCATTCTGTTACATAATAGGGAATGCCCATTCAGAAACTGGCATAATGAATATATTTCTAAGCAGAAGTGACACTATATGCAGTCATCTTACGTTGGCTGATCCTTTATTCTAACCTAGCTGTATTCAGCACAGGACTGGAGCAAGAATCAAAAGTGGTTTTCAGCCATAATTATTTCTCCCTGATTTTATCTGGCAGGGACGATTTCACAAGTTAGAGTAGGTTCAGACTCTTCTAACTGATACCTGGCTGCCTGCAGACAAGTGACTGGTCCAGCAGCAACCAGGGACTGCTGGGGCATAAGAATGCTGCAGCCACACCCTCTTTCTCTCAGACACACTCCAATGTCAGGGGAGTTCTCACTGATGAGATCCTCTAGCTTTACAGCTGCTTTGTGTTGCCAGAGTGACGTAAATCAGGTGGAGCAGGGGACAGCTGAAGCCCAAGCTAGTTCCGGGTGTAAGTTAAAGCAGCCTCAGGGCTGCTCTTACACACAGCTGTCTGTGGCCTTGAGGGGTCATTCTGGCAGTGGGGATTGCTCGGGCATAGAGATGCCCTGGCCTTGCCCACTTCACCTTGGCTAAGCCCCCTACATTGGAAAGGGAGAGTGGAGTAGGAGATAGTACACTGTCTGTATGCCACCCACGGATTCACTCATCATAGGGTATCTTCATTAACCATTTAAGCCTGCATTTTGGCTGCTTTATGACACCCGACACA